ATTTAAAACCTTTTAAAGAATTGGACATAAAAAAAACTCTTTTTTGTTTCTCTTTTTTTTACTGAACGAATAATTTTTTGAATGAACTTTAAAAAACGATAAGTTTAACTTTAAAGCGAACAATTTTTTTTATGAAATTGTGACAAAACGATCGTTTTTTCCTGGCGTTTTTATTACTGAACAAACGGTTTTTTTCGAAGGAATTTTTGAAAAACGCTCGTTTATTTTTACTTAACGATCAACTTTATTGAATGAACGATTTTAATGAATAAAAAATTTTACTTAATGAACGATCTCGCTAAACGAACCATTGAATTGAGTGATTGCAAGCAAAATAAATGGAAAATAACGATAATTCTGAAAACTAACAAATTATTAAAATTTTTAACTGACCGACTAAAAAACGAAAATTGATCAACAAATAAATTGAAAAAAAAATCGAACGCCCCCATCTCTAATCTTTGTACCTTAAAAAACGATAAAAGATCATTTATACAGATACATATATCAACCTGTAAATTAAAAAGGGGGGAAATGACACACTAAAAAGATGAACCTAATATTAATCGAAGTAAGCAGAACTAGAAAAGTACAAAATTAGAATAAGAACGGTTTATATAAATATGATTTACAGTTTATTCCAGAACTTAAAGAAGTTTTCTTACAGTTTTTTTACTATTAAACCTTAATCTCAGTAATTGTAAAAATAAATGGATATTCATGAAATATGAGGGAACATTTTATAATATTTTCATATAATTATTCAATTGGAAAACTAAATATCTTTAGCATTTCATTATCAGTAGATTTAGAAAATGACATTTTAAAAACTCTTTTGGTGTCCCCGAAGTTCTAGGTTAAATTATCCATAGATAGAAACACAGATAGATAGATAGATAGATATAAACATATAAAAGTTTGAATATAAAGAGAAGATGAGGATAGAAAGATATTCAAGAAAAGACAGACCCAGAAAAGTACCAAGTTAAAATAACAAATATCATGTATAATCATAAGTTGAGTTCAATTGTCGTTGTCCTTTTCCAGAGTTTTCTTGTTCTTACTGTACATAGATATACACATAGATAGATAGATAGATAGAAAGATAGATATAAACATATAAAGGTGTGAATGAATGGTATAAAAAGAAGATGAGGATAGAAAGATAAATGGATTAGAGTGTGCACGGCTAGATTTAAGCCTATGCATGGTATAAAAAGCATGGGTAAACTGCAGAACTAATTATAAGCACAGCTAGGAGTAAAAACTTTAAACTATACGATGGTTCAGTAATATGATGTATACTTTGTATATAAGATGTTTTCTATGTTTGTGAGTTGTCTGAGGTGTTTGTTCGTGTTTAAGGTGTTTGTTTGTGTTTAAGGTGTTTGTTCGTGTTTAAGGTGTTTGTTCGTGTTCAAGGTGTTTGTTCGTGTTTAAGGTGTTTGTTCGTGTTCGAGGGGTGTTTGTTCGCATTTAACGGTGCTTGTTCATGTTCTCTATAGTTTAAAGTGTTCAAGGGTGCTAATGTGTATTCTATATTGTGTATTATACAATGTCTGTTTGTTTGTGTTCTCTATAGTAATTTAGAGTGTTCAAGGGTACTAATGTGTATTCTATTTTGTGTATATTCAATGTCTGTTCTCTATAGTTTAGAGTGTTCAAGGGTATTAAGGTGTATTCTATATTGTTGTCAACCATTAACATTAAGACCCCAGAAATAAAGAGTTTTCTGCATTATCGATTTTGATTTGTGGGTTATACCTTGTCTATCTGTTCATCGTCAGAATCTTGTGCCTTAGCGACAACAATTGTGTATTATACAATGTCTGTTTGTTCGAGGTAAATATGAGAGCGCAATGAAAACTAGAATACTTTGGCGAATCATTTAATAAATTCTAAAATTCTGAAAAGTTTAACTTAATTCATAACATTTGCCAAATCATTTTCAGATCATGGTCGGATTGTGGAATAGGACTACAGGACCGGGAAGGGGGGGAGGGAGGAGGGGGAGTATATTAAGGGTATTTGTGTGTGTTGGGATATGACGCGGCCCCCCCCCCCATCGTACGCCCCTGGCACTGAACATCCTTCCGTATAGACGGCTTTGGGTACCCGGAGGTGATATCGGATAACATAAAGTTTTTTGGAAAATTTGGAAATTGCACGGGTAACACCGAGAACTTCAGCTAAAATCATGATTTAATTCCAAGCGCGGGTCAACGGTGGGAGTAACTTTGAGTAATAAAATAGAAATGGGCAAAGCCGGGCACTCCACTTAATATTTATATATATATTAAATAATACGAAAATGTTGATTAAATATGAAATTATTTTCAAATATAAATCCTGAAGATATTAATTACCGGAAATATTCTAAATAATTCCAACTATTCCAGGCTTAAATGATAATCTTGAATGTTTATGTTTAGAGCGTATTCAGTGTTTTTAAGAATAAACATTTTAAACTGGATTTTCTAATAATACCGCTGCTAAACAGTTCTGTCTACGCTTAGCTCCCCATTAGCACAGACTGCAGCTTGTAATCAAACAATTTGTGAAAATATGATAAAATAACTTTCAAAATGTTAAACCTTCTTCTCTTTTTTAGTTATCTACTTCATTTAGTTTCAGGACAGAGGTAAACACAAGCAGAATCAGAAATAAAACAAATCTACAAATTCAAAATAATAAATCCATAGAGAATAGAATATATATTAGAGGGGAATTTAGAGAATCTCTCGGTATGAATTTTTTCAGTCCCTTTAAGCCTGAAAGGGAGTTCAAAGTGTACAAATCATGTAAATGTTCACAAATTATATGCAGTAGAGTACATTAATACAGTTGTTCCCTAGACTATTCATTTCAATTTCGAATTCTTTAAAGCTGTTAAATAAACTTTATAATGAATTAGGTGAATAAAAAACATCATTTGATTTATAGTTATAACGGAAAATCATCGTTTGTAAAGTGGGCATAGAGTCTATGTGAAATGATCATTGGTCAATTATGAAACCAGCCTATTTCATAATTTGGTTTTCTTTTAACATTAATTTTAGATTTTCTATAAAATGATATTCCAGGGCCCAAAAGGTTATATAGCATAAATATGTGAAGTACACCTGCAGTATGGAAACAGTACAACAAAATGGCCGTTTTACACTTTTTTCTAGTAAATTCCTCTCTAATTTATATTCTATTCTCTTTGAATAAATTCCATTTCATACATATTAGATTATCTAATCATATATTTCAAAATTCATGTTTTAAACTGTTAAAATGATTTGAACGGACCCTCCATTTGAAAAGTTCCATGCTCGATTCACATCAGTATTTATTAAACCGTTATAATACAAACATGTTGTAATTCTAACAGAATAACTTGGGATTTATGCAGCAAAGACAAAGAAGAAAATGGAAAGATTTAATTTTGTTTTAGTAAAAATTACTATATCTTTTTATTGTTGCTTAGATGCTTAGATACAGGTTTAAAGAATGCCGTTATGAAATAGAAAGTATTCTGTATTGGTCAGTTTTCTGTCAAAATATCATTTAAATTTTGTAATTTCAGAATATTATTTTTTTGCATTCTAAAAAATTTCCTTCAATTTTATGAATAGTATACTGGGTCCCGTGAAACTGTGAAGTAGGAAAACAACATTTAAGCAAAAGATTCACCACGAGGTTGAAAATCAACTTATTAAGATAAACTTGTGTACACCGTACAGTACACAATTGCATTTGTTTCTTGTCATTGAGCCCGAAAGGAATTGAGTTTTTGCCACAAACTCTGATTTTCTAATTTCAATATCGTTGCAACCCAATGTCGAAGACCTTTAATATTTCAAACTATGAATGCTATTAGATCAAATAACGTAAGTTTGAAATATTAAAGGTTTAAATTATAAGGTTGCAGAGATATAGGTTTTACAAAAACTGAATTTGTGGCAAAGACTCAATTCCTTTAAAAGAAACTCCCGAGTTTCCTTTTTGGGGTCTTAACATTTGTATAGATTTTGATTAAGGTGATTAAGGATTCTTCTTTCTGTTCTTTCTATGTTTCTATTTTTCTTGTTTCTAGCGAGATTTCCTTTGTTTTTTTAAAGGTGTGGTGCCACCATTAATTTTGCACAGTACTCCCCAGCTGAATCTTCTCTTCGGCTACAGAGCGAAGCACTGAATTTCTAACCGCAACTGATGTTTCAGTACATATAAGACCAATCAATTTTGTGACATAAGAAAATATTATTTTTATAGCAAAGATTATTTGCATGTCAAACTCACAGCTTCCCTTTGTTTACATGCAAGCTGAATAGAAAGCTGCACTAGAATGTCGTCTTATTATTGGTAAATAGGTTTACCACTTATTCAAACTCAACTGTCAAAGCTGTCGTCTTCCTATTCACACTTTAATTTCTCTTTTTTTAGTTGTGATTCTACAAAAATACTGAATGTTACTGCTTTGGATTCAAACTGGATTTGTACAGCTTCCTTCAGTATGCCAGCTCTAGAGTGTCAGGTATACACTATACAGAGTGTTAGAAGACGATTTAAATATCGTCTCTGATCTTTCAAATAATATTCGTCAACCCAATTTTCAAGTATGATTTTACAAACAATATTATCCTCAAGTCCTGGAATTTATAAAATGTTAACTAGCATTTTTGAGTTTAAGAATTTTGTTTGGTTCAGATTTAAATTTAAACAAAATAAAATTGTTCAAACGTTATATATATTTTTTAAGATATAAAGAAGGTAGAACACATTATGGAAAGGTTTTGGTATTAAACATATTTTTTGAAGCACGTTACGACCATTAGATTAATATTAAAGGAAAAACAAATATGATTTATAAGACGTCTCTCTATACCTTCAGTATAACCGCAGCTAATCAGAAATCTGCGATAACAAATCACTAATGAACACAAAACAAATTTCAGAATGCGTTTGATGGAAAAGAATACACTTATTGGCATCCGGGGCACAATGGTAAGAATTAAAAAACTGAAAATTTTAAAAAACGAACAAATCTAATTTTGACAAAAAAAAGTCTATTGATGACTTGTACTTTAAATAATAATTTCTATTTTTTAGTAAAGTTTATCATTCAATGATTGTATGCAGATACCTACGCAAAATAATATTGATTTTCTTCAAGAAAACACAATGTAATTTTTTAAGAATCTCTTCAACACTGTGTTTGAATAGTGAATACACACAGGATTTCAAAATAGAAGTAAATGAACTGTTTTTGTCCAGGATTGCTATGTACACTGTACAGGGAAACCCACAAAGGATAGGACTTAAATGCCGACTTAAAACCATAGATAAAGATAGATTGCGCATAAGACGACATTTTTTTATCTTAAAAGATATAAATGTACAGAGATGTTTTAAAAATATTCCTATTATATAGATTAGCTTGGTCGGTTGTGAACATTGGCTGTTCTTATGTCATTGAGTACTTGTGGTGTGCATGAGTTCTGTAGAGAGAAATTTAAGTTAGTTTAGTCCTTCTCATGTCCTTATTCAGTTCTCGTCAATATGATATATTTCTCAGTGAAATAATTTGATATTCTCAAAATAAAATTCACTAGTGGTTTAATAATTATGAAATTCATTAAAACACCAAACCACCCCGCTTATCATTGAAGTACACTTTGACCCCTAGAAGAATGAGTTCGCGGAGTGTACAATTCTTGGTGATTTTGCGTACATAAGCTATCTATGTTTATTTATTTATCTATGCTTAAAACTCTGGAGTTACAACGATCCGAACGTTAAATTCTGTCATACATATACAGTGATATCCAGAAAACATGAGGAACAGCAATTGTGCAATGTAAACAGACCCATTTTACTTTATAAGTAATTTCATGACTTTCACAGTAAAGCTATTTGTTTTAAATAACATCAAATGCACTTCAGAAAAGCTGTAATGTCGTCTTTCTATTCCACAGTTTTCTGGTTAAGTTGTTAAGTGATTTGTCATTGAAAGAAATACTTTGACAGTTGCAGAAAACCAAGAATGAAAGAAAATCAAGTCATCTCTAAAGTCTCATCCTTTTTGGGTAGCCCTGTACCAAACTTACTGAAGTGAAAGCAAAGACGACTTTTACATCACTCAGATTCTTACTTTCCAACAAAATTAGTCTGTTATTGAAGGAACTGGTTCAGTATTAACCCTTCAATTGCGTGATGATGTTGTGTTGACTGGTCTCAAGATTTACCAGGTTATTATTATTATCATGAGGTTCAGTACAGGGTGTCCCAATAAACATTGTAATTACGTGATAATATTATAATCGTCTTCAATCTGTTATAAATCTGATCTGCGCTTTTTTAGTTTTAAGATTAAACAAACGAACGATCGAGCGTCGCACAAATTGGAATATTTTCACGTTTGTTGAGACATTGCGGATTTTACATACACAAAGGAGGAAACTGTGAAGACGACCTAAAACAGAAGGTTAAATTAAGTCTTCTGCCTTACAATTAATCTTCTAATGGCTGAAAAACGATTTGCCAAAGAAAAATAACAAGTTTTGCAGTTCATGCTGGAAATCATGAATATAAGGAACCATGCTTTATAAATTTAGAACAGTCGTCTCTGAAGTCTCATCCTTTGTGGGTAACCCTGTATATATGTGATTTGGAACAATTCGTAATCTATTATATAATAAAATAGGACATTCATATATACGTTGCGTATAGCCGGCAATACTGATTGGGCTGAATTTTTTTGTAGACACTCATAAATGGCCGTGGGGTGTTATAGGCTAAGAAAAATTTAAAATATTTTTTTCAATAATTTTTAAAAAAATTTTATTCAAAATTTTTTTTTATTTAGTAATTTATAAAATTCAAACGCAGATTTCTAAAATTTTAAAGTTCTCAGGTAATCAAAAATGTCTCAGAATATTATGCAAAGAATGAATCTAATTTCTAGGAAATTTAGATATTATTCCTAGGGTGATGTCCAGAAACTGTCTGAATTCATGCATCTTTTAATTAAAAAACTTCGTTCAGGATTTTTAAATTCCAATAATATATCTCAACATTTTCATGAATACATCAGTAATGACTATAATTTATGCTAAAGGAAATGATTTTTTGCCACAAACTAACATTTACTGAGCCCTTTGTATTTGCAACATCATATGGTGAAAACCTTTGATATTTCAAACTTAGACTATTTCATCTTACAGAATTAATAGCTTGAAAGGTCTACGACATTGGGTTGCAAAGTTAAGGATTAGAAAAATATTTGTGGCAAACACATTTATTTCTTTTCAAAAGTAAAAGAAGGAATGACGACGCTAGTTTCCCATGGTTTATCCCTTAAAAAAAGGTTTTTTAAAATACTCCTTTCATTGCTTCAAACCACGTAGCATCTTTATTCAAGATTCCCGACAGCTCCAATTAACAGCTTTCTGTAACTCAGTTTCCTTGAGTTTTATCAAACTCGATAGCACATTTTAAGAAGAAGAAACCCGAACACATGTAAACCCCAGTGTTGCAAATTCATGATTTTCTTAATTTTGTTTCAGTACACGTGGATTACTGGGTATGCTGATCTGATTTCTGTCAACTTTGGAGGTAGAAGTTTCAAAATTCGAGCAAACGTCAAACGTGAATTCGTTTGGAATGGAAAGGTTTGGAATCCTATTAATATAATGTTATGAAGAATTAAATCAGATCTTTTCTATTTTAGATTCAAAATCGACAAATAAGAGGAAAGTTTCTGAGAATCAAAATTTTAAGTATTTCTGGTGGCTCTATGGGACCTTTCAAGTAAACTTTTATTGGGATTAAACAAACTTAGTATTCCAGGCGGAATGCAAGAGAAGAGTAACATTCCTTCTTGATTTCTGATAGCTAATGATTTTTTAGAAATGTCGCGTCTATTTTTGTTGTATCTTTAAAATTGACGAAGATCAGACACTTTTGATTTTATTCAATTAACTAATAACTGGCTCTGTCAGATTGAACGTACAAAAACGATAGAACGCATTTTGAAAACTAGGGTTCTTTTTTTAAATGAAATGAAAATTAATATCTCTAAAATAAGATTTGTTGAGAAAAATACTAAATTTTCTGATTTAAAAATAATATTTATTTAGAGAAGTTCAGCTTATAGGATGCTCTTTGCGAGGAGAGGTAAATTTGAAAATTAATAAAATTTGTCTTAAAAATAACTTTAATTTTATACAAAGTGGGGTGAATTATTATGCTTTTATTTCAGATAGAAGAGGACTATAATTCTGTTGGTGCTTACATGAAAGTAAGTTTAAGAAAAGAACAATTAAACATTTATTCTAAATGAACATTTTTATTTCAAAATATTATAAAAGTACCAGAATATAGCGTGATAACAAATTGTAAAAATTAAACGTAACTAAATAATAAGTTATTTTTTTATAGAACGATAAGTTTTTTTTTCTAAAAAGACTGTTTTAAACCATTTAAAAAGAGTTCGATAGATGTTGAGAGTGCGGTTTCTAGGAGTGTGAATATTGTAGTATAGCAACCACTAAATGCTTACACTGAAAAGATCTGAAGGACATATATTGGGTTTTAGTGGAGAGTGCCGATTTGTGAAAAGTATTTATTAAGAAGGTACAAAAATATTTATTAAGAAGATAAAAAATATTTATTAAGAAGGTACAAAATATTTATTAAGAATGTACAAAAAATATTTATTAAGAAGATAAAAAAATATTTATTAAGAAGATACAATATATATATATATATTGCGTTTGCATTGATTTTAGGATTTGATTGCATGAAAACTAGCTCAAGCATTCTTTCACTCAGGCATAGAATATTCTTCACATTTGTATTAATACATATTTCTAATTTGATAACTTAATTTTTAATCAAAAAATTTTGCAGATTTATTTCTTTTTAATTTGATTTATTTTTCGATGTAAAAGAACAAAATCTCAATTTGCAGAAATATTTAGAATGCACCTACCAGGAAATATTTAGGATTCACTTACCAGGAAATATTTAGGATTCACTTACCAGGAAATATTTAGGATGCACTTACCAGGAAATGTTTATGATTCACTTACCAGAAAATATTTAGGATTCGCTTACCAGGAAATATTTAGGATGCACTTACCAGGAAATGTTTAGGATTCACTTACCAGAAAATATTTAGGTTNACCACAACATGGATAGTTGCAGGTTATTAGAAACATTTGTTATTTTCTTTAATCTTGTAATTAGTTAGTTCCACCACAACATGGATAGTTGCAGGTTATTAGAAACATTTGTTATTTTCTTTAATCTTATATTTTGTAAGTTCCACCACAACATGGATAGTTGCAGGTTATTAGAAACATTTGTTATTTTCTATCATCTTATATTTTGTTAGTTTCACCACAACATGGATAGTTTAAAGTTAATAGAAACATTTCCATCCAGATTATTTAATCTAATACATTGTAATTCATAACTTATCTGTAATCTTTGACCTTTTACTATTACAATCATAAAAAATTAGATGTTCTTTGTGTACTATTCCTAAAAGGATCATTATATTTTAGGTGTACTCTGTAAACTCTTTCTAATAGGATTATTATATTCTAGGTGTTCTCTGTGTACTCTTCCTAGTAGGATCATGATAATTTAGGTGTACTTTGTGTATTCTTTTTTATAGGATCATAACACTTTATGTGTACTTTGTGTACTCTTTCTATTAGGATCATTATAATTTAAGTTTACTTTTTGTACTCTTCCTATTAGAATCATTACACTTTTGTGTATTCTGTGTACTCTTCCTAATTTGATCATTATAATTTAGGTGTACTATTTCTATTAGGGGCATTATAACTATACCTATTAGGATCTTCCTAATAGGTTAGTTATGATTTAGGTGATCTGTGTACTCTTCCTGTTCATAATAAGATTATTACAATTTATATTTATTTTGTTTACTCTTCCTGTTAAGATCATTCTAATTTAGGTGTCCTCTTTGTACTCTTACGAATGGGATCATTCAAATTTAGGTGTAATTTGTGTGTTCATCCTAGTAGGCTCATTATAATTTAGCTGTACTTTCTGTACTCTTCCTATTAGGATAATAATCATTCAAGGTGTAATCTGCGTACTATTTCTAATAGGATCATTATAATCTAGGTGTACTTTGCGTACTCTTCCTAATAGGATCATTAGGGTGGCTTCTTGTATCCTGGAGAAAACCCAGTTTTCTAGGATTTAAACAAAATGAAGGAAACACTAAAAACGTCAGATTTAAAGGTGAATAATTATCGTATCAATAAAATTGGATATTTTAGCTTTAAATTATCTGAAGAGTTAAAAACTCCGAAAATATATTATTTAAATAAATGTTTCAGCTGTCAGTAGATATTTCAATTAAAGTATTTGGAATTGATGAAACAAAGGGAAGCTGTAACTTAATGGGAAAACATTTAATATCTAGTTAGATAATGTACATTGTATAGATAATGTACATTGTATAGATGATGTACATTGTATAGATAATGTACATTGTATAAATAATGTACATTGTATAGATAACGTACATTGTATAAATAATGTACATTGTATAGATAATGTACATTGTATAGATAATGTACATTGTATAGATAATGTACATTGTATAGATAATTTACATTGTATAGATAATATACATTGTATCATTGTACAAAGTATCATTTAATTTGTTTGAGAGTAAATGATACATTCCTTTATAAAAAGCTGGTTTTTTGGTATGCAACAATTTTCATTTAATGCCGCCCCTTTTAAAAAAAATAATAAATAATAAAAATTTATTTTTTATTTTTTACAAAGGAATATCATTTACTTTCAGACAAATTAGAATCATTTCGCAATGTAGAATATTAACAATAGAATACAATATTATTCCAAAATAAAAATAAAAAAGGGGAACTGAGTTTTTGCAACAAACTCAAATTTTCAAACCACAATATCTTTGCAACATAGTGTCGTATGACCTCAGATATTTCATATTATGGATTTTGATAGATCAAATAATGTTTGAAATATTAAGGGTTTAACTACATCAGGTTGCAAAGGTGCTGGCTTTTGAAAATTTCAGTTTGTATTTAAGACTTTTCTTTCTTTTCTTAACTTCACAAATAATATAAACCTATAAACACATACCTAATTTTGCTTTTTACCAGGCAGCACTTCAAACCTCAGTAGTATCAGTTTAATAAGCGAAGGAAGTCACATCAGTCGTGCCAGCAAATTAAGTCACGCGAGCAAAATAAGTCATAAAAGCAATGCAAGCCTAGGGAGCAAAACAAGCAGATTAAGTAAAGGGAGTAGAATGAGCCGTGGAAGCCAGATGAGCCGAATAGATGAACAGTTTAACCAACAGATTCTTACTGATGTAGATGTACATACATATTAGTAAATTTACAATCAAACTTATTTAAAGCTCTATAGAGTGTTTGGTTAAAAACTAATGATTTTGACATGCAAAAAACGTAGTGTTGTTATTAATGGGTTTAAAATTTTAGTTTTAATTAAGGAGAAATGATCTTTCTATCAGAAGCACCACCTCTTTTATTTAAAAAAACCTCAGTTTTCTTTTCATGACAATTTGTTTGATTGGGAATTGAGTCTTTGCCACAAAATCTGATTTTCTAATCCCTATATCTTTGCAATACAATGTCGTCGACCTTAGCTATTTCAAACTATGAATTCTGTTAGATCCAATAATCAAATTGTTTGGCAAAAACTCACTTTCTTTGAACTAAAGAAGAGGACATTATATTTGTTCTTGATATTTACACCTAGAAAAGGTTGATTAGTTGTTTGTAGAATTTATCAATCCAACAATAATAATATGATTCGTCTTTGATATATCAAACTTAAACAATCAAGTATTGCCATGTTTATACAGACGTAAAAAATAAGAAATAAATAATTTTTTTGTTTAATTTGATAAAGATGTTCTTACTCTAATTTCAAACTTCGAATTTAAATTTAAAAAAAAAAATGCAGTAGATATTTGTTAATTCTATAAGTTGTATGTACGGTTAAAAACTTAATCAAATTTTTGCTTGAGATTAGAAATAAAAATATCCAATTTCGTAGACATCATTATTGCGCCAAAACTATTTTTCCATTTTTATTTGGAATTTTTTTTTCAAGGATATTTTTGCCAATTTATAGAGTTGAATTATTGATTTGCAACGTTGGTCTTTTTAAACCTTAGACAAATTAGAATGATATGTCCTTATTTTTCTGGCTGAAATTAACTTTTTTCAATCGTGGGTACTCTATAACATGACTTCCGAATTTATGATTGCAGATACAAAGACGAAAATGTTCGGAATTCAACAAATTTCAAGAAAGAAAAACAACAATATCTCCATCATTTCTGGAAAGATGAAGACTGTTGTGAATAGGTCAAGACACTCTTTGACGGGGGGGGGGGGGGGAGGGATTTTACTTGAAAACTGGTTTATACTCCCCTTTATGAAAAGTTGCCATTTAACAATTGGGACTGTATATTTATATAATGAATTTGACCCAGGTCGATAAACTACTTATCGTGCGCCGAATCAAAGATTCAACGATTCAAAGTAAAAGATTTATGAAAATTTGAATATGTGATTTAGGATTTGAACCGGTGGTATGTATCGTTGAGAATTTTGCCAATTACTTCTGAAGAACCAAAGCTTTATAGTGCATATACATGTACATGTAAAGGACTATAGTAAAGCGCAAGCAAATTAGAGCAGTAAAATCTAAGCTCAAGGCGTTGCGACACTTCAGAGTTGACAATGTCTAAAAAATTAGTGAAACATTTTAAAAGCAAGGCTGAAAAAGTTATATTTGAGCTTAACAGAAAAAAAAACAAAATACGAAAACGGAATTAGTTGAATAACTATATTTATAGTTATGAGTATAATTTTAAATCGTAGAAAATGGTGTGGTCCCGGCCAGTCCTTAACTTTTCTCAATATTGTCTAGCTTTCTCTTCTGGTTCTAAACGAAGAAGGGTAAAAAGAGTATGAATAAAAAATACAGAGAAAGCTAATCACACGTACACAACTGTCTGGTTGTTAGAGCAAATATATTTCAGGGGGAGTTATTGACCAAAATTTAACAGTGACCAATGTGTATGTCTGTAAAATAAAAACAATAAGAGTAAAAAGTTCTAAATATGCTGATAAACACTCTGGAATTCTAGAATGTTCTAGTAAATGAGATATTTGTGTAAACAACCCCATTACTCAATCAGTGGTTGTCGACTGGTTGAAGCAGAAAACACCATGTTCAACAAAACACAGTGGTATTCATATTTGAATTATAGTTTTTTTAAAAGCACTAACCGGCAATATACAATATCAATATCGATAATTTTTTGTGACGTCGCTCAGAAAAAAACGAACGATGGACGAACGACTTGGATCGTTCAGAGAAATGAAAAACCGATATATTTTTTTTTAAGTAGAAAGAATAAAATCAAATCATTAGCTTGAAATAACGATAAAAATTATTTGATGAAGGAATTTCCGAAAATATTGCGGAAAAAACCAACGTGTTTTTACCAGAACGCACGAAGTTTATAAAACACGATAATTGTTATTGAGATTGAAGTAAATCGATTTTTTTTAACGATTGGAAAAAACGAACGAAATGGGTCTTTCACGATCGATGAGCGAACGGAATGAAAAAACCGAACGCGACCATCTCTACTAACAGTAAATATAAAAGACGTTTTAGCACATAAAACATAATTCTTTAAAGGTGTAATCTGACCTCTTTTTTCTGGATCTCCGCCCTTTTAATCTACAGTGTGCGTGATGCTGATGCACTGGGTAGAAATATGGCACTTCAGAGCAGTGAGCTTTGTGATGTAAGTGATAAAAAATAAATTGTTGAAACCCGCTCTTTTACTATAAGTTAAATGAGATAAGTGAAATTTTTAATTGTTACATTTAGCTTAATGTAATTCTCTCATATAGTTAATTGAATTCTACTAAATGTATGGAAGGGAGTGTTTGCACATAATGAAAGGAGGTATAGGCTTAAACCGGACCAAATTTGATGCGAACACTACTGATTAAGGAAAAAATTGTGATCACGCTTAATGCTAAATAGCGATATAAACCAAAGGAATTGATTCTTTGCCGCAAACTCAAACGTTTTAAGCCCAATATCTTTGCAATCTGATGGTTCAAACTTTTAATATGTCAAACTTAGATTATTTGATCTAACAGATTTCACAGTTAGGAATATCAAGGGTCTACAACAATGGGTTGCAAAGATATATGGAATAGAAAATCAATAAAACCTCCATTCATTTTTTGCAAATATTCCCGTTTAAATTGAGTTTGAAGTTTATGAATGAGTGAGAAGCAGTTCAACTTCCCTTTTTCTGAAGTACAGAGGCTGAAACAAAACAAAGGGAATGAGTCTTTGTCACAAAATCTGATTTTCTAATCCCCATATCTTTGCAACACAATATCATAGACCTTAAATATTTCAAGTTAAATTCTGTTAGATAAGATAATCTGAGTTTGAGATATAAATAGTTTAAACCGCCAGGTAGCAAAGATATTGTGATTAGAAAATTTGAATTTGTGCCAGAGACTCAATACATTTAGAAACATCATTAGAATTCACTTCTTAGTTTTCAGTCAGGCCTTCCTTGTATATAATTTAGCCACAATTATTTAATTTCCAACTTTGGTGATGCGTTTAATTAATCCTAGGGTTAAGTTACGATTGACTATTTACCTATAGTTGTAAAGGAGATATGGCGACATATTTGTTTTTATCTATTGAACGTTTTTTGACCAAATGATAATTTTCTCCAAAATTTTACAACTCGTGATTAAAATTTACCTTACAATATGATATTTTTTTAACAAGAATGTTTAGGTTACAAACAACTCAATAGCAGGAGAAGGTTTCAACATTGTGAGCAAGGAAAGGTTTGTCTAGTTAATATTTATAGTTTAATGTCGAACTATTGCATAATCCTCTTGTTTGGTTGTAGATGTAACCAGTTCTGTACAATGAACAATGACTGTGCATACTGGACTTGGTACAAATCCCATAAGTAAGTATTTTTAATCAGCTGCTGGAATAGAATATATTACTGAGCTTTGGCCACAAACTCTAATTTTCTAATAAGTTTTCAAAGAAAACAATGTATTGCCTCTTTAGTACTTTTGGTGGAGGGTCTGAGTCCAGTGCTCGCGAGAATGTTTGCTACGCGCTCAATACCTGTCACCTTATCACTGAGAAGTGCTTGGACTGTGCATCAGGGAAACGGGTATGACGGGGTTAATCGGTGATGTACACATGGGTCGGATGGATTAGGAAAAGAGAGAACTGAAAGCTGAGAAACGAGGGTTGATGTAAAGAATTGGCGAAAGATAGATCAAGGGGAAGGATTTGTGTTTGATTTTTTTGTACATACAGCTTGGAGAAGATAAAAGTTGGTTTTAATGTCGTCTTCCACAATATCAGCTCTGATAGTGTATTTTTCGACCTAATCAAATTCGCTATACTCCACTTCTGACCTACGCTGTAAAAAAAATTCAAACAAAAATCCTGCATTTTAAAACCTTCTTTAACTGGATGGCTGATTTGCTACAGGGTGTCCCACGAAACATGACAGTTGGTAAATAATTTGAAATGTCTTCCCCTTATACTGTAATAGATATTAAAGACTTTGGGCATTGCTTTTCTAAAATATATTTTAATTTGAAATCAATTTTACGATAATATGACTACATTTAAATATTCTCAATTCTCTTTGGTACAGGGTGTCCCACATCATATTAGACCGTCAACAGGTCTAAATTGCGATTTTCGGGACTAATAAGAAAATTTGAAAAATAACATAAGGCTTATATAATAATTTTCTTGCGGAAAATGATGAGTTTTTCGAGTATTAAGGGTTTATTTCGTCGTTAAAGATTAGAGATAATCTAATATGATATGGGACGCTCTGTATTAAACATCTTAAGTAATTATGGAAGAAGACATTTTAAATTATTCACCAACTGTCATGTTTCGTGGGGCATCCTAAAGGTCAAGTATGGCCCTTCCATTTCTAAATTGTATTATCTCATGATATTGTAGACAGTGGCTGGGACCAAGTCAATGAGTGCAGAAGTGGCAGCAGAAATGGCAAGAAAGATTATAGAAGTAGAACGGAAGAAGAGAAATAATCGGGAAGATTTGTGATAAATAAATGTATTCTTGCAAAAAATTGTTTCACCATGTACTGTGACTTAAGGGGGGGGGGATTCAATGTCTTTCTTGGAAGTTTATTTAGTACAAAATAAAAAAGTGCATTTAAAAAATATCAATAACAAAAACAATTTTACTTTAAACTCGAGTGAAATTTAAGTATCCGAGGGTTTTCTAAGGTTTTTAGTTAAACGAGTGCAGACTTGCAGAGAGGGGAGGAGGCATACTCTGAGGAACTGAGGTACAGGTAGGGAGGGAGGGAGTGAAGGATAACATTTATTGTCGAAATTAAATCATATTTGTTACAGAAAAATACGATTCATTCATAATTCCCGCAAAGTTTTAATTATTTAGCTGAAAAAAATATATGTAAAGGTTGAATAGTAAACTAAAACTTTTAGCCGCCTCGTGACTTAATTAAATTATCATATTTTGTGTAACCTAGGGTTTTTTCGCGAAATTTCGCTTTTATTCGCGAAAAAGTTTGCAAAGTGCGACCGAAAATTTTCGCAACGTTTCGTTCGATGGAAACCCTAGACTGGAGTCTGTAACCCTGTATAAAATGCTAAATTAACATTAACATGTGTGTTTTAGCAATATATTATTGTATATGAATAAAAATCAATAAAGCAATGCACTGAGTTTCTCAAATATTCAACGCTTCGTTTTTTCTTACAATATATTTATATACAAAAGATACAAACTTTAAATCGAACGATACTTATACAAACTAAATATTATGAATCAAATCAGTTTCATCAAATAGGGGACATTTTACATTTTGCATTTTTTCATCGTTTCACTTATACAAACTAAATATTATGAATCAAATCAGTTTCATCAAATAGGGGAATTCTTCAAGGGAACCTACACATAGGGAGCTGGTCTTCAACTGCCTGTCCTCCTTCGATTTTGCTCCATCCTAGGATCGCATTTAACCCTAGCTACCCCGGGGTTGTTCCGCCCCCTCCCCAACGCTTGGGTCTTCAAGATAACGGAAAATTCGGCGTCGCTTGGGTTATTTATAGAATCCAAATGCAAACTCAAATAAATCCGTTAGGATTCAAAATAGGACTCTAAAGTCCAACCGTAGGGTTAAAGATGGGGGGGGGGGGGTAAGGGGGCATGATTCCCCTTGGTAGCTATGATCTCAGCGATCCAAAAAATCCTTGAATTGCTGATCGTAAAAGATCAACAAAACTCGCCCACTGTTACAATATATATGTGTGCATTTACAAAGTAATTTTGCTATTGAGATAATACACATTGTGAAGTTAAAAAGTAAGGGACGTTTAAACAAATTATATTCAGTTTTATAAAATATAACGTTTCAAAGGTAAATAAATAAAAAAATTTAGTTGAACAAGTTTTTACCTCTGAAGATTCAGTTGATGTAATTTTTTTAAACCCTTAGATTTTGATCTATTTGATACATGGTGTCCCAATAAACATGGGAATCAACGTTTTGTTGAACATTTTTTATTTCGTATAATTTACTGTTCATAATATATGATTTGCCTAAAATGTCCTACCTACCTGCAAGGCTGCAAAATAAAAAATATTCCATTTTTTATTATATATGCTCTCCACATAAAGAATAGTTATATAAAAATTACAAAAAACAAAAAGCTTGAGGAATCTCGCACAATACAGATTTCATCAGACTTTGCAAGTTTGCATAATTTACATGAAAATTCAACAGCTCAATCTGGCCCTTATCTTGTCTTTCTCAATCATTCATCTATTATATATATAGATAGAATCTTTTATATACGAGAAAAAACCACATAAAGAGGTAATAAAATTGCATTATCTTTCATACAACACACGTACTGTAGTCTGTACGTACTGTTAGGTAAAAATTAATCATTGAAGTTAAGAAAAATGTTTAATTTTGACTTGTTGTGAAATAAAAAACAAAAAACCTGGATTTGTTAAGACTTAAAATATAATTAGAACATATTTAGTTTTGAGCAAGATCAGTTATTTTCAAGTTTAATATTAAAAAGTCTAAAACACACAGATTAGCTTGTTAAGATACGAAAAATTTCAAGTTCTCACATGTTACAAATGTTCAAAATGTTTAAGCACGTATAATTTCTAAATACTTACATTCGATCCTAATTCATCCAAAAAATATGACCCCCACTGGACCCACCTGAACTGATCAAGGCAGGTGCATAGCTAGGGGGGTGGGCAAAAGGACACGTCCCCTCACCCTTTTTAACCCCAAAGGGGGGTACATGGGGGGGCACACTTTCTGAGACAAAAAAAAAAAAAAAAAATGAAAGAAAGAAGAAAAAAGGGAGAAAATTGGCATAAAATTTAATTTAATTTCCATTATTTTGTGTAAAGAATTATTTTTTTTCAAATTAAAGAAAAATTGACTGCTTTCTGAAATAATTTATTTGGAAATTTAAATTTCTAACTGTCTTGTGAAATGATGGGTTTATTTTGTATTTTGAGAAGCTTACCCTTTTCCCTTCTTTTATTAGATTAATTATTCTGATGAACCATCGTACAGCAAAAAGTAACATGGGGACCAATTTGAAAAATATACAAAATATGGTCAGGTTTAGGAGAAGCTGTTTGAACTAATCCTCAAGCTTGCAGGGAATTATTTAAAAAAAGTTAGTTTTGAGAAAACTGAAGAGATTCATGCTTGAGCTTTGCTTGTTCTTTACACCCTTTTACATTCTTTACTTTCTCTGTATTAGAAATAAGTATTGCATGGCTTTTCGTGTTTCACAATTTTTCAGTAGTACAGTAGTACAGTAGTACAGTAGTACAGTAGTACACTAACACGCGCCTGAACTGAAAGCCTTTTTCAAACTATGCAGGACTAAATCTATATTGCACAATTATCTTCACAAACGCCTCTAATCAGAATTTGTACACCTCCATATTTTTGCAAATATTTTTGCATACTGGATTAAGCTCAGACTAGAGCTTTTAAAAAATGTAATATTTTGCATATGTTGTTTAATGACACTTTTTCACATTTGTTACGAAATAACTGGTTTGTGCAATAAAAGCTTCGATTCCTGCAAAATTCAGTATTTTCTTGGTTATTGAAGTAAAAAGAGTCCAAGTCCTAGGCAGAGGGAATAGGGTCAACGAATTGTGTCTCAGTGATAGTAATATATAGTGATAGTCACGGGCAGTCGTAGTCAAAGAGAATAGAATATATATTAGAATGGAATTTAGCAAACCCTTGGTATGAATTTTGTCAGTCCCTTTAAGCCTGAAAGGGAGTTTAGAGTGTACAAATCATGTAAATGTTCACAAATTATATGCAGTAGAGTACATTAATATAGTATGTTCCATAGACTATCCATTTCAATTTCGATTTTTTTAAAGCTGTTAAATAAACTTTATAAAATGAATTAGATGAATAAAAAACAACATAGTTGATTTAAAGTTATATCGGAAAATCATCGTTTGTAAAGTGAAAGGCATATAGTCTATGTGAAATGATCATTGGTCAATTATGAAACCAGCCTATTTCATAATTTGGTTTTCTTTTAATATTAATTTTTAGATTTTCTTTAAAATGATATTCCAGGGCCCAAAGGTTATATGGCGCAAATATGTGAAGTACATCTGCAGTATGGAAACAGTACAACAAAATGGCCGTTTTACACTTTTTCTAGTAAATTCCACTCTAATATATAGTCTATTCTCTTTGGCCGTAGTACATTTGAATTTCCGAACCGGGTCAACCTTTCCGGTCCCAGTTTGTACTGTATCGCCTGGACGTTGGGTAAATAAAGCAGACACTCAATAGGACAACAAGGTTGACACGGTAAGACTTTAGGTTGAATTTACTTTTACTAAAGGGTCAGAGGTGCGTGTATTGCTGTTAATTGTTTCAGAAAAATAATGAATTTTGAGATTTCAATATCTTTATCCTTAAAAAACGAAATAACGACCCAACAACGGATGTTACAACACGTTCATTTTTGCATCGTTTTTGAATAGTTTTTGGTCGTTTTTTGCACATATCTTCTTTCATCGTTAAAATTTTACTTAAGATAAGGAAGGAAAATGTTTAAAATAAACAATTGTCTTTTCTTACACTTTGTCCAATCTTAATCCTGAAGGAAATTAAAGGCAAAAAAACGTCCAAAAAATAAACCAACTTAATGCACATTACAAGTTAAAGATAAAGCGTTAGAAAAACGAATGAATAAATGCAAATCAGGTTATTTTAAATGTTAGTCATGAATGAATGTATTATGAATTTTTGAAGCTTATGAAAACTGTGATAACTAAAATCTGTTGATTGTTATTTCCTCTCTATATACAGGGTTACCCTCAAAGGAACAGGCTTTCAAGGTTCAATTATGTCTTCTATCCTGAATATTGTCTTTAAATGTTTTATTTGATGGGTTGGAAAAGAAAGAAACAAGTTTACAGTTGCAGAGAATCATAAATGTAAGGAAACCTACAGTATAAATTTCGTATAATCTTCTTTAAAGTCTCATCCTTTGTGGGTAACCCTGTATATATCTACATATTTTGCTACAGTGTGCCCTCTGCAGTTCTGTGGGTAACCCTGTATATATCTACATATTTTGCTACAGTGTGCCCTCTGCAGTTCTGTGGGTAACCCTGTATATATCTACATATATTGCTACAGTGTGCCCTCTGCAGTTCTGTGGGTAACCCTGTATATATCTACATATTTTGCTACAGTGTGCCCTCTGCAGTTCTGTGGGTAACCCTGTATATATCTACATATTTTGCTACAGTGTGCCCTCTGCAGTTCTGTGGGTAACCCTGTATATATCTACATATTTTGCTACAGTGTGCCCTCTGCAGTTCTGTGGGCTCTAGATAAGGTCAAACCTTAGACATGGAATTGTCCTCCAATTTTATTAGTTTTCCTTCGAACTCTGCACTGCGAACACATTTATATATCTTCAGTTAAAGTTAAAATTAGTAATACGCAAACAGATTATCAGTTTTATGTTTGAAACAATCTGTCTAAGTTTAGAAACAACTTAGCGTTATACGCAAATTCTCGATTGTCAAGTTTTTCGCTAGCAACATTTTTAATTGTAAATATGATATTTTCTATTGATAAAAACAACAAGTTTTCTATTGTTGGAATAGGTTTTTTTAATTTTTCGTTTTACAAACAAGCCTTCCCCGGAATTGACATTTTTTTTGAGATTTCGAACAGTTCGTCAAATGTAATCCTTCAATAAACTGTTAAACGGTGCTATCAAAGAAACCCTAATTTGTCTACAGCAAGAATTCTTCCTCCAAGTTCTGTAAAATAATCTACTGAGAGAAAACAGTAAAACCTTAAAACTTTCTTAAACAATGTTCGATATCAGTTTCCAACATTTTCATTGGATAAAATATATATTTGAAGTACAGAACAGATTATTAAAGTATTCAATGTTTTGCTGCGGCAATTGGATTTAAAAAAAGAATTAGAAATTTGAAAGAAGTTGTTTGAAAAATCCATCATAACTCCTCTAATGAAAGAGCTTATGCGTTTGTGTTAAAGTCAATTCCGTTTCTCTCCCCATACTTGTGACTTGTGAGCTACGAGGTTACAAAGTGACACAAGTAATAACATATTAACCCTGTCCTTTTTTCTATTTCAATGTGATCTAATTCTATTTTCTATATATCTAGATTGTAGATACATAAAAAGATAAAAAATGAATAGAATTTAGAGAAGCATTTTAAACGTTTTAAGAATTTGTAACACAGGAAAAATGTCGAAACCCAACCTGGAAAATTCGTATATACAGGTAAAACAAATAATTTCAAAACAAACTCAAGTCTGTTTTATTAGCAAATACACACCAGGTCACTAAAAATTTAGTATAATTTTAGGGTTTTATCTTGCTCATTTTGTTGGGAAAACCCCTAACATTTAGATCGGAATATAGAACGACCAAAGCATTTTGAAATCAGAACTTTAATGTTCTAAACTATAAACAGCATGGTTGGGACAATTAGCAAAATTTTATATCCCAAAATTACTTTCGTAATGCTTACGGAACGTTCGATGATACAAACATACATCATGGGTTCTTCAATGTGAGTAGAAATAACATTTTTGAGACAAGTAACAGTTCAATATTTTTTTACAATTAAAGGGACCGTTCACTTATTTTTGTAATCTCATGGTAAGCTAATTAGCCTATTAGCTATTCATTGGGATCAGCCTTACTTTTTAAAGATATCTATGACCGGAGAAAAAGCCGATTTATTGCTTAGAATTCCAGCGTAAAGGTATGATACCTTTGCGCAAAGATATCATACCTTTCATAGACACTGACACCCTGTAAGCCATTATGAAAATATAAAAACTTTTGATTTTAGAATTAACAAGAAATTAACGATTTCCGTGTTCAAACATGATTTAACAAATTAACACCTTCATACAAAGACGATTTTCTCTCTTAGACTAACCGGTTCCTAGATTCCAATTATAATAACATAAACAATTCTAAAATAATTTTGTAAAAAATAATTATATCTACAATTAACTATTTTTAGATACTAATATCAATATTTGAAAATTTTGAAATATATCCATGACTATTACAAAACGCATCAAATAGTGTAAATGCAAAGGTACCATACCTTTGCGCTAGAATTCTGAATGATACATCGGCTTTTTCTCAGACCACAGTTGTCTTTGAAAAGTAAGACTAATACAAATGAATAGCTAATAGAGGCTATTTAGATTAGTCTCAAATTACCCAAACAAGTGAACAGTCCCTTTAAATAATCAGGAAATTGCTTCTTTTTGTGTTATTGACTTTTTCTCTAATAATGTATTGATCAAACTAAGGTCTTTTATCCGATAGTTTAAAGGAGTTTTTTTGGGGAGGATTTTTCTTGCCTGGTTCATTGGATCCATAATTTACCAGATTCTTAATTGAAAATAGAACTGGGATGTATAAGTAAAGCAGTAACCCGTCCTCAGGCTGACGATGAAGAAATATTCTATGGCCAACTACGAAAGTAGAAACATATTTATTTAAAATTGGAAACATTTAAATTTTGGAGTCAAATTCTGATTTTCTAATCTCTCAATTTTTGATTATAATCACTTTCAAACTATATGGTTATTTTATCTGGCAGATTTTATCTATGCAAGTATTTTGAACATGTTAGAATTTGATAAAATAATAATAGATTTGGCGTTTTTTAGTGCTAAAGAATTCTGTGTCCACAGTTAAAATAACCATATAATTTTGGTTTAAAAGAATAACAATATTTATTAAAATCAATCTAAAAAATGCTTAATTTCTGTAGAATCTTGGTTTCCAATAAAAGCATCTTATCAAAGAGAAAAATACATTTTCTTTTAAGATGAATTGAAATTCTGTTATTGTATTTATTAAATTTAAGATTTTTGGACAATAAACCAGAATCCTTTTCAATGTTTTAATGATTCAGAGAACAGCACTGAATACTGAACAGGATGAACAAAATATAGAGAACAGTAGACTTCTAGCGGGAAACAGCAGTAGTAATTCAGATGAAAACAGGAATCTATGTCAAACTTTTTAATATTTTACATTTTTCTTGATTGACCTTCGCCTTTCCCTCAAGACCCTATAAAAGCTTTTTTTTGCCATTTTTTTGCCATTTTTGTTTTGGTACGCCTCTTCTCTCTAGTAGATACATCCAGGGGTCAATATAATTCCATCTTTGGTCTTAATTAGCTTGAAATGAAAAATGCATTTTGGAAACAAAAATGCACTTTTTGCGTCAATGTAAACTATGATTAAAGTTGTATAGCTAGTTACACACTTATTTTCGGTGATAACTAAATTATTAAACTTTACACTTCGTCAAAACTCTGTTCTGTTTTTAATATAAAATCGGTTATAATTAATTTATTATTATTGAATGAATTATTATAAATTTAGTGAAGTTCCATGCTGAATGAAGAAAGTCCCGGAAGTGTTATACATTATTTGAAACTTATGTAATCATAGAAATTACGCAAAAAATGTTTTTTTGCATAAATTGTTTTTTTTCTTCTCTTAAATCATAATTGCACGTACACGATTTAGCTTATCATTCATTTAAGGTTTTCTGTTTTCTTCAGCTGCAACTCTTAAAGGGGCTGTAGTCTGTACACGTACAGTCACGTGACCCTTCATTTAAAGATGGTCAGGAAAACGGTTTAAAGGATGCCGTTTTGAATCGAATTATTAGAATGGCGGGTCGCTTATAAATTACAAGGACAGTCCCTTCAAATGATGAATCTTAAAACTTGAGATGCTTTCTAAACTTTTATTCTGTCAAAGTTAGTTTACGACTGGATTACATAGGAAGCTGTCTCCAAAAGGAATGTCGTTAAAAACACCGGAAAATGAAATCCCCAGAAAAATCAGGGTTTATCAAGGTAGGAGTTTAAAATATAAAATCTATCGTCTATACAGATGGAGAACGGGGAAGGGGGGGGGGTGTAAGTTTACGCCCTCAAAATAAGCTCTTAGAATCTGCAGACAAATGTATCGGGGCAATAATAACACGAGATTGAGATTTTCATCCGAGGGCAGATTTTACTTTATAAGTAGACACACAATAACATCGCTTAGTAGACACAAAATAACATCGCTTAGTACTAGTAGACACAAAATAACATCGCTTAGTAGACACAAAATAACATCGCTTAGTAGACACAAAATAACATTACTTAGTAGACACAAAACAACATCGCTTAGTAGTAGTATACACAAAATAACATCACTTAGTACTAGTAGACACAAAATAACATTGCTTAGTAGTAGACACAAAATAACATTGCTTAGTAGACACAAAACAACATCGCTTAGTAGACAAAAAATAACATCGCTTGGAAGACACAAAACAACATCACTCAGTAGACACAAAATAACATCGCTTTCGGACGCAACAGAAAACTTTCTTTCATGCACAGCAGTGCAGAGATCGCAAATTACTTTTTACTTTCAAACGTCCACAAAATAAACAAAAAATATCTAAAAAACAATGAAACAATATTTTAACATGAGACAATTATAATATAATGTTGATTAATCTTGTAAAAGTAAAGCACAGTATAGTACAGTACAATGAAGTACAGTACAGTACAGTACAGTACTGTACAGTACAGTACAGTATTGTACAGTACAGTACACTACTGAACAATAAAGAATACAGTATCGATGTTTTAAGGAGTCTTCCTATCTTTCTACTTATTGTTTAGAAGTATTTCTAATTGTCCTGTCTGAAGTACTTACTGCTTAGAAGTATTCCAAATTGTCCTGTTTGAAGAACTTACTGTTTAGAAGTCTGGAGTAATAATTGTTTAGGATTATTCCTATATATCCTATCTGGAGTACTTATTGTTTAGAATTATTCCTATCTATCCTGTCTGTAGTACTTATTGTTAAGAAGTATTTCTATCTATCCTGTCTGAAGTACTTATTGTTTAGGATTATTCCTATCCATCCTATCTGAAGAGCTTATTGCTGAGAAGTATTCCTAATTGTCCTGTCTGGAGTACTTTTTGTTTAAGAGTATTCCTATCTATCCTATCAGGAGTACGTATTGTATAGAAGTATTCCTATCTATCCTGTCTGGAGTACTTATTATTTAAGAGTATTGCTTATCTAAACTATCTGGAGTACTTATTGTTTAGAAGTATTCCTATCTATCCTGTCTGGAGTACTTATTATTTAGGAGTATTTCTATCTATCCTGTCTGGAGTACTTTTTACAGCAAATAATTTCATCATCAAGCATTTCAACGTAGTACCAGGCGATGCAGTTCTAGGTAAGTAGAAAAAGAAATATTTCTATTTTACTAACAGATAGATTTATTTTCTTTAGAGGCGTATACAGGAGGGGCCATTCGGGCTAAGGCCCTAATTCTTGAAGAGTGAAAACTATGATATTTAGATGGGAGTTCAAACCCCACCCCTGGAATTTCATAGTAATTTCTCCCTTAGACGAATTCCTGTATACGCCATGATTTTCTCATACCCGTCCATTGTTTGTACTGTTCACTTTATATGATTCTTTAATGTTGATTTAATGCTGATTGGTAATTAAATAAACTGTCAGTTTTAAACATTTGAAAACAAAAAACGAAAGGACTCAATGTCAACAAAACGATCGGTAACCGGCAAAAAAGTTCTTTGAAAAAAAGTTTTCGGAAATAAAGTCCTAAATTTTGGCACTGAAAAAGTCCTGTGGAAAAAAGTCCTAAAAAAGTCTCTGGAAATAAAGGCACACTATTTTGAGACTTAATTTTCTAGGACTTTTTTTCTGGTACTAATTTTTATTTCCAGGTTTTTTTCCAAGAAACTTTTTTCCTGTGAGGTTCTTACATAGATCCTAAAGGATCAGTGCGTTTTTTAGAAACATGAAAATGTCCTGCACCCTAATTGCAAAAGGAATGTTTGGATAACAGTATGGGTTACTTATAAATTTAAGTTCAGAACGTAATGTAATTGTGTTTACGGGAATATTTAGTGACACCCTTGAACCGATTTTAAAGATAAACATCTCATATCAGTCACGAACTTACAATATGTTAACAATAGGATTATTTTTTTATTCTTATTTCATTTTCATTTACATGAGTTAGTGATTTCAAGTATTCATATTATTAACTACTAGCTTGTGAACCCAGCCCTGCCCAGGTTACTAAAAGTTCCTCCCGTCGTTTTCCCGCACTAAATTTTCGTGATAAAAGTCGACCGACTCAACTAAGAATCTCAAAATTAAGCTAAGTACATTCCCGTGGGTCTCTCGAGTTCCCCAATCAAAATTTAATCGGTCCGATTGTTCCTGAGTTATGATTGGACAAACAAACAGACAGACAGACAAACAGAGATTACAAATTTATACATATAGATTTTCACTTCACATCAACAAAATAATAACTACAGGGTGTCCCAATAAACATGGGAATTCAGTGACGAATTCGATATCGTCTTTTTAAATAATTCTCTGCTATGTTTACAATTTGTTTGTTTATGTATTGACTGCATACGGTTGTACTTAGTAAAACGTTTAAAATTACAGTATACCAACAGAGTAAACTTGTCCGTCTTCACTGTTTATCTTGCAAAGACATTGTAGACACATCTTTACAACCATTCACCGTTTTCATAAAATATACTCTAGCAGACATAATACTATTATGTTTTTGAAATTGGGTATTACAATGCTAATTCATAACAAAGACGATATTGAATTCGTCACTGGACACCCTGTATTACTATTTCTAATTAAGTGCGAGGGTTGGTTCAGGTTCTCCTGCTTTTGGGTTTCTCGGTATCTAAAAACTATCAGATACTACCAACAGAGTCCAGGTTAGGAATTGATCAATTTTATAGATTTAAATATTATTGTTTTGTTAAAAAGATATTAAATATTGCACAAATTAATTGAAGAAGTATGATCTTCACACTGGAGTTCAGTAAACCTTCGTCGGAGTTATCGATCGTTTTCTAACTTTAGTTATTTCTCCTGAATTGATTTTCTCTTCAATCAAAAGTGGGTTGTGCAATGTGCATATATATTCCTGATACAGCAGGAGATAACAAAAAATTGTCTAAACTCAACAGTTCAACACTTTTCTGAATAAAAATCGATGATATCTTTTACGCTTTTACATAAGATTTTGTACCGTTGCAAATCAGACATATTCCATGTATGAAGGGTCACTTAAAACTACGTTTGCAGTACACTTTATTTAGATTTTTTGTGATATTTTTATTTGCTTTGTTATTCTATCAATATCTATACCAACATTACTTTAAGATGTATTTCCAGGATATTTTGTTTTGTAATTCTTCAATCAGTTCTGGGAGGATTATCCTTCATTTCAGCTTTAATATGTGTATCATTAATGCCAGTGGCGGATGCTTTAGGTTAGTTCAGAAACTCAAGTTCTTATTCAAATCAAAGACGAATTCAAGATGATTCTTTTTTAAATGATCTATTTTTAGTTATAATGTTCTCTAGTCCTCTTGCAACAATGGCTGTAGCAGCAATATTTCTAGGTATTTTCAGCAAAAAATAACTTTCTAAAAATTTCAACAAAAGAAATTGAGTCTTTGCTACAAACTCTGATGTTCTAATCCCTTATGTCTTTGCAACCCATTAAACAATCTAAGGGTTACACTACCAGTTTGGGAAAGATATTGGGTATAGTAGGTTAGAGTTTGTGGCAAAGACACAATTTCTTTTATTTTCCTAATTTTCTGTTGTTGTTAGGAGAGAGGTTCAATATGTTACGAATTATGATGGGATTATCAATATTAGCCGGGGTTACGCTTGTTTGTAAACCTCCATTAGTCTTCCCTTCATTTCAGATTCAGGTACAGTACACGTACTTGTAGTTTGTACACGCTCTGGTTCGTCTTTAGGGTAAAAACCTGTAAATGATCTTTTAAAGATCTGATTTTATCACATGTTTCAGAATGATACGATTAATGGTTCCTCCGAAGAAATGTTTATCAACTCTACTGAAGATGTATTGAAAAGTACATTTTTAGGTATAACCAAACATGCACATTTTCAATTGATGTTTTTTATAATCAATCAGGAATTCTGAAACATTGAGCACCAAAAAAACTACAATTTTTAGACTCAAGTTATGACTTTAAATAGGTCATTGAACATGAGACACAACAATGTGTAAACAGTCCCATTTAACTTTGATAAGTTATTATTAAAAGTACTGATATAATGTCTTCTTCCTATTCCACAGTTTTCTGGTTCTCACTGTAGGAGGAATCTGCATACAAAAACTTCTAAATGAAATTGGTTCACGGGGGGGGGGGGTAATAATACATTCTTATTTGATTAAGTCACGTTGCGGCATGGCCTTAAAATTAATTCAAAATGCTTTTTAAAATGGTAAAAATCCTCCTTTAATGAAGTCTAGGATATTTTAAATTTAGTGGAGTTCATTATACAACCTACTGAAGCAGGGTTTCCAATAATATATTAGATTTAGATAATGGGACACCTGAGGTGGTTCATGATACAACCTACTGATCAGCAGGGTTTCCAATAATATATTAGATTTAGATAATGGGACACCTGAGGTGGTTAATGATACAACCTACTGAAGCTGGGTTTCCAATAATATATTTTAGATTGAGATAATGGGAGACCTGAGGTGTTTTATGACTCAACCCACTGAAGCAGGGTTTCCAATAATATATTAGATTTAGATAATAGGACACCTGAGGTGGTTTATGATACAATCTACTAAAGCAGGGTTTCCAATAATATATTTTAGATTTAGATGATGGGACACCTGAGGTGGTTCATGACACAACCTACTGGACTGGGGCAGGGTTTGCTATGGCAGCTGTATTAACTGGAACATTCCATAATATCACTGTACCGGCTTGTAAGGTAAAGTTTAATAACTATCTGTAACACTGTTATTTTGGTTTGCAGTGTAATAAAGTTTTTGGACAGAAATTTTCTCTTTATCGAGAAGGTTCAATCCTTTATAGATTTAATTTTGTCCCGAGCTTTAGCGAGGGACAAACTATAATCTAAAAAGGCGAGAACCTTCGAGATATAGGGAAAATTCAAGTTCAAAAACTTTATAACACCGCGAACCAAAATAATAATGTCATAGGTAATTTTATGAGACGGAAATATTCTAATTTTTTTGAGAAAATCCGGAAACTAATCAAAGCTTTATAGCACACGTGCTATAACGTAGAGCTAATTTAACTTTATAGCACGATGATTACTTTATAGCACCTTCATTATGAAATTCACTATGAAGTGATGAAGAATGATAAGGTACACAATAGTTTCACAGACTTGTAAAACGTACTTTAAAGCATCTATAATATTTATTAGTTAAGAACTTTAAAATATGTATTCATTTTGTAAAGAATGTTAGATATTATGAGTGCATTTTAAGGGAAATATAATTAGAACTGGAAACTTCAAATTGGGTATCATATCATTATAATTTATTTCGTAAATTCCAGCTCAATACATTGAAGGATATAAAAACTTAAATCTCCACAAACTTTAAGTTTTTGCCTCATTTAGCTCATCCCTTATTTATTACTTCAACATTCTGAGGTTACTACTTAAACGCGTAGTTTGTTAACTGTACTATATCTAACTTCTCTTCTGCCCCACTCTCTGCAAAACATGTTGCAAAAATGCATTCGCATTTTGAAAGCTGTAAAAAACAGAACTATGTTTTGCAAATAGTTACATCTGTTAAAACTCAAACAATTTGAAAGTATTGAGAAGAAAAAAGTTTAACTAAAAATTCCTTCATCCATTCAGAATTAAAGTTTATTAATATATTTTTTATAAGGTTTCAAGTGCACTTACTCTTCGAAGATACGTTGTTGTTCTTGATACAGTTTTATGAATACTTCTTTTTAACAGCTGAGAAAAGCAATAAGTTTCCTTTATACCTGGGGTTAACAATTTTACTTTAATGACGTCTCAAAGATTGAAGAAGTGTTCAGTTTAATACGTTTAAGTTACATAATCTTAAGATTAAATGCGTGAGCTCAAGCTTCAAGGTCACGATCTGTAGACACTTATTAGAGAAACCCAGACTTTTTGTCTTATTGCACAGCGTTATTTTAAAATACAAATGAAAAGTATTAAGTAAGGTACAGGTTTACCCACTAAAAGTGGGACCTTACTGCAGCAACCTGACACTCTAATTTAAATATGACAATCTAAAAGGGGAACATGGCTAGCTTTAGCGGCAGGATAACTTATAAATGTAAAAAAGTCTTCAGAAAATCTTTAAAGAGGTATCTTGAATCTCATTCCTTGTGGGTATAAACCATGTACTAGATTTATATTCAACCATAAATATCAGTGAGCGGCCAAAGTCAGCAAGGTGGTATTATATGAATTATAAGACAGAGAAAGATTATTATTTATTTTAGGGTTATGTTGGGTTAAGACACTTTCTAGGCCTTGCGCTGCGGCTAGTACAGGCTGGGAAACCGAGCGCCGCAGCTAGAACTAGCTCTCTCTCTGTCTATCTGTCGAAAAATCAGTATTTTCTTAAAGGAACTGTCAACATAATTTCAAGTTCCCATCCACTCAAACAAGGGAATATTCAATTTATAACAGTATCCTTTAAACATTTGACTGAACAGAGTTTACGTTTGCATACAGTGAACTACATAGTGTTCCATGGTGTTCCATAGTATTCCATAGTGTTCCATAGTGTTCCATAGTGTTCCATAGTGTTCCATAGTGTTCCATAGTGTTCCATATAGTGTTTCATAGTATTCCATAGTGTTCTATAGTGTTCCATAGTGTTCCATAGTGTTCCATAGTGTTCCATAGTGTTCCATAGTGTTCTATAGTGTTCCATAGTGTTCCATATAGTGTTTCATAGTATTCCATAGTGTTCTATAGTGTTCCATAGTGTTCCATAGTGTTCCATAGTGTTCCATAGTGTTCCATATAGTGTTCCATAGTGTTCCATAGTGTTCTATAGTGTTCCATAGTGTTCCACGAAACAGTTGGTGAATATTTTAAAATGTCTTCTTCCATAATTTGTTAAGTTGTTTAATAGAAAAGAGAACATAATAAATGATTTTATAAGGCAGTCATATTATAGTAAAAATGATTTCAAAGTAAAACATGCATCGGAGTAAGGGAATTTTTAACGGAATAAACTAAAAAAGTCTTCATCTATTACAGTACATGAAGACATTCAAAACTATTCCCCAACTGTCATGTTTCGTGGGACACTCTGTATGTGGATTATCTACATCATCTGTAGAATGTAGATATTATTTTCTTGAATGTAAAAACAGCTTGCAAACAAATTGTCTAACAATTCAACCGTTTATGTAGATAATTATATGAGGAGAAGTTTTTGTAGATAATTATATGAGGATAAGTTTCTGTAGATAATTATATGAGGATAAGTTTCTGTAGATAATTATACAAGGATAAGTTTCTGTAGATAATTATATAAGGGTAAGTTTCTGTAGATAATTATAAAAGGATAAGTTTCTGTAGATAATTATAAAAGGATAAGTTTCTGTAGATAATTATAAAAGGATAAGTTTTTGTAGATGATTATGTAATGATAAGTTTCTGTAGATAATTATATAAGGATAAGTCCGTCATCCTGGATCAGTCAAAGGTTAAAGGTGTAATGTTTTTAATTGGTCAGCGGTCATGCTCAATGTTTTAATGCAAGGAAAGTTATTTCAGAGGTGTGCGCATCTTTTGTACTGCAGTGTACTGCCTCTGGGCGGTAATGTAAACACAAGACGGATGTCGAAGCCTGACATGGGATCCATCTTTCACATAAAAAATCAATGAAATATTCTGGTCACTGGAAACTATTATGTCAATTATCAAAATATTTAAAAATTTTATGCTTTTAACCTCTTAGGATACTAAACGAACACTGATGCATCTATTCTTTTTTAAAAATTCCGCCCAGAAAGAACTGGTCTCAATATGAAACGCAGAGTATACGCAACTGCAATTAATTTTCCTTGCATTATAACCTTGGTCACGCTACTCTACATAGAAAGGGTCAACACTTGAACTCTTATTCATTTCTCTTATCCGACTACACTATGCGGAGCGGTTCTTTTGCAAATCATGAATTGTTGAACTTCTGAGTAATTGTTTTAGATCTGTTTGAGTCTAAGTTTGATTTCTGATTTTAACAATTGTGTTTATTTACGTATGCATGCATGCTTGTCAGCTCTCTGTTCAAATAATATCATGGAGTTTCTGCACAAAGTAAAAATTTCCCGCAGTTTACAAACTAATATTACAACACCTAAAAAGTACACACATAGTGCTATTTACGAAACCTCCAAAGTACAAATGTAGTACACACTAATTATACAATACAGCACTGGCAAATTTTACGAGTTACTGAACTAAAAATTACATTTTGAAATTCCTATAAGAAGTAATTGTTAAAGTTTATTATATTACTTACAAAGTAAATACCTACATTGTTCATATTACTGTACCCACAAAGTACATATTACATTACCCAAACAGCACGCATCACAGTACTTACAAATTACATATTACAGTAACCACTAACTACCACTAAAGCACCTATAAAGGAAGTAAGAATTTAAGTACCTCCAAAGTGCATGTTACAGTATCTCTAAAGTGCATATTACACTACCTCCAAATGGCATATTACAGTACCTCCAAAGTGCATATTACAGTACCTCCAAAGTGCATATTACACTACCTCCAAAATTACAGTATCTCTAAAGTGCATATTACAGTATCTCCAAAGTGCACATTACTACCTCCAAATGGCATATTACAGTACCTCCAAAGTGCATATTACAGTACCTCCAAAGTGCATATTACACTACCTCCAAATGGCATATTACAGTATCTCCAACGTGCAATTACAGTACCTCCAAAGTGCATATTACAGTATCTCTAAAGTGAATATTAAAGTACCTCCAAATTGCATATTACAGTATCTCTAAAGTGCATATTACAGTACCTCTAACGTGCATATTACAGTACCTCCAAAGTGCATATTACAGTACCTCCAAAGTGCATATTACAGTACCTTCAAAGTGCATATTACAGTACCTTAAAAGTGCATATTACAGTACCTCCAAAGTACATATTACAGTACCTCCAAAGTGAAAATTACAGTATCTCTAAAGTGAATATTACATTACCTCCAAAGTGAATATTAAAGCACCTCCAAATTGCATATTACAGTACCTCCAAAGGGCATAATATACAGTACCTCCAAAGTGCATATTACAGTATCTCTAAAGTGCATATTACAGTATCTCCAAAGTGCACATTACAGTACCTCTAAAAAGTGCATAATATTACAGTATCTCTAAAGTGCACATTACAGTACCTCCAAAGTGCATAATATACAGTACCTCCAAAGTGCATATTACAGTATCTCTAAAGTGCATATTACAGTACCTCCAAAGTGCATATTACAGTACCTCCAAAGTGTATATTACAATACCTCCAAAGTGCATATTACAGTACCTCCAAAGTGCATAATATACAGTACCTCCAAAGTGCATATTAAAGTACCTCCAAAGTGTATATTACAATACCTCCAAAGTGCATATTACAGTACCTCCAAAGTGCATATTACAGTACCTCAAAAGTTCATATTACAATACCGAAAACACAAATCAATTGCAAGACTTACAAAGTGCTAAACTATTGTATTGGTGTACATCTAAGGCGATTGCATAGACTTTGAACTGAAAATTGAAATATACTCCTTAGAATGTAGCGAGTACCGTTCTAGTTCTTTATGTTGGTGTTCTAGCAATATTAATATCTGCTATATCAGCCCAGTTCAATTCACAGTGTATGATTGCTACAGGTGATTTAATACTGTACATTGTAAACTTTACACTTATCACTTTAAACTTTACACTGCAGACTGTACACTTTTCACTTAAACTTTACAGTTTACACTTTACACTTTACACTTTACACTTTACACTTTACACTTTACTCTGCAGACTATACACTTTACACTTACTTTTTACATTTTACATTTACACTTTACACTTTATACTTTACACCTTACACTTTACACTGCAGGCTTTACACTTTACACTTTACCCTTTACACTTTACACTTAACACTTTACACTTTACACTTTACACTTAACATTTTACACTTTACACTTTACACTTTACACTTTACACTTTACACTTTACACTTTACACTTTACACTTTACACTTTACTCTGCAGAATTTACACTTTTTTATCTTTAATCTTTCGTCATAAGACATGAACAGATTTTTTTTTTTTTTTCGTTGCGATCGTTTTAGGCCCAAACAATACAAAGTATGCTTTTTTTGAAAGATTTGTTTATTCTTGACTCCGTTTTTAGGTTTCATTGCAGAGGTTCAACTTGAAATGTGGGGAGTACTTTTTGGATTGGCAATATCAGGTAGCAAACCTTTAGATTGGCAATATCAGGTAGCAAACCTTTAGATTGGCAATATCAGGTAGAAAACATTTAGATTGGCAATATCAGGTAGAAAACCTTTAGATTATATCAGGTAGAAAACATTTAGATTGGCAATATCAGGTAGAAAACCTTAAGATTGGCAATATCAGGTAGAAAACATTTAGATTGGCAATATCAGGTAGAAAACCTTAAGATTGGCAATATCAGGTAGCAAACCTTTAGATTGATTTGTCACTGCCAATACTATTGTAAAAAAGCTTAAGGGTAAAAGCTTGAATCTATAGTACATATAGTACAATATTAAACAGTGAACACACACTATTATTGGTTACCCATCAAATATGAGACTTCATAGACGACTGTAAGTAATTTCTTCAGTATTTTTTCTTAAATTCCTTCGCCCAGAATGTACTCATCTTTATAAACTTGATTACATTTAACATTACAAAGTCAACTTTCATATTTTCATTTTTAAATAGTTTTAGGTCATCATTAAAGTCTCGTCTTTGATGGGTAACCCTGCACAAATTAAATGTCTCTTGAAATTATCAACACTCACAGTTCATAAACCATCCCGCATATATTTCAGCATATGAAAGAAATCAGGATAAGTTTATTTCATTTCAGAACTGAATTACTTGTTCGAATTTTGAATCTCGTAACTCCTTTACCTACATCATGTTTAGTTATAAAGATTTCGAAATCAGATTAACCTATTTTATGTAAAATTAACCAATTTTATGTAAAATTAACCTATATTATGTAAAATTAACCAATTTTATGTAAAATTCACCAATTTTATGTAAAATTAACCAATTTTATGTAAAATTAACCACCAATTTTATGTAAAATTAACCAATTTTATGTAAAATTAACCTATTTTATGTAAAATTAACCAATTTTATGTAAAATGTTTAATTGAGAATATTTATGTTTAAGGGATGATTGCTTACCTAAGTTTGACCAGAGCTCTTCAACTTGTCTCACCTACTATAGTTTCTTCTTTGAGGTATTTAGCTATTAATACAGTGGTGAACAATATATAATGGAATATTTATCGTCTTCGTTCTTTCTTGTCGGAAAGTTCCCGTTATATATGGCTAAATATATACCCCAGACAATTGTATTGTCACCAATACTATACATATTATTATCATAATTTTCATCAATTACATAATCTTGAGTAGCAGATTTTTTTAAAAGGATAAAATCATTCTGCTTTATATTTGTCAACACTGTAATTGAATAGTACGTTTACCTTTATATAGATTCATAATGAACTTAAAAATACCACAAGGAAGAAATATGCTCATTGCTTAGGGCTCTAGAGATTATATTTGCTGATGTTGCTGAATCCTTAAAATACTCATTGTTCAGGGATAAAGAGATTGTATTTGCTGATGTTGCTAATTCCTTGATAATCTATGTTCAAGGCTCTAGAGATTGTATTTGCTGATGTTGTTGAATCCTTAATACTCTTTGTTCAGGGCTCTAGAGGTTGTATTTACTGATGTTGTTGAATCCTTAATACTCTTTGTTTAGGGCTCTAGAGATTGTATTTGCCTATGTTGCTGAATCCTTAATACTCTTTGTTTAGGGCTCTAGAGATTGTATTTACTGATGCTGTTGAATCCTTAATACTCTTTGTTTAGGGCTCTAGAGATTGTATTTACTGATGTTGTTGAATCCTTAATACTCTTTGTTCAGGGCTCTAGAGATTGTATTTGCCTATGTTGCTGAATCCTTGATACTCTTTGTTTTACCTTCTCTTTTATCCGCCCTAGGTGCTAGTCTTGTTGTTTTAGGTAAATTAATAAAATATTCATATTTACAAATCAGGGTGCTTTGTTCTCCTACTTATAGTAAAAATATTAGCATTTTGTAGCTGATCAATCCGTAAACCTTCTGTACATTTTGAGACCAATAAATTTATTCGGAATTTCAATAAAACTGAAGTTGTATTACATTACAGTAATCCAGAGGTTGCAAGTTCTCACGCAAAAATTGTGTAGAATTTTGCTTATTTCTTCTTTAAATCTAAAGTGAAAATGAACTACTTTATAGGGCCAAACCAAAAAAAAAAGTTTAAGATAAAATAAAAGACAAAGGCGTTTTGACACTTTAAAGTCGACCTAATCTTGAATATAAATGCAAATGTTCACAGTAGTAAAGATTTATGTATGACAATTTGCAATTTTAATTCTAAGTTCAAAATCTTGAATGTTCAATAATGAACTTTATTTCAGGTGTTGTTGGTATAGCCCTAGAAGGTCAGATACTTGAATACTGGAGAAAACTGAGACCAGATACCGCCAGTAAAGTATAAAATGTATTAATCAAATGTGATATAAATGCAATGAATATTTCTAATTTATATAAAAGGTGTCATTGAAAACAGTTTCAATAAATTCGGTATCCGGTGACATTTAAACACATTAAATCATAACTTTACTCAAATCAAGTATGTTTGACTGAATCAATATTTATGTATTTTTATTTGTCAATATTTTATTTCTTCAGTTTTACAAACAGGGTGTTCCAGTAAACATGACATTTTCTTGTATATAAGTAGAACAAGGAATTCCATTTTCTCGAAATATGCCGCGACATTAGATTTTGAATTCTTAAAGCAAAAATCTGTTCTTTTTGTTCTTTAAATTTTATACCGAAGTTAAAAAATTATAAATCGCATTTCCTTCTAAACAGAAAAACCAGACCCTTTTAAAATGTCTCTTAATTGTTATATTTTGTGGACACTGTATCAAACTGAAGTTTTAATCAATGTATATTTTTTATGCGATGTACTATATATATGATGTAAATATAAATAAATAAAATGTCACAGTAGAGTTTTTGTCATGTACAGTAGTTTGAATTTTATCACATTTTAAAACTAATAAGTGTTACAACTCTGGAGTCTGGAAGCGTTGAATCAATCTTACAGTCCATCCATTTTAGAGAACACCATTACAGTTTTTCTAGAAAATATATATTAGTTACACACGTCTTTATTTGGATACATCATACAGGGTTACCCAAAAAATGGGCCTTTAGAAAAGACTGAACAGTTTTTATTTAGTCATTTATTTCTCGTTTTATGATTCGGTGCAGCTGTGCAATTACTTTTTGCCCCATCATGCATAGGCATTTATTTGATCATGTTATTTAAACTTGCAGGCCGACATTAAAGTCCCATCCTTTGTAGTGAATATTAAAAAGTGTTGGCTTAAAGGGAGTGACGGGAGTGACCAATATTTAAGAGAAGGCTTAGAGTCCTTGGAGCGTAGTGTCATAAACGAATATGATAAGTTTATACAAATAATGTTTCTCCCAAATGTATAATTGATAAAAATGACAGAAAAATGTGATATATATATAATACAGCTCTTCACTCATATATATATGAAATTTTTGAACGGTTGAACATTTTCGAGGGTTCCCAGGGGGGGAGGCTAAAAAATAGATTCTTTTTTTCATAGATTCTTTTTTCAAAATTCGAAATTTTTTATCAAAACTCGAAATTTAGATCTTTTTTAAATCAGAATTTTTTTCATTAAAACTCGAAAGGAATTCTTTGCCACAAACTCTGAATTTATAATCCCTTTATCTTTGGAACCCAATGTCGTAAATCTATGATATTTCAAACTTACATTATTTGATTTAACAGAATTCATAGTTTAAAATATCTAAGGTCTACGACATTGGAATCCAAAGATATATGCTTTAGAAAAGCAGAGTTTGTGGCAAAGACTCAATTCCTTTAGATCTTTTTTTTAATTCCTCGAGCACCCCAGCTAGTTAAAATTATGAGTGGAACAGATCCTCTCTCACCATCTTAAAAAAATTGTAATAATAAATCAAAAATCATGGAAAAATATTTTGTAATCTATAAATATTTGTTTTAAGGTTTGTGTTAAAAATAAAAACTCTCATCATCATTATAATCACCTTAACCTCATGAAAAATATAAACTCTCATCATCATTATAATCACCTTAACCTCATGAAAAATTTCAATCTAAAAAAACCTTATTGCATTTTACCTGAGCCAGTTTAACCGGTCAACCCGTCTCCTTACACTGTCTGACACTTTGTGTAAATAAAACAAACCTCGATCTTCAAATAGCTGAAAATATTCAAAATATTTGTTCCTAACGGTATTAATGTGTCAGAAATAACATTCATGATTATCTTTCGAACCGTTTAAACATAGATTTTTCAAATAACTGAAAATATTCAAACTTTAACATTATATTTGCACCTAACGGTATTAATTTGCCAGAAATAACATTCATGATTATCTTTCGAACCCTTTAACATAGATTTTTCAAATTTGTCCTTTAATAATTTCTTGTTTAGCTCTACGTTTTAAGTATTTAAGTAAAAAATAATCATAATGTTTCTCTGAATGTATTTAGGATGACATTTAAAAAAATGATTTGGTTTATTCTAATACAGCCCGGGCATATTTAATACTGGCTAGTTTTGCATGCAGTTTAAGTATCCTTTAGTTAAAGTATTTATGAAAGTATATTAAAAACTACACTCATTCTTTATTCGGTCAGTGTATTGCAGATCGTTGCAGTACGCAACGAAGTCTTAGTTTAGTGTAACTATATTGTGTACCTTAACAACAGCTTTGTTGGATTTTTCATTAACATGACCTTGTCCTCCTTGTCCTGGTACTGCCCAGGACAAAATTATTCCAATCTTACTCATCTAGAACAGGACAAAATTATTTCAATCTCACTCATCTAGAACAGGACAAAATTAGTCCAATCTTACTCATCTACAACAGGACAAACTTATTCCAATCTCACTCATCTAGAACAGGACAAAATTAGTCCAATCTTACTCATCTAGAACAGGACAAAATTAGTCCAATCTCACTCATCTAGAACAGGACAAAATTAGTCCAATCTCACTCATCTAGAACAGGACAAAATTATTCCAATCTTACTCATCTAGAACAGGACAAAATTATTCCAATTCCAAAGACTTTAAAAAACGGGGTTTTAAGTACCCTTTTAAAAGGACTTTTCATAAAAGGTCGGATAAATTTTCACATCTTACTCCAAAACCCTGGGAGCAAGTCCAAAATCCTGGGAGCACTTCAATACCCTGGGAGCAATTCCAAAACCCTGAGGGCATTTTTAATGGCACCAATCTATTAAAGATTTATTTGAGCGAAAAATTGGATTTTTCTTTTAAAAAACTTGGAAATAAGATAACTTATAAAGATGTTGAGATGTATTAAACAAGCTCAAATGAAACCTTTATGTATCAAGCTAAAAACATATTTAGTTTACATTTACAAATAATCTTTAATGTATAAGCTAAAAAAATCGTCCGTTTGCCTAATCAAAACTATATGATCTACTTGGACTGAAATTTGCCATTTTGCCCTTCAAATAACTGAACAAAGACAGTAATAAAGGGGTAGCAGAGCCCTTTTTTCAATTTAGGTTTAAAATTACCATTTCTAATGGACTTTTCTTAAAAGGCCGGATACATTTTCACATTTAACTCTAAAACCCTGGGAGCAACTCAAAAATCCTAGGAGCAACTCCAATAACCTTGGAGCGATTCCAAAACCCCGAGAGCAGCCACCCCTCCCTCGCTCAATGCTATTGTTAATTGACAATTAATGGGCCAAAAAATACGTACCTGTATCAAGTTATCTGCATCGAAAATACTTACCCGTATTAAGTTATCTGTATCGAAAATACTTACCCGTATCAAGTTATCTGTATCGAAAAATTATGTTTTTATTTTGCGTATTTAGATTTTTATTGAACATAAACAACTTATTATATTTTGAGTTTTAGCATTAATGATTAAATAATGAAAGAATTACGAAAGTTCTCAAATTACTCGTCAGGTAAATAAGCAACTACAGGGTGGGTGTTATCGAAAAATGACTGTTGGTGAATAGTTTAGAATGTCTTCTTCCATCAACTGTTGTAGATATTAAACACTTGTTGCTGTTTTTTTCGTTAAAGAAATCTTTTATTTAATATACAGTTAAAACCTAAATTAGCCGTACATCGAAAGAATTAATCAAATGTCGTATTCTTCACTTTCTAATAATGGAATGTTGCAGATATTTAGTTTTTTAATTGAATGATTATATGGATTTTTTCGCAAATACTGGGATTTACGTAAATTGTAAAATAAACATTGAAAAATTTTCAAGACGACATTTGATTAATTCTTTCGATGTATGGCTCATTTAGGGTTTAACTGTATTATGCTTTGAAATCAATTTAACTATATTCCACAAATTGAAGAAGATGTTTCATTGGTTCAATTTTTAATTTGTTAATTGTTTCACAACATTTAAAAACAAATGCTTAAAAGATGATTCAAAATTATAATTATTCCCTATATAAGCTAATTGGTATTGAGAAGGTATATGTTCTCCAACCTCTATACTTATCACCCAATCAAACGGAGCTCCGAGTTTAACCAAATCTAGGCAAACATTTTCAAAGTCTTTAAAAAAAAATTAACTATAATATACAGGGTGTCCCATGAAACTTGACAGTAGCAATTTGATTTTTGAAATAATTTGCTGCATTTATTTGTCAACCTTATTTTAGAAGTAGAATTCAATAGAGTTTATAATCACAAAATACCCTTATAGTCCAGGCATTTACTAGTGGGTTGGCATTTTTTCTGAATTCAATATTACCTGAGATATGAAGATATTCATTCAGATTTCAGCACTTTTGGCTTGATTTGATAATATTGAAATCTAAACGAAATTCATAATATCTTTAGTAATATTGACAGCACAAAAATGGCAGACCACATTTTGGAAAATGCCACGACTAGCAGAATTTTGTGGTTATTGTTTTAAGAATCATGCATGTTAAAGTAGGTTGACGACATGCAAAATGTCATAAATAAATTCAAATATCCAGAACGACTTTCAAATCGTTTTCCTACTGTCATGTTTCGTGGGATACCCTGTCCCATAAAATGAAAACAAAAGTCCAACTGTATAAACCCTATTCCCGCTGGGGGGGGGGGGAACCCCCCTGTACAGGCCTTATATACCCCCCTGTACAGGCCTTAAATACCCCCCTGTACAGGTCTTAAATAACCCCCTGTACAGGCCTTAAATACCCCCCTGTACAGGACTTGATACCCCCCTGAATGACCCTTTTTGTTGTTTAAAGGGACTGTGGTCGTAATTTCAAGTGACCTTTCCTTGAAGGGCCCGATTCAAAACGGGACCGGCTAAAAACCACAATTTGATTAATAATAGTGAAAATAACCTCGTTTTTCTGGATTGAAAATCAGTTTTCAAGAAAAATATGAATATAAAATTCCTACAGTGAAACCCTTAATAACGAATACATCGAAAGAATTCATCAAATGTCGTATTCTTCACTTTCTGATAATGGAATGTTGCAGATATTTAGTTTTTTAATTAAATGACTATATGGAACTCTTTGAAACTGTTCCCGCATATTCATGGATATTTATTTATTTTCGCAAATACTGAAATTTACGTAATAAAGTATAAAACTCATTGAAAATTTTTCAAGACGACATTTGATAAAGTCTTCCGATGTATTCGTTATTAAGAGTTTCACTGTACTTGATCCTGAACTCTATCATTGGAGGGTTCACTTGAATTTACGTGTTTACTATCACTTTAGTAAGATTTAAAATAAGGTCACCTTCAGATTTAGCGTGTATACTTGCATCAAAAAAACAAACTTTTGGAACTAAAATAAAAATAGCTTTAAAAAAATGTGAAAAATTAAACATTTTTTATAAGAAAACCATAACAAAATTTGTCTACAAAAAAAAAACATACCTTTGAATATTTTCTGGTCCCGGAGAGAAACATTTTTTCCACAAAATGTGTTTACATTACTCCCACCATCCAGACCAGTCCACTCTACGGAGATATTTTCCTACATAAATATGTACTGTACTGCAGAGTGTACAAAGATACTGTTACCTTGGATACAGTGCGTGCGTGCAGTGGTTTTTTATACGGTTCATTTTATCATGGCATAAGTTTTACTCTCAAAACTAGTCAAAAGCAAGATTTAGTTAGATATTGTTCTAGTACTATCAGATCAGCTACATACTAGAGAATACAAATAAACTATTGTTTTACAGGCGTCGGTGAAAATAGACTGATAGTCTGGTTGATTTAATGATAGGTAGGCTCGCTGCCTTGTTGACTAATCTCCTCAACTCAGGACACAGATAGTTGCAAACATACATGAAAATCCCTATATTTCAAACCTACAATAGAATGCAGGTATAATAGATTAAATAACAATGCATTAACGCAGTTAAATATTTATAATTTAACTTTTAGATTGAAAAGTTATTTGAGAATTTGATCTTTCGCTTAATAAAACGTTTCACTGTTTGTTGTTTCTTTGTTGGAGAGTATAAATAAATTTGAACGGAGACTTTGGTTTGGTTTTTCTCTGATGAAGGTTTTGATAAAGACGACTTACGGAGGTTGGGGGTGGGGGGTTAATAAGTTGTATTTATGGTCAACAACTATAGGTATATAGATATTCCCCCAAACCAGTGCTATAAGCCCCCTGAAAAAAAAAGAATATAAGCTCCCAGACATTATTTTATGATCCTGGGACTAAATTTAATGAATTGAACAACGTCGTTGAACCATCTACTGCCGGGAAGGGTTTTAATCGGTGGTTCAACTTTGAACCGGCGGTAGGCAGTTCAATTCATAAAATGCAGTCCCTCTTAACATAAATAATGTTCCTAGATCAACCGACATCTTTATAACTCACGGCAAACTGATAGCGTAAGGTTTTAACACATTACAGGACAAGGAAATCGATGTGACAGTTCGGTATATTTAGCTTGAGACTGGTTTATTTAAATATCCATCTTTGAAAAATATTTTTTTTTCGATTTAAAAAGAATTTACCTTTTCCGAAAAATGCAGATTTACACAGTTAAATTTTTTAATTAAAAATGGCATGTATATGTAAGTTTAATCAGCTTGGGGTATTTTAGTATAAACTATACGTTTTTGAGCTGAACCTGTGAGTTGATCCATTCTCCAAACTGTCCTACTCCGGCACCTATATCTCCTAGTCGTATCCGCTCTCCATACTCTAGAAGAACACGGTAATCTATCACACGAAGTTTGATCTTTATTTAACTGAATCTGAACTAGGAAATTTAGAATGGACACAATCAAGGTTGCTTAATTTATTGCTTAACTAGTTATATAGAATTAGTGATGTAATTTCCGGATTTCATTGTCCATGTACTCAGGAGACGACATTTTCCGTACATTGGAGCGCATCGAGAGTTAGTAACCTTAATAAAGAACCTTGGACACAAGTTGTTTATAGCTCTATGAGTTAAACTCCGTCTCTTGCTTGTAATCCGGCCAAACCTTCCAACTCTAGGCGATTCAGAAATAGAAAAGTTGTTTCTATCTTATTAAAAAGGTTCTATAGCTCTTTTTTATAACAGTCCCTACTCCCTACTATAAAATGGCGAATATGTTTCCTACCATAATATTTTATGTCAAGCATATTTCCTATCAGAATACCTTATGTCTGAAAGATTAGCTATGATGTCCGACAATAATACTACGTCATAACTTTTTATGTCACAAAATATTTTCTATCATAATGTTTCATGTCGGGCACATTCTTTAGCATAATGATTTGTGTCAGAAACATTTCCTCAAATAGTGTTTTATTGCACACAATAATTTCGATCAAAACTTTTATGTCAAGCCTATTACTTATCTAAATATCTTATCTAAATGTGATAATTTACCTTTTCCAGGAGTTTTCTCTCTAACAATTCTTAATATTTCTCTACCAAGACCATCATCAAACCTAAATATTGGTTGATTTTAGTTAAAATATTTCATTGACAGCAACCTATAGATGTTATATTAAATGTGCTTCATGTTTAGAGTGGCATGTCCGATTCACAAGCTCACTGAGTGAAAGGAAGAGGATAGAAAGTAGATAGAGAGTAGAAAAACTACTCAGATAAACCTGTTGTTATGGGACCGTTATGAATCAACTTCATTGGTAAATTTTCTTGTTAAATATATAAATTAACCTAGAATACCTATTATTTGTTTAATATTATTCAAACTATCTAGGCTTTCTTTTCAAGCCTATAAGTTTGCACGGAGAGTAACTTGGAAATGGAATTCCGTCAAAAGTTCTTTAAAAATAAAATCGTTCATTAAAAATGTATTTTTTGACCTGACATGATGTTTTCGAATTGTTTCTGTAAACCAGGATCAATCATTTTAGATAAATGAAAAAATGGATCAAAATTAATTAAATTAAATTAAATTAAAACATTTCTTGGGTCTGAATAAAATACGAGTATACTCATAATGTCATTTAGAATTAAAACTAAAACGACGATATGTAATCAGTCGATATTTCTTAATAAATAATTAGAGTTTTAGAGAAAACTTAGAAATAGCTTTTCGTACGCAATGTTTCCCAAATTGTGAAATTGAATTAGAAATAAGCTTAAAGCAAGGAATCTTAAAAATGAGGTTGTCTATTTCCATTTAGAAAAAGATTTGAGATATTTTGAACTAGCAATTTCGATCTGCTCTGTTGGAAAACACAATTTATTTTATTAAATTATTGATTCTGATTTTCCTTCATTTAAAATCCAGCCTCCTATAGCATCAAGCTGAAATATTCAAAACTATAAAATACAAATATATTCAAATTATTCAGTTGTAGAACTTTACCAGAATGGACTTTTGTTAAATTAAGAAGAGAAATTAAATATAGACGTCAAATATTTAAGCTTAACATGAAAGGTTTCTCAAAAACCATGAAATGAGATCGAATAAAAACGGCACTGAATCTTTGTCTTTTTCTTTAAACACAATATAAAAATTTGTCACTAATTCAGTTTTTCAGACACCTAGTAGTCCGTTTATCTTGAGACATCAAGAAGAGTTTGAATTTAAAGTCGTTATTTGGTTCAAATGTCTATAAATGGGATTCATTGAAATAATACTTTTCTGCTCTAATGACTTGTTTTTTATAGAGTTCTACAATGCCATTATAAGCTGAAGATTAGAGAAATTCTAGATTTAAACTGTATGATTTAAACTATATGTAATATAAATATTCTTGTATTTGAATTAAAATTGATCAATTTCACATTAGAAAAACACTCCCATTAGCCATTAGATATTCATCAATTATACTCCAGAAAGGAACTGATTCTTTGCCACAAACTCTGATCTCTGCATACATCTTTAAACCCCAATATTGTAAAATTAGATAATATTTCAAACTATGAATTCTATTAGATCAGATAATCTAAGTTTGAAATATAAAAAGTATGGACCATCAGGTTGCAAAGTTCTAGAAATTAGAAAATTTCATGTTGGTATCAAAAACTCAATTCCTTTTTGGACAAACATTCAATTTATGAAAATACGTAACTCTTGGTAAATCTCACCAAAATCTTTAAGCAAAAAATTATGTCAGTAAACTCAAAAATATAGATGAAGCGTATTTTTTGATAACGTATATTTCATGCCTAGTGTCTAAACATATATATATATATCTATAAATCGCGGAGTTTATTTAGAAGTTTATTTTAAAATAAAAATAAAATTATTATTGATAAATTAACCTGAGTACCAGAAAGAGCTTCACCACAAGAACACTGAAATAAATCTGATTGCAAAGATCATTAAAAATGGATAAAAATGTAATTTTTTAAACCTTATTATCCACATCACTTGAACCAGGAAAAAATTCAATCTCCTTAAAATATCATGATTTCATGACAACATTTCTATGTCTTTTTTATAACTGCTACAAATTTATTAATTAATCCATTTCAGAAAGTCAAAAAAAATTAGAGGAGCGTAGGAAAGTCTCTTTCTTAATGTTTAATAAAATAACGTTTTTTACGTTTAGGAATGCTTTTTTTAAAATTGTATTAAAATTACTAAAGATCATAATAATCTTTAAAAATATTAAAGATCAAACAAAAATAATACAAAAAAGGTTTAATATTTAACTTTTTCAAAAATTTACAAATTTTTTACCATTTGTTGTGGTTGGACACGAAATTTGATCAAAAATTAAAAAAAATGTTGGAAATAATAGAATTGAATTTTTGTTGCCAATTGTTCATTCCTTTAATTTAATTCTGTTTGATATAATGAAGAAGCAAAATAATGAAGCGAGAACTTGAAGCACTAAACCCCGCCGCTGCATTTTATCTGAAAATAAGTAAAAATAGGTTTACAGGCCGAATACAAGGCTTGGTTTACAGGCCGAATACAAGGATTGTAGGTTTACAGGCCGAATACAAGGATTGGTTTACAAGCCGAATACAAGACTTGGTTTACAGGCCGAATACAAGGATTGGTTTACAAGCCGAATACAAGACTTGGTTTACAGGCCGAATACAAGGCTTGGTTTACAGGCCGAATACAAGGATTGGTTTACAGGCCCAATACAAGGATTGGTTTACAGGCCGAATACAAGGATTGTAGGTTTACAGGCCGAATACAAAGCTTGGTTTACAGGCCGAATACAAGGATTGTAGGTTTACAGGCCGAATACAAGGATTGGTTTACAGGCCGAATACAAGGCTTGGTTTACAGGCCGAATACAAGGATTGGTTTACAGGCCGAATACAAGGATTGGTTTACAGAACGAATACAAGGATTGTAAGGATTGGTGTACAGGCCGAATACAAGTATTGTAGATTCACAATTTCGGTTTTGATTTAATTATATCAAGTCTTCTAGTCAACGGGCGTCTAAAACATTATCTCAGCATTGTTTTTTTAGAATTATAGATGTTCTGCGTTTTCAATTGGGAAAGGAGATGAGTTCTTGTAATAAACTCAATTTTTTAATCCGTGTGTCTTTGCAACCCGATGTCGTAGACATTTGTTTTTTCAAACTATGAATTCTGTTAGATCTAATAACATAATTTTTTATTATTATAGGTTTCCATCATCAGGTTGCAAAAATATAGGAATTAGAAAATTTGAGCTTGTTGAAAAACTCATTTCCTTTGTTAAATGAATTGAGTCTGTGCCACAAACTAAAAATTTGTGATCCCTATATCTTTGCAACCTGATAATGCAAACCTTTAATATTATATTTATGGATTTAGCAGAATGCATCGTTTGAAATATCAAATGTTGTGACATTGAGTTGCAAAAATATAGGGATTAGAAAAGCAAAGTTTGTGGCAAAGACTCATTTCCTTCAACGATTTGGGTTTTTAAGGTCTTTAATATTTTGTCTTAGAATTTCTTTTGTAGATTTTACTGTTTGTCTTTAAAACATTTGTTGTGGTCTTTAATTTTAATAGTATTTAATATTTTACTTTACAATGCTTTCTGTGGTCTTTACTGTTTTGCTTTACAATTCTTTCTGTGATCTTTAATTTTCACTTTAAACTACTTAACCCTATCCCTGCTGGGGTACTTGAAAACCAGGATACGCTGGGGGGGGGGTCAATTTGACCCCCCCTCTAAATCCCATGTTTTATGTCCAAATATGACAAATGATACATCATTAGAAAGCTCTTGTGCTCTACTTTTAGAATCTGCAAAAAAATTTGCAAATTTGCGAAAATTGAATTTTTTATCGCTAAATTCAGTTTTATAGTAAAAATGTTTGCAAAAAAAATTTGTCCAAAAAATGACAAATTATACATTTTTGAAAAGCCCTTGACCATGCCATTTCAAATATGCAAAAATTTTTGCAAAATTTTAATTAACCTGTTTTTTAATCAAGAAAAACTAAAAATGTGCAAATTTCCTTTGACAGGTTGTTTGCAAAAAATTTGCAATTTTTTTTCACAAAACTTGTGCAATCCGTTTTCTTATGTCATAGGCTTTCCAAAAAGCTAAATTTTATCAAAATCTGACAAGTGAAAGTGGGTCAAAACAAAGATTTAGTTTGTTTCAGGCAAAAGCAGTCATTCAGGCAGAGTGCCAGCTGAGGACTCAGGCAGTTAGAATTAAAGCCCGGTTTTAGGCCTAAAGGGAGGGCTTTGGGTATGTAAGAAAAGTCAGAAAATTTCAACAGCCTCAGACCAATACTTTTTGAGTTATGTAAAAAAACTACAGGGGGGGGGGTCAAATTGACCCCCCCCCCAGCAGGAATAGGGTTAAAAAAGTAATTAATATTTTTGTTTACACTTCCTTTCTGTGGTCTTTTCTATTTTGTTCTATGTTTCCTTTCTGCAGTATTCAGTGTTTCTCTTTACATTTCTTTTCTGTGGTCTTTACTATTTTGTTTTATATTTCCTTTCATACTCGCTGTTTCTCTTTACATTTACTTTCTGCGGTACTCATTGCTTCTCTATCCTTTCTGCAGAACAGTACACTTTCACTTCTTTTCAACAGAATTTACTCTTTCTCTTTACACTTTCACTTCTTTTCAGCAGAATTCACTCTTTCTCTTTACACTTTCACTTCTTTTCAGCCTAACTCACTCTTTCTCTTTACACTTTCACTCATTTTCAGCAGAATTCACTCTTTCTCTTTACACTTTCACTTATTTTCAACAGAATTCACTCTTTCTCTTTACACTTTCACTTCTTTTCAGCAGAATTCACTCTTTCTCTTTACACTTTCACGTCTTTTCTGCATAATTTTCTTTTTCTTTTCATACTTTCACTTCTTTTCTGCAGAATTTACTCTTACTCTTTACACTTTCACTTCTTTTCTGCAGAATTCACTCTTTTTCTTTACACTTCCTTTCTGCGGTTTTTACTGTTTCGCTTTCCCCCGCATCTGCCAGACTAAGATGATATTGCAAAGAATGTATTGTAGCCAGCTAGCAGAGCGGTTTAACTACAGTAATTATTGTATACTTCTTACAACTCTACAGATCCTAGGACCGAATTTAATGATTTTGAACTGCCTACCGTCGACTCAATTTACCGACGTAGCTTAAATTCATTAGCTTCGGTCCTAGGACTCCTAGGACTCTTGATCGTACAGAAAATCCTGTTAACATGAAACACAAGATTACCCCCAAAAAAACTTTATTGTAAAATATACGGAATTTATTCCGTTTGCGTAACATTCGCAGTTACATTGCTCCTGCAGCATTTATACATTCTTAAACAAAATTATACTTTTCGAAGCAAGAGATCAAAGTCAACCATTTGTGTGGTTACATTTAAATAATTGAAGGTCGTCATTATATTACAGTGATAACCAGAAAACAATGGAATATGAAGACGACATTACAGTAATATTCACAAAGCAAATAGTTTCTCTTGATACGTATTAAATTTTGTACAATTTTCAGGTGTAATTTAATTTTAGAAGTCGTCTTCATATTTCAGAGTTTTCTGGTTATCACTGTATCATACTTTGAGGGAAACCCTGCAAATCAGGTTTGGTTAGGTCATGAACACGTGAAGCAAATCGACCAGCTTTATCTTACCTTTATTTTCAATTCCTCATTTCCATCATCAAAGATCGATTCATCGAGCTAGATCTTGAGGGGTAATCATCGAGGTAGATCTTGAGGGGTAATCATCGAGGTAGATCTTGAGGGGTAATCATGGAGGTATATCTTGAGAGGGTAATCATCGAGGTAGATAGTGAGGGCTAATCATCGTGGTAGATCTTGAGGTCTAATCATCGAGGTAGATCTTGAGGGGTAATCATCAAGGTAGATCTTGAGGGGTAATCATCAAGGTAGATCTTGAGAGGGTAATCATCGAGGTAAATCTTGAAGGGTAATGATCCTGCAGGGATGCTGATCTTTTCCCAAGCTTTTTGTTTTACATTTTGATTAACATAGCAATAATTGATTAACATAGCAATAATTGATTTTTCTGTTTTCTAAGGTAAATTTTCAACAACGAAGATTAACCAAGATTTTTTTACCAGTTTTATTTAACTAGGCTTTATAAGGCGCTTCGACTGTTTTTCAGTTTTTGTTTGAGCTTTTTCTGGTCTTTTCTGGTCTCCATTTCTCCATCTTATGTAGACCTTAGGATTAAGACGTATGTCTAATAGATATAGCAAATATTTTCTTACGGATCCTCGCCAAACGCCATATTCGAATTCATCCGCGAAAATTAAATCCATGGAAATCTGTTAAAATTCTAAAAATGGTTCCTCTTCGAAACTTAATCCTCGTTTAGATAATCAATATAGAATACCATGAATTTAAAAAATATGAGTTCCTTGATCAATTATATTAAAAGATTGATAAATATGAAGATAAAGTGCGATTTATAATAGATAAAAATTTGACATCTCTGTACGTTTAAAAATTGTTGTATTACAGACCAACATGTGATTAAACTCAAATAGAAAAAACGAATGCATCTCCCCCCGGTTAAGATTTGTTAACACCTTTTACTATGGAGGCTAAAAATGTTAGTCGATCCTCTCTTCTGTATTGTTGGCCCGGCCTGATTGTGCAGCATCTTACTTTCATTTATTATCCCCCCCCCACACAGTGCANAAAATTACTTAAAGTTTTTAATTTTTTCTCAGAAAAATGTAGATGATGATTTGAATTTACAAATCTTTCTTGAGATTATAATTTTAGTTTTTATTTAAATAAGAACAATTTCTTTTCCTATTTTAAAACACTTTTCGGTTTCAGAGCTTTTTCGCAACATTTAAGAAAAAAATGGCCTAACCTTTTTTTTGAAAAAAAAAGGCTTTTTATACCTACTGGCCTGATTGTGCAGCATCTTACTTTCATTTATCCCCCCCCCCCCCCCACACAGTGCACAACCCTCTTCGTAACCACGCAAAATCATAGTTTCCTGTCTGCGAATCTTAAACCATGAAATGTCTTTTCTTCGAGATTTGATTGAATTTATTAGGGTTTGAAATATCTGATGAAAAGAGAGTCTAAAACCCCTAAAGCTGTATTCATAGTGTCATGGGTTTTATTAAATATTTCAAACATAATTCATAATCATATCTCAATTACAGATAATCAATATAGTTCACATTTTCTCAATTTTACAATATTTCCCTGAATTAAAATTAAATAACAAGACATTAATAAATCATCTAACGTGTAGTGTACTTAGGTTTCTAGTCTTTTACAGGGTGTCCCAAAAAACATGGGAATTCAGTGACGAATTGGATATTGTCATTGTTATCAATTAGCATTGTAATACCTAATTTCAAAAGTTATACTATTATTATGTCTGCTAGAGTTTATTTTATGAAAAAGGTAAATTGCTGTAAAGATGTGTCTTTAATGTCTCCGCAAGATGAACAGTGAAGACTGACAGGTTTACTCTGTTTGTATACTGCAATTTTCTTGTTTTACTAAGTACAACCGTATGCAGTCAAAACAAAAACAAACAGAATGTGAACATAGCAGACGAAACTCTTACAGATTACAGCTTTCTCAGTAGGTATCACTATACTAAATCAAAGAATTATCTAAAAAGACGATATCGAATTCGTCACTGAATTCCCATGTTTATTGGAACACCATGAAGGTTAAGCAACATTGATTTCCAGGAAGTGTATACCCTAACCTGCTGCCGACAACACCTCTAACTCCCTGTCTCCAATACTAGAAATTCAGCTGACCAGCTGAGGTATGGCGGGAGATTTACTTCCAACACAATGAAGATCACTCACCAGCTCCTAGAGTTATACAATGTTGGTGTAAACGCTGGCCTGGATTTGAAGCTGAATCTATGGACAAGGGATGGGGACGAGTTTTTTTCTTTTTCTCACCTTCCTGGATCCAAGCATCATAGAACCAGGACTAGGAGCAGAAGATGGAGAAGTTATGGACGGGCGAGAAATACCTCAAAGGATGTTAGGTCCCCCTTGCAGGCTGCAGGACCCTCCCAGGTGCGTGAGAGGTCCCATCTGCAGGTAGAAAAAAACTAATATGTGGTAAAATTTCTCTGAGATAATTGTAAAACTTTATGAAATCTTTAATCTTTAATCACTGAATAAATATTTAGATCTTAAAAAAAAGATTTCCAGGAAGTGGTATTATTTGTATTATTTTTATTATTTCTAAAAACCGCGGTAAGCATAGAATCTTCAGAGTTCGAGAAATTTAATTAACGCCAGCAGAGTTGATTCAGCAGCGAGCTAGCAACAATTTAACAAATTTTCTAAAGATAAACACACAGAGTTCTCTGCCCTAGAGGATTTGTCAAAGGTTTAAAGTGTGCTGCTGCAATTACAGTCCCATTAAAGACTATTGAAAAATATAAACAGTGAGAACCAGAAAACTGTAGAAGAGAAAGACAAAATTGAAGCAATAATTAATTACGCAGTAATTTTGACAAAACGCGAATACTTTTCTTAGTAACTTATTAATTACTTTATAAGTAAAATTCGTCTATTTACACTGTAAAATGTTCATTTAAAGTCTAAAAGTCGTCTTACTATTCTAAATTTTTGTGGTTTACGCTGTCCCATATAATTATAAGAAATTAAGACAATGATTTTATTAATATTTTCATACATGGTACAAAAGTTTGAGTGGGTTTACAAATATAAAAATATCATCACAGATAAAGTGTAGTAAGGTGTCTACTACAGTTCCTCGTATACTTGGATTCTAGTTCTTGAAGATCTCAGGTTTCTCCAAAACCTCAGAATATTACCCTCCAGGGCAATACCAACCACACCTAATGTTACATTAACATAAAGAATAATTTCAATTAACACGAATTTGACGAATCTAGATGCAATTGGTAGCTTTTTAATCTATACTTGTTTTTTTTTTATTTTTTGCATAACAAAATTTGAAGGACAACATTTTTTAAAGCGAACTGAAAAAGTCTCTTTCAATTTTAGATGAAAAATTAAATTTTTCGCTTAGATATGTAATAAAGGTTAAGGGATGCTCCTCAAATGAAAGGATAACTTGACCTATCCCGATTGGGCCTTTTTTGTCTAACAAAGATGGCGGGGGGGGGGTGTTTTCAAACCCACCCCCCTAAGATTTTTCCCTGAGAGTTGAAATATGAAAGTCCCTAATTCAACTTTTTAAGGCCAGGTCACCCTACCCTATACATAGAAAATGTTTTTTTTTTCGCAACATATGTTCAAAAACTATGAAGATGAAAAAGTTTGAAATTAAAAAGAAAAAACCATACAGGGCTAAGATTACAACATGACAATATAGAAAAATTATAGCTTAGCTTCAAAGCAAAAATACTTACTGAAGACAACAATGCCACCACCAACTACTGATAGAGCAGATGGAAGAATAGAAAATATCAAGGATTCAGCGATATAAGCGAATACTATCTCTAGAGCCCTGAAAGTGAAAAAAGTATTTCTAGGGTCTCCTTATCTAATTTTTTTAATGGGGAGGAAAAATTCCATCTTTAAAAAAATCTAATTCTTTTAGCCTATGTAACCCCTGGGATAACGGCCATGGGTTCTCTAAAAAATTTTCTCCAGCCGTTTGGCCAGCTGTAGCTAGATATATATTGTATATAATATTTCAACCTATAAAAAGTTGTATCATTCAAGGGTTTATCGTTGAATCCCTCGCGGGTTTTAATTTCCATTGATTCTAATTTGTCTTAGAGTAAATGACATTCCTTTGTAAATATTTGTAAATATTTCTTTGTAAATATTAAATCGATCAAAAGGGGCGGGAATAAATGAAAATTGTTGCATACCAAACCACCAGCTTTTTATAAAGGAATGGAATTGTATGCTAGTAATTATTTCCTTTCTAGTTCCTGCATCATTGCATTGAGGCTTACCCTGCATGACGAGGGCCTACCCCCGGCCCTAGTGTTTACACCTTTTAAATACAATCTTTGATCTTTGACAAATGTTTCGTCACAATTGCTGATTTCATAAATTTACTTTGATTTGACAAAAAAAAACAATTAAAAAATGAAATAAAATGAAACTATAGGATCCCATTCCCAGCAAATGAGTGTTGAGCGCCCACCTCTTGAAAAGTTAATAAAGGCTAAGGCCCCCCCCCAGACATATTCCTGTATACGCCCTTATTTACCTTAAAGAAGAAACTATAGTAGGAGAAACAATCTGCAGAGCCCTAGTTAAACTTAAGTAAGCAATCATTCCTAAATAGTAACATCTATTAAAATAACAACGTATGAAGGATGTTCAGTGAAAATTATTTTCATTTTGTAAAAAAAATTTAAGTTCTTGAAAATCCGCAATTTTTTTTTTTAAATCCGCCAAGTTTTTTTCTTCTATGTTTTGAAGCCTTAAAGCCAAGAAAGAAGGGCGCGAGCGCCTTGAATTTCTAGTATTCCAAATTATATTTGATTTTCATAGTTTTCAAATAAATAAAAAAATGGTTCTTCATTAAAAATGATTTGTATTTATTGTAAAAATGAATTTAAAATGAAAACTTGACCTGATATTGCCAGTCCGAATAGAATACCCCACATTTCAAGCTCTATCTCTGATATTTGTCCTGAAACATATCACTTTAGATAATTTAATATTTATTTATTGTCGGTTTGAATTGGATTTGGCTTTGAAACTTAATTTCAAGTGTCCTTACATTGATTTGGTGGCATTTCCGATTCAAGATGGTACCTTTAAAGCTGTGTCTGATCAAATATGAAATAGATATTTATATTTTTTTTACTTTTTTGGTCACTCTGCAAAGACAACTTTCGCATTTCTTGCTTTATGACTAAAGGAGAAATTTTCCGAATTAAATACTTTTCAAGCCACAAATACAACGTTAGCCTTCCACATTATTGATCGGATTAATGGTTTAATGGTACCGTTGTGAATCTATAAATGGAGGATTGACAGTCCCTTTAAATATACAATTCTTATACTTTATAAATATTATCTCTATGCTCTGGCTTTATGGTCGAATAAATCCACTCATGATAAATTTGTCCCAAACACTTTGATGTATCAAAGTTCAGAGCTATACAATATACATATAACGTACACAGGGTGTTCCAATAAACATGGGAATTGAGAGACAACTTGAAAGTCGTCTTTGATTTCTGATATTTGATGCGCACTGTACTTCTGACGAGCTTTTCATAAAGTGGTCTCTTGTATCTTAAAAATTGACGACAATAAAAGATATTAAGACAACTTTGAATTATAAAATAGATAATAATTTGTACGAATTTTGCAATATCTCCGTCAATATTGTAGATGCAAAATTTTTTTAAAAATTTCAAGACCAGGCATTTCGATATTTGATATTTAGACTGTAATACTGCAGCAACTGTGTTTATGAAATAATGCCGTATGGATCGAAGACAATATAAAAGTCGTCATTGAATTCCAATGATTTTTGAGACACCCTGTACAAAAAATGTGTTTTTGAGGTGAAGGAATTGGGGTTGCTCTTTTATTTAACTGTAACGTATGAGACTTTTCAGAAACAGATTTATCTCAATCAAACGAAAGATAATAATTAAAAAATCCATAATCCCTGCCAGGAAAAATGTTCTACCTCTGGCTACAATCTTTGTTACTTACTTTTATAAAACCTGCTTCACATTAAACAAACCCTTTTCCCTTAACATTAGGTCAACATACATTATAAACCCCTATAGCTCAGCCTGCCCAATTCTGTTGGATAAAACGCGTTGGGTCCAACACATTCTGGGTACACTAGATAGGCTGGAATCAGTAATAAAGACTTGACCAGCACTGTTGTAAACTTAAAATAATGTATTAACCATAATCAACTTTGAGGTGATACAAATATTAATAGAAATGAAAAGTTGCATCAATTTTCAAGTCTGGGTCGACACATGCCTTTGGCTTTACCTGTAGCCATTTTAGAGTCCAGGTATTCAAACTGAGCTCCCACAGCAGATATCACAATAGCCATTAACCCTACGTACAGCACTAGAACTGTACTCTTAATATCCTAAAAAAATGTATTCTATATGTATTATATAAAACTAGGCTTTTGGGGGCTTCGGGCCCATCTTCTATTTAAACTTTTATTTGTGGCTTCTTCGTTAGCATATTCTCTTTGAACAATATAAAACAATAGCAAACAAATCTCGGATTTAATCATATTTTTTTCGCGCATTTTCAAAATTTTACAAAAATTAAAAATTTGGACACTAAATTTGTAATTCTAAACATCCATAAACATTTGGGTCATATGAGGTTTCTATCAAAATTTGACGTTTATTGGATACAAACGGACAGGCAGACTGACAAAAAAAACCAAGTATATATATACAAATATGTACCGGTCGATAGGTTCATACCTTAATTAAATGGCTCTCACATCATAAAACAATAAAAATAGACAAATCAATAATGGATGCTAAATAAGCAATTGTAGCTAAATGACCGGAGAAATATTTCCTGCTTTTCAAGCGGTTTTTAAAAATTTGCCTCCAATTTTAGTCTCCGTTTTTTAAACATTTTTCACTACAAATTTAATGTCAAGATAAACAAAAACCTAAAATCAATAAATGAATTTCTTGCCTAAAATAGTGTTTTTTACAACGAATCGAAGTATATTTATTCTTTTCAGTTTTCAAGAAAAGAACAAATGGGGTTTAATTTGAATTTGTATTTAACTTTATGACAACTTTAAATGTACAACATTTGATAAAATGCAAAATCATACATTCATCAACATCCATTATATAAATTTATTTTGATTAGATATATTTAAATATTAGTGGATCAAATAAACATAACAAGTTCTAAAATTCTATTTTTAAGGCTAATCCTCAATTTAAAAGTAGTCTTAAAATTTCTTTTTTTGATTTTTCATAAAAATAATGTAAATAAAGCAACAAAAAAATGTTATTTATAGATTTTTCAGAAGAGAAAAGCAAAGCCATTTGAAGTCAAAACTTTTAATTCTGGACATGACGCGTTCAGGCCCCGTTATTCGACTAAAATAATTTAGATTTTTCATGGTGGATATCTAGTTCGATCCATTGTGGATATCTAGTTCGATCCATTGTGGATATCTAGTTCGATCCATTGTGGATATCTAGTTCGATCCATTGTGGATATCTAGTTCGATCTAGTTCTGCTAATAAATTTTAGCCTCTGTATTCTTGAATTAAATTATGATGAACGATGAAAATAATGTGTTTGTTGACAAATCGTTCTTCAACCCCTCCCCCCATACCAACTCCCATTCATTGAGCAGAACTAAATAAATCCTGAAATGTAAACATAAGTTCTCTAAAGCAAAATTTATATAGAACATGCAAAAACACATTCCTTTATAAAAAGCTGGTTTTTTGGTATGCAACAATTTTCATTTAATCCCGCCGGGATATTTTCATTGAAAGATCCTTTGAAAATCTACAAAGGCAAAATCCGCAAAATCCGCAAGCCTTCGGGTTTATCATTAAATCCCCTCTTGAAAAAGGAATGTCATTTACTCTCAGACAAATTAGAATCAATAGAAATTTAAACCCCCGAGGGATTCAATGATAAACCCGAGGGCGGATTAAATGATACATTGAGTCATAAAAATTTGAAAAATATCCAACCCTCATAAAGGGGAGATTTTTTTAGAAAAAAATTGAAAAGAGGGGTAATGTTTCAATAAGTGGAATATATTATTTTGCGCTTCAAGCTCACATTCAAGGAATTGACTCATATCCTTAATTTTACATCTGTTGGAAAAACATTTTTGTTAAACACAAGAAAAGCCGTTATTTGGGACTTAAACCCCTTAAAACAGTGCTTTAATTTAATTTCAGTACAACTCCCCCTCACTAGCCTAACCTCTCGCTTAACCTCTTTAAAATTAAACGTGAATTCTAAAAGTCCAGAAAATGTATGTGTATGAAATATTTACCTTACAAGCCGGTACAGTGATATTATGAAATGTTCCACATAATACAGCTGCCATAGCAAACCCTGCCCCAGTCCAGTAGGCTGTATCATGAACCACCTCAGGTGTCCCATCATCTAAATCTAAAATATATTATTGGAAACCCTGCTTCAGTGAGTTGTATCATGAACCACCTCAGGTGTCACATCATCTAAATCTAAAATATATTATTGGAAACCCTGCTTCAGTAGGTTGTAGCATGAACCACCTCAGGTGTCCCATCATCTAAATCTAAAATATATTATTGGAATCCCTGCTTCATTAGGTTGTATCATGAACCACCTCAGGTGTCCCATTATCTAAATCTAAAATTTATTATTGGAAGCCCTACCCATGCCAAAGTAGGTTTTTCATAAAATAAAATAGGTTTAATAAGCTGCTAAGCTTTTTCAGATTTACATAGAATGCACTTAAGAAGTAGTTCAACAAGTCATGCCTCGCACAACATACTTCTCGCTTCTTATTAAGTCTGGTATATTGATAGAAATACATTAAACTAAACTTTAACATTTTGTCCAGCAAAAAAAATTTGATTTCATCGGCTTGATCACCAACAAAACTTGAGTTTTTGGAACAAAATCAATATTTTAACCTCAATATTTTTAGAACTCGATGTTGTAAACCTTTGATATTTCAAAACCAGATTATTTGATTTAACAGAAATTATAGTGAAGTATCTAAGGTCTGCAACATTTGGTTCCAAAGATATAGTGATTATAAAAACAGAATTTGTTGCAAAGACTCAATTCCTTTATAATTTCTTTAAAAATAATGGTGTAAAACAAAGTAAATGTGGTCTTCCAAATTCATACTTCAGCTATTTTCTGGAAGCTAAAATACTTACCCATTACTTTACTGTGCATTAGTGCATTTATGGCATCTAGAAGATCTCCAGAAGTACCATTAGATGAAGGGTCCTAGGCATAAACAATTAGAATTCAAACCATATATTCATTCTTGACAATTTCTAATTTAAATATTTATTTTTTAAAAAAACATGTATACACAAAATCTGTATATAACATACAATAAACTTGTATATTTCAGTGTATAAAAATGTTCACCAGTTTTCAAGTTTCATTGGACACAATGTTTGAACTGCTTAAAAAGTTAAAATCTTTAGTTGGACCATTAAATACAATTTTTTTGTGTTTTTGTTAAATTGGACACACTGTACACAACTTCTCAAAAGTTATCGCGCATATGTATAAAATGTTTTATGTTTATTTGAACACGCTGTATAAAATGTTTCATGTTTAATTGAACACACTGTATAAAATGTTTCATGTTTAATTGAACACACTGAATAAAATGTTTCATGTTTAATTGAACACACTGTATAAAATATTTCATGTTTCATTGAACACACTGTATAAAATGTTTCATGTTTAATTGAACACACTGTAAAAAATGTTTCATGTTTAATTGAACACACTGTATAAAATATTTTATGTTTCATTAAACACACTGTATAAAATGTTTCATGTTTAATTGAACACACTGTATAAAATGTTTCATGTTTAATTGAACACACTGTATAAAATGTTTCATGTTTAATTGCACACACTGTATAAAATGTTTCATGTTTAATTGCACACACTGTATAAAATATTTAATTGCACCAGTATCAAACTTTTTACAATGTATTGTAATAATTGGCCCCATTCACTGTGTGCAACTTTTCAAAAGTTAATTTTAAAAGAACATACTGTATACAAGATATCATGGTTTAGATGGACAACAGATGGTCAATCTGTATAAAACGATTCATAAGTTTTCATGTATAATTGAACACAGTGTACAAAAGGTTTCAAAATTTCTCATGTTTATTTGAACATATGGTTTAAAACTTTTCAAAAGTTTCCATGTTTACAATTATACAATTATAAGACAACTTTTCAAAAGTTTTCATGTTAAATTGGCCATAGTGATTTAAAAACTTTTCAAAAGTTCTAACGTTTAATGGGACCCAAGGTAAACTTATCGCAAGTTCTCGTGTTTAATTGAACACACTGTATAAATTGTTTTAAAAGTTCCAATGTTTAGTCAGACCCACTTTTAAAAGCTCTCATGTTTACTTGAACCCACTGTATGTAAAAATGTACCTGATCTGAGGGGAAGAGGAAAGGAGGTTTGCAAACAAGAGTAACCCCGGTCAGAATTGATAAACCCATCGTAACACGGAGAATATTCAACCTCTCTCCTAACAAGATTTAACAGAAATCAACACTGATATTTCAGACTTAAACTTTTTGAACGCCATTCGGTTTCAAATTATAAAATTAGAGTGTTTTCCAAATTAAAATTAAAATTTTATTTTATGACAAAATTACCTAAAAATATAGCTGCAACCACCATTGTTACCAGAGGGTCTGTGAACATAATCACTAAAAAAAAATTACTTAAAAATATTTATTGGTTTAAAGGATTGTGATTTTTTATGGCACTGGTATTATTTTAATACTCAAATAAGTCAAAAAACAAAAGAAAAGAAAGCCTCCGGATTCATCTTATTACAAACTTTGATCCGGATTATTTGTATGGTACTTTTGAACTGATCCGGATCATTTGTATGGTACTTTTGAACTGAGCCGGATTATTTGTATGGTAGTTTTGAACTGAGCCGGATTATTTGTATGGTACTTTTGAACTGATCCGGATCATTTGTATGGTACTTTTGAACTGAGCCGGATTATTTGTATGGTACTTTTGAACTGAGCCGGATTATTTGTATGGTACTTTTGAACTGAGCCGGATGTATTGTAAACTGTGTGCTAAATTTTGGCAGATGTGAATTAACTTTGTATTATTATTTGTTAATCCCGGATTAACAATGGCACGATTTATTTTTATGCCGAACCGGATCTATCGAGTGCGAATCCAGGAACCGGATCCATTGAGTGCGAATCCAGGAACCGGATCTATTGAGGGCGAATCCAGGAACCGGATCTATGGAGTGCGAATCCAGGAAACAAAATGTGTATAGCTGTTATTAGCACTTGACACAAAGCTAAAAGTCGGATATTTACAAACAAAACCATGTGATTTACCTTCTTAAGAAATAAATATTTATTTTTTTGTTGTCTATTTTTACTGCAGGATATATTTCATGGACTCGTGCACTGATGGTATGCGATGTATGCTTGGATTTACAAAATTAGATTAAATTTTGCCAATTTAACAATCTTGCTTTCATCATGTTTACGCTGTATAGGTATTCTGAACGCATAAAAACAGTAAATATAAATTACCAAAGGCACAAAAACCACGGGAAATGTTGTAAAATTAAACAGATTTATCCACAAAAGATTAAACTTCAAGGACAATTGTACGAAATTTGTTTAGTCCGTTTTCTAAACTGGCTTATTTCTGTGCTTCAAATAGTCATATTTTTGTAGTTTTGGATCGTTGTTACAGTTTCATTCTTTGTAGGTAACCCTGTACTTATTGATGTTTCTTACACAACTGTAAATCAACCAGTTTACAAAAAAACAAAGGACTTTTAGCACAAATAATTTAAATTGGATAATCAAATGAGTCTCAAGGAATATACGTTTTCTTTCCTTAGGAATATTTATGTCAAGATTCCATTATGCATGTGTCAAGTTTATCTAAGGGTGGTAAATAAGTTAATTTATGTCAAGATATGCATGTGTCAAGTTTATCTAAGGGTGGTAAATAAGTTAATTTATGTCAAGATATGCATGTGTCAAGTTTACTTCCCTAACGGGACTAAGGCTGGTAAACAAGTTTAATTATGAGTGTTGACTGTTGAGTGTGCGTGAGAACTAAGTTTTAAATTTTACAAGGGGTATTTTCAGCCAGTGGTCCGACTAGAGGGATTTCATCATACAATTTTCAAGCACCGAGCACTCTCTATAGGTTATTAAAAAACTTCCTGGGAACTATGGGATTAAAATCCGCTTTTAACCTAGGAATATAAAAGTAACCTACATATCTTTGTTTACAAATATGTACATCAATTTCTGGAAGGATCTATTTACATTCATCTCTACATACAAACCAAGATATGGAAGTTACTCTTGTATAAAAACTTCTTGCTTCACCCTTCCCCCCTGTATCTTTTAAAATACACTGCATTCGATCCTTTTAATAATATGTGATAATATTAAAATACACTGTATTCGATCCTTTTAATAATATGTGATAATATTAAAATACACTGTATTCGATCCTTTTAATAATATGTGATAATATGAATATTAATATTTTCTCAGGACCTCTGAACTCTCTGAACCGAACTCCACACATGTTTATTTATTTGACACGAGCCACTTTGACGCCATGTTGTCAAATATTAACCCTATCCCGGCTGGGCTGTTTTTGTCTAATATAGGCTGGGGGGGGAGAGGGGGTGTTCCCCTTAAAGTTGAGAGTCATCTTTTAAAGGCCTCCTCACTCAATAAAAAATTTGACCTCTAACTTTAATGTTTAAGACTGCAAAGGAAGACTTTTAAAAAGTTATAAAAGTACGTCGGAAAAATGGTAATTTTTAATTGACAAATATTAACATGTGACTCGCATTTCTGATTTAACACTGACAATGACCCGCCGTTTGACTGTCCTCCACCCTACTCTACGCATCAAAAAAAATGTAACAAAATTTGTACCAAACATATATGATGCTGAAAAAGTGAAGGAGTGTAAGGCGTCTTCAAGTTATTTAGGGAAACACAAGTTTTCCAGCAGAGTTAAAAATTCTTGAAACTTTCATAAGCGGCTTCAATATTTAGAATTTCATACAACAAGCAATATTAAACTTGCGGCACCCATCTTTTGTAGTCAATCTTGTTTTAAGAAAGAAATATAAAGAACATCTGTAATATTTCTATCGTAAAAGATGAGGTTATTTATATCTTTTTATCATTTATTTATGAATTTGAGTATGCAGATTTGTTTAATGAAACATATGGAAATTGTTAAGTGGCTTGACAGTTAACAGAGCTGATTCACCAAGAAGCAAAAAAAGAAAATATGAGTTTTTATGCATTAGATATTAATATCACATATATCTTTTAATCCCAATTCCCATTACTACTTTTACTCATTATATCAATCATATCATTAAATCAATTAAAGATCATAAAACAAATTAAAGGTTAATTAGAGTGACTGTTAAGTAAAAAGTATAATCTTTCATCTGATTTAAATATCTTGCCCATTCTGGATTTTAAAATCTACGTTCTCAGTAACCAAGTTGTCACAAGAATAAAAAGGAGGATATGTATAAAATTCTTTTTTATTGGGAAACTTAGATATCAGTCTTTCAATGAAAGGCCCATTATAATTAATTTTAGAATATATTAGAATATTATTATTATTATTAGCAGACAACCCATCCCATCAATCAACGAAATAGTTAAGAAAAAGGAAATTTTTGCATATTCATCAAAATATGTGCTGTTTCAAAAAACTATGATCACTTATTATATTACGCACTTATTATTACGTACTAATGAGTACACTCTTATGAAGACGCACTTATGAGGACGCAATTGGTAGAACGCACTTATGAGGACTCACTTGGTAGAACGCACTTATGAGGACGCACTTGGTAGGACGCACTTATGAGGACGCACTTGGTAGAACGCACTTATGAGGACGCACTTGGTAGGACCCACTTATGAGGACGCACTTGGTAGGATGCACTTATGAGGACCCACTTACAAATTTCATACACTAGCATAAATCTACTTTTTAACAGTGTTATCTTTCCGTGGTATTATTTTCAAAACTGAAATGGAGGGGTGGGGATATTTTCAAAACAAAAATTACGAATAAAATTATCAAAGCTTTAATTCGATAAAAAAGAGAAAAAATTTGATATACTTCATTTTTTATTCTAGGTTTTGAATAATAAATTTTAAATAGAAATAACTTACCGAGAGCATCTGCTACGGGCATCAGAGATACACATATCAATGCTGTTATGAAGGAAAACGCTCCAAACACTGATTGAAGAACAACGAAGCTGAAAACCCTTAAAATATTTTGGATTTCATAAATTCAAAATTCAAAGTAATCTTCCACGATTAATATGTAGAAACATGACAGCTAAAAAGGAATTATTAGATCGTGGTAGATCTTGAGTCTTGACATATTAATAATTAAGAACATCTTGTTGTTATGATACAATCAGGATTGATGAACATCTAATTATAAAAGAATAAAGATTTATACATTATTTGTTATGATACAGTTTATATTGATGAACATCTTGTTATGATACAGTTAAGATAAATGATCATATTCTCATGATACAGTAAAAATTAAGAACATTTTGTCATGATACAGTGAAGATTAATGAACATTTTGTAATGATACAGAAAAGGTTAATGAACATTTTTTTCGTGTACTTTATGGAGAATTGTTGACATTGAAATTACAGATGTTAATGTAATTTCTGTTAACTTATCCATTAATAAAGATGAGTAAATCAGATTATATCATTGTACTGATGGAGGCCAATTAAAGAATTAAAGATTAATCTTATCGACCATCTATGATAATTATTGGAGAATAGTGAAATTCAAAAGGGCTTTTTAAGAGCAGTCTTTTTTTTTTGATGATTTTAAAAATAATTACTTCAAGTTATCCGGGATGAGGTTGTATCTCTTAGAGCAGGAGAAGATAAAAAGAAGCAGAACTTGAACCAATCCTCTCACTTAAACAATAAGATGTTAAAAAGAATGAAAAAATAACTAAATATATTTCAATAAAATTTACTTGAATCAAGGGTATAACTGAAAAATTATACTTAAACCACGGTATTCGATTGATACTATATGTATTTTGATCCAAAGCTTTAATGCTTTGTCTCAGTACCAAAAATGATGAACACTCCCTTTAATAAATATATGTACCTCACCTAGAACAGCATCACAGGGTAAAACTTTGAAGTACTTGATGATGAAGTTGTTCGCTGTAAAGAGTACTCCAGACAGTGTAGACAAGAATACTCCTAAACAATAAGAAAAGTACTCCAGACAGTGTAGACAAGAATACTCCTAAACACGAAGAAAAGTACTCCAGACAATGTAGACAAGAATACTTCTAAACAAGAAGAGGAGTACTCCAGAGAGTGTAGACAAGAATACTTCTAAAAAAGAAGAAAAGTACTCCAAACAGTGTAGACAAAAATACTCCTGAACAAGAAGAAGAGTACACCAGATAGTGTTGACAAGAATACTCCTAAACAACAAGAAGAGTACTCCAGATAGCAAAGACAGGAATACCCCTTAAAAAAGAAAAGAGTACTCCAGACAGTATAGTCAAGAAAACTCCTAAACAAGAAGAAGAGTACTCCCGACAGTTTAGACAAAAATACTCCTAAACACGAAGAAGAGTACTACAGACAGTGTAGTCAAGAAAACTTAAAAAAGAAAAGAGTACTCCAGACAGTATAGTCAAGAAAACTCCTAAACAAGAAGAAGAGTACTCCCGACAGTTTAGACAAAAATACTCCTAAACACGAAGAAGAGTACTACAGACAGTGTAGTCAAGAAAACTCCTAAACAAGAAGAGTACTACAGACAGTTTAGACAAAAATACTCCTAAACAAGAAGAAGAGACAGTTTAGACAAAAATACTCCTAAACAAGAAGAAGAGTACTCCCGATAGTTTAGATAAAAATACTCCTAAACTCGAAGAAGAGTACTACAGACAGTATTGACAAGAATACTCCTAAACTAAAATAGTACTCCAGACAATGTAGACAGAAATACTCCTAATTTACTCCAGAAAGTTTAGACAAGAATACTCCTAAACAAGAAGAAGAGTACTCCAGACAGTGGAGGCGAGAATACACCTAAACAAGAAGAAGAGTACTACAGAAAGTGTTGACAAGAACAGTATTTCTAACAGTGTAGACAAGAATAATCCTATGCAAGAAGAGTACTCCAGACAGTGTAGACAATAATACTCTTAAACACGGAGAAGAATACTCCAGACAATGGAGACAAAATGCTAAAATAATTCTTGAATAAGACATTAAACATGAAGAATTGTCTCCGAGATTGCTTACCTTGCAAAAATCTGACTTTGCCTGAAGCTTCTGCGTCTACTGTGGACATTTTTAATGTTGTCTGGTTACTGTAATATCTTATCTAATACTAGTAATTCTCGGTAAAAAAAGAAAAGAAAGCATCTTAAGTTTCAGCTGCCAGAGAACATTAATTGAGAATGTTGTATAAGCGTTTTATCGGGAGATTCAATATCAAACGAGGGAGGGAACCCCCAGACGCCATAAGCCTCCGCCATACAGCAAACGAGCCTCAGCTGTATAGTACAATTCTAGGTTTTTACATGTAAAATAGAATTTTTAAAACTTTTGTTCAACATAGTGGCACAACAATTGTACTGACGATTAATGTTGTGTATCGACTATCGATTGTCATGATACAAAGATAAATGTTTTTCAAAAAATATTTCTTACGCAGAAAGGAAACTATTTGGAAATTCATTTCTGAACTAAACTAGGTTTATTTTAATTTAATCTTTGATTTAAACAATACCTTTTATGGAAATTTGTTTAGATTCAGATTATTTGTCAATGTCACATTTTTGATTATCTTATCTGATAAAAATTTCAAAAATCAAAGATTAATAAATATCAAATCAAATTACTTTCAGAATTTTTTTTCTTACTTTTTCCCTTTTTTCGTAAAAACTGTTTAAAGTTTTACTAAATACTTTACTAGTCATTATTGGTCACTATTTTTAATAATTTATTGATACTTCTGATCTTTTTGATCAACTTTTTCAAAAAAATGCAAAAATATCTTTACTTTTTGTCAAATCCAAGAGTTTTAAATAAACTGTGCTATTTAACGGAAATTCTTAATGCGTGGCGGAGGCTCAGTCTGCCAAGCAAATCTGGGAGGCTTGTGTCTGCACAGCGGAGGCTTATGGCGACTGGGGTTCCCTCCCTCATCAAACCAAGTACATGGTACATTTTACAGTTATTTCTCTTTCACAAAAATTATACTAAAAAAATCATTTCAATGAAATTCTACCGTTTTATTAATACAAGGATTTGAAAATAAACCATGACAAAATGTCTTTTTCCAAATATGGACAACTTTCCCAGAACAAACAGGTCACAAAGGAGTGTCAAATATTCTTATCTACGTTAATAACATTTCTCAAATGTTGCAAAAGTACAATTTTTTCCTTTACTTAAAACCAAGTCAGGGTGAGAAAATGTAAAGAATTAAATATTTCAGTTTGCACAGCACAGATTAGGAAGCCTTTCAGATTCACATCCAGAAATAAATATGTACTTCCAACAGGTAAAAACTTTTTCTTGAATCTCAGGATGAAGCATAAATCTACATCTTATGCAGAACTATAGCTTAATCTAATTACTCTTTGATATCCCGTGGTGTTTGTAGAGATAACTTTAATTAAGTGCCAACATCGGATATTGAGAATCAAGATCATGCTTTTTAGACACTTCACACTGTTCCAACCTTTACTCTACTTTGAAGAAAAGTTAGGTTAATTTTGCCTGTAAAACGACTAGAGCTTTACAGACTTGTGCAATGTGAATTGCTGGTCATGGTTTCTAAGATAAAGTTAAATATCCAGAGACAATGTTGGTCCATTGAAAGTAGGTTCAAATATTTTCACCGACCCTAAACAAATTGCGGCAATACTAAACAATAGTTTTTGTAGTGTTTTTTCCAAAGAAAATACCCAGATAACTAAGACCTGTCCTATAATTCCTTCAGCAAGTCAAATCAATGACATTTACTTTACGGCTAGCTTGGTGCAAGAAAAAATTTCAAAACTTAAATCCAACAGCGCCCCGGGTCCAGATGGGATTACGCCAAGATTTTTAAAAGATCACTACGATATATTATCCATATCATTGTCCATTATTTTCAACAAATCCATGTATACAAGTACTGTTCCGAAAGATTGGAAGGATGCAAATGTAACTCCTATCTTTAAAAAGGGGCAAAAAGTAGCCCAGATAACTATCGGCCCATTTCCTTAACCTCGGTACCGTGTAAAATCATGGAGTCCATCATGAGGGACAAAATGGTTGACCATCTGTTAGTAAACAAACTTATCCAGAATTCTCTACATGGTTTTATACAAAAAAAAGTCCTGCACTACACTATTTTTGGGAAATGTGACAGAAAACCTAGACAGAAGAGTTCCAATGGACATTGTATACCTTGACTTTAGTAAAGCCTTTGACAAGGTACCAAGACTAAGACTCTTGGAGAAGATAAAGGCACATAGCAATTAGCATCAATGGTCGACTGCTCAAATGGATTGAAAACTGGTTAACAAACCGACAGCAACGCGTTGTACTAAATGGATCCTACTCAGAATGGTCCAAGGTTGAGTCAGGAGTACCACAAGGGTCGGTTCTTGGACCCTTAGCCTTTGTCATTTTTATAAACGACCTAGACGATTGTATAAAGCAACTGACAATTGTAAACAAGTTTGCCGATGACACCAAACTGGCACACAGGATAGAGTCTGACCAAGATAGGGAAACACTTCAACGATGTATAGACAATCTATTAATTTGGGCAGAGGACTGGTGTATGGAATTTAACGTTAAAAAATGCAAGGTTATGCATGTCGGTAGGAACAACCCAAATTGTGAATACATAATGGCAGGGACGGTACTACAGACGGTAAGCAAAGAAAGAGACATAGGAGTGGTTGTAAACCAAGACCTTAAACCCTCTCTGCAATGTTCTGAGGCTTCGAGGAGGGCATCTACAGTTCTAGGTCAAATAACCAGGACATTTCTTTACCGAGACAGATCTACTTTTTTGAGGTTACATACCCAATTTGTCCGATGTCACTTAGAGTTTGCGGTCCCGGCGTGGTCACCCTGGACTGGACAGGATATTGAAATATTAGAAAAAGTGCAGCGCAGGGCGGTTAACCTGATCACTGGTTTAAATGGCAGGACCTATGAGGAAAAGCTTGACGAACTAGGTATACTGTCACTGAAGGACAGACGAACCAAACTAGACCTGATCCAAACGTACAAAATTTTGAAGGGAATAGACAGAGTAGACCACAACACTTGGTTCAGTAAGGTTGGAGTCGATGCCACCAGGTTAACTAGACATACATCATATCACGACAATCTGATATAAAAAAGATCAAGATCAGATGTCAGGCAAAACTTTTTCTCAAATTGTGTTGTTCCTAAATGGAATAAACTCCCAGTAGAAGTTAAAGAGGCAAGAACTTTAAATATATTTCGGACCCTGCTTGACTCTATTGACATTGGGAGACTTTAAACTTTAAACTATGCAAGGAGTATTTGAGTATGGAGAGCGCTGTGGAGCCGAAGCAGGAAGACTGATCAATACTCTGTGATGATCCTAAAGACATCCTCGTCTATGTTCCTACCGGAGCTCTGAGGATAAACTTCCAAGTAACTAAGTAAGTAAGTAAAGATTTCATTTCCCAAAAATATCTTTTAAGCTACAAATTAATGAATTAAAAAGCTTTCCCACAATTGTTACCTTTTACAATTGTCCTATTGGGCAGTAGTCTAAATCTAAATTAAATAGAAGATCTGAAAGCTAGTAATTTAAGTAAAACAAATTAGAAAGCTTAATGTATATAAAAAGATTGATTGAGAAAATATTCCTGTTTTTGTCCAAACTGTCAGGGTTGATTACAGGAAGGAGTCTACTGTTTACATCTACTTCTTCCTCATCATGAACTGGAGAACTTAATGGCCAGTTCTAAACAGATAACATTTTACTAATGTATGTACATGAACATGTACATGAACATGTACATGAACATGTACATGAACATGTACATGAACGTGTACATGAACATGTACATGAACATATACATGTACGTGAACATGTACATAAACATGTACAGGAACATGTACATGAACATGTACATTAACCTTTACATGCACCTTTACATGAACCTTTACATAAAACTTTACAGAAACCTGTACATGAAACTGCTAATGTACCTGCAGAAAGAACATATACATGTACCTGTACCCATAAAAATAACTATATCTGTACCTTTAGATAAACTTGAACCAAAACCTGTACCTGTACCTGTACCATGAAAGGTCCAGTTACTGGCGGCATTTTTTTCTAAAAAATAAATAATTAATTTTTGCAATGGGTGACCTCAATTAGTATTATTATCTCAATTGTAAAAATGAATATTTACATAATGTTTTCATATATAATTGATAAAAGTGATAAAATATGATTAATTAATGTTCAACTGTACAGTGTACTGTGTTCTCATTGTCTTTAAATGATTATATAAGTTACACATTGGTGTAACTTGGGGAGGTTATATAGGTTCCATCATTTTAGCGTGTTTGAAAACATACTTTGACTATATTTGTATTTACATGCAAAGGCTCTATTGAGGTATAACCACAGTCTCACATACAAGAAGTTTAAGGAAGGGAGGGGGCCGGGGAGGTGGCCTTTGTTTTACTTTTAGCTAGAAAATACTAATAGTCTCACTTAACCTTGAAAAAGGGATAAAATAGTTGTTCTTTTTGAAGAAGAAAAGCTCAACAATTTGTATTTCGGACAAACTGTATAAACTTTTTTAAAAAGCACAAAAAGCATCTGTAATCTTGTTTGTTTATATATAACTTGGACATTAAGTTCATTTAAAGAACTAAATCTACTAGATTTGCGAGGGGCGGACAATTTCAACTTCAATCCTGTATCAATGTCCCAGCCTCAATCTCCTAAATTTCGTGTACGAGCCACCTGAAAACTCTGACCGCCAAATTACTGTTTCTAACGGTGCATTTTCTTTGAGCCTAACTTGTAGTAACTAGTAAGGTATAAAAGCTAATGAATAATGTTGCCAGGCCGGGACAATAATTGAAATTTTCAGTAAACTTCAAAATTAAATTCCCTGAATCACAACGGTACCCTTTAACCACCATTATCAGATCGATGATACAAAAGCTATATTGTCATTTTAAGTTTGAGAAGTGTTTATTTCTCACAATTGCATTCATTATTACTGCAACAGAAAGATTTTCTAGGAAGATCACCATAAAAAAAAATATTTATAAGGAAAAATATGGCCAACTCAGCTACATTTGATAAGACAAAGCTTTATGAATCGAAGACCGTGCAAGTTTAATACAAGGAGAGTCACATAAGATTTTGTCAATAAATTCATTCAGTTATAGAGAATTCGGCTCAAGTACAGAAGGGAATCAATGCTTTATCGATATACTAGCTGAAGTGCTCGGCGTTGCCCGTAGAACAAACCAATCTAATTTTAATGAAAGAACAAAATTTTGAATTTTAAAAATTGATCGAATTTTGAAAGAAACTTTTTTATATATATATACAGTGAAACCCTTAATAACGAATACATCGAAAGAATTCATCAAATGTCGTATTCTTCACTTTCTGATGCAATGCAATGTTGCAGATATTTAGTTTTTTAATCAAATGATTATATGGAACTATTTTAAACTGTTCCCGCATATTCATGGCTATTTATTTATTTTCGCAAGTACTGAAATTTACGTAATATAGTATAAAACTCATTGAAAAATTGTCAAGACGACATTAAATAAATCCTTCAGATGTATTCGTTATTAAGGGTTTCACTGTATATATATATGTTTCAGTTTTTAAACTTCACATTTTATAAAAAAAAAGAATTATACTAAACATAATGTTTCACGTCTCATGACGATCCTCAGTAGTCAAAATTCTTTGTACAATATAAACATGAGCAAAGATTATTATATAGATGACACATGGGAATAAATGAACGATAGAAATCTTTACTCTGACGGACAAGTCGTCTTATTCCCCGTAATGTAATGTCTGCAGTATGGTTTCCTATTTAAGCTCACCCGTTTTTAATTTTTTACTGTGTAATTTGTTGTCAAATCATAAATACTAAATATATTTTCAGGCGAGCAATTACTTTCTCCTCTGAATTTTCATTCTTTGTGAATAACTTTGTATATTTACTCTTTAATACTGATAACAAATTTGTATTATGTGTACTTCGGAAAAGTATAAATGTTACAAAACCATACCTGTTTATGTATATAGCCAGGCCCAAAACATTGTTTTGACATGAAAAACTCAATAAGAATAATAGTAAATGAATGTAGACTAAAAAACTAAATTTTTCGAAAATCACACATTTGTTTATTAAGTTTAGATATTTTGCCTGTTTCCGTTCACTTAATTGCTATTGAATAATTGAAAACCTTGAAAACCTTCAGTTTTCCCAAAACTAAAATTTGAAGAAAAAACTCCCCTGCAAGCTTGAGGATGAGTACAAACAGTTTCTCTTTAACCTGGCCATGTTTTGCATACAATTTAAATTTGTCTCCATTTTACTCTTTGCTGTAGTTTGCTAGAATCATTAATTAAATAAAAGAAGGGGGATAAGCTTCTCAAAATACAAAACAATTAATATAAACCCTATCATTTCACAACGCACTAAATTTTTCTTTAATTTGAAGAAAAAATAATCCTTTACACTTAATATTGGAAACAAAAATTAGATTTTAAGCCAATTTACTCCCTTTTTTTCCTTCATTCCTTTTTCGTTTCCTTCTTTTCTTTTCGTTATTTTCATTTTCTTCTTTTTTGTCTTAGAAAGTTTGCCCCCCTATGCCCCCTCCTTTGGGGTTAAGGAGTGTGGGGGCACGTGCCCCTGTTACCCCCCTTGCTACGGCCTGCATATAGCATAGTCATTAAGGTAAAAAATGCTTAATTGTATACTTCACATAAAACCGCGAGCCTGTAAAGGTTAAAACTTGTATAAGTAGGTTCAAATCAGGTGTCAAAAGCCTAAACTTTACCTAAGGAACATATGGAAATGGAATCTGTAAGACACCCCAATGTGGACCCCACAGACCGCCGCCAGGTATGGGAAGCACCATCCCAATACCTGTTCCACTGCCGGCCTGACCCCCAAGCTTATGAATTACCTACAATTAGTGTGTAAAACAGTAAATATTTTTTTCCTTCAAATTTTAATCTTAACTTTCATATTCTGGAGCAAGAGACTTTATATACTAATGCTTGAATACTTGAAAAAAGAGCAACAAAAAGTATACAATAACAAGTAGGAAAAAATTACACTTGATGGGTGAAAACAGGCCTCTAAAGTTAAGACTCCCTCACTTATAACCATCATTCAGTAGTTATCCTATTAATAACCTTTTAAGGCTACTAATAGGATAACCGAATGTAAGGCCAAGTTAAAGAACAAAGGATTGAAATTGCTCCGATATGGAACAACATAGACATAACTTTGTTTAAAGCTATGTACTTTTCGATGGAACAAAAAAAAAGAAGGAGGAGAAAAAGGTGCACCGTTAATCATGTCGCAGAGTTTGAAAACAGTACTCCAATTCTCCAAAAACGGAGGTTCTGTGGCAAAATAAATTGATGGGATTGAGGTGCACCATTCGGTGCGCGGAGCGATTAGTGGTGCACCTCTTTTGGAGAATTTGAGGTGCACCTCTTTTGGATAATATAAGGTGCACCTCTTTTGGATAATATAAGGTGCACATCTTTTGGATAATATAAGGTGCACCTCTTTAAAAATATGATACACCTCTTTTAGAGTGCAAACAATGTTAGGGGCCTAGTCAGGAATTTGTCCAGGGGGGGGGGATTATAAACACTTATTTTTGAGTTAGGAGGGGGCTCAGCACCCATTGGTGCCTGAAAACCCCTTGAAATCAATAGATTTCACTAGTCTCAGGGGAGGAAATTTCTCAACAGTCATAGGACCTAACGGCAAACACACACAATCAAAAATATGTATACCTATTCCTCTATATTGTGATTTCATGATGTGGCTTACCATAAACTTATGAAGATATAAAGAATTCGATAAGCCAGGGGCGGATTAAAGGAAATTCATGATATGAAAGAAAAGCATCAAAGGATAAAAGATACAGCATACAGGATACAAGTGTAAATAATTATTAATAGTTCTTGACCGTAAACATTTCTTTAAAAAATATTTTCATCAGAAGTCCTGGAAACCCTTTTTAAAATATGATCAAGAAAAAGTTCTTGTTTTCTACCTCATCAGATAGTTACTCTTACATTTTATTCAAAAGTACTTATTTCAATCCTCCTTCTGTATATTGTATACGTCTCTTTTTACATTTTAGTATATCTGGTTCAAAAGAAAGATAAGATAATTTATAAATGATAAAAGTGGGGTTTTTGAGACATTTTTCCAAGAGGACCCCAGCCAGAAAGAGGGATGTGTAATTATTGACATATGTCAGAAAAAGTAAAATTTACTTACGAAGATTGATTTTCAGATGATTAATTTAGGAAAAATATAAACTAATTCCATTTTTTAAGTCACCTCATTCTTTAAAAAGATAAAATATTTTGTTACATTTTAACAAAACGTTTGAACTATCTGTACTGTACAATAGTTCCCTGTTTACTACTCAACTTTCAAAGGTCAATCTGTATATAACAGTACGTGCCCTACGTGCATTTTTCAAAATAATTTATTTCACTTAAACAGAAATTGGTTTCAAATAAAGAAAACTAGGGACTCTAGACATTTAATTTCAAAACAGTTCCTAACAAACCTAAAAATAAAAGATGTATCAAAAGCTTAAACTATTGATTAGAAGAGTAAAGCTATTTTTAGTATTTTTAACAACTGTTAAAACATGTCATTCATGTGTCACAAAATGTTGTCCCAATTGGTTCAGCAGTTCGACGTTTTTATAACACCCAAACATAAATGCAACTTGGATATACTTTCTAAGAAGAATGTGTGGAGGCTTCAAGAGAATACAATTTTAAATATGCAAATTGCAGCCGAAAAGCTTTAATATTAAAAAGACGGATGAAAACTGAGACCATGGAGACATAAAAAGTGACTTTCCAATTCACCTGGTTACACTTTTAACCATTGCGGGATAAAAAATGATTGAGATATCCTCATATTTCTATCTGAAAATTGATAATTTCATTTCTTCCATTGGTCAGATACAGGTTTAAAGGGTACCATTGTAAATTACAAGGACAGCCCCTTTGCGAACACTGTGCAATCCAAATGTGTTTACAATCTACATATCTGCCCCCTGTGTAAAAACAGTACTTATAACAAAATAATACGTTAAAGTAAAGTTGTTGGAAATATCAAAACTAATATTGTTTAGTTCTAAATAAGTGGAAAAAGTGAACAGTACATTTTTTCATCCGTTTATTCTTTTATTTTTTTTTTAATTACTGAACCAAAAGTGTTTACAGATTTATATTTGTAAAACTTGTCACTCCTCAATCATTTTAGGCATCAAAACAGCACATAAGTAGTAAATTTGAGGCTGCAAAAACTTTTGGGTTGCACTGTATATCTATAAAAAAATTATATCTTCTTATTTTACATAGATTAAAGTTTAAAGGATAATGCTGTGAATGGGACTCAATAAATAGGGAATCACTTGAAGCTACGTGTACAGTCCCTTTATCACTTGAAACTACGAGTACAGTACCTTTATTACTTGAAACTAGTGTACAGTCCCTTTATCACTTGAAACTACATGTACAGTCCCTTTATCACTGGAAACTTCGTGTACAGACCCTTTATCACTTGAAACTACGTGTACAGTTCCTTTATCACTGGAAACTTCGTGTACAGTCCCTTTAGCGCTTGAAACTACGTGTACAGTCCCTTTATCACTTGAAACTACGTGTACGGTCCCTTTATCACTTGAAACTACGTGTACAGTCCCTTTATCACTGGAAACTTCGTGTACAGTCCCTTTATCGCTTGAAACTACGTGTGCAGTCCCTTTATCACTTGAAACTACGTGTACAGTCCCTTTATCAAGATTATAGTCTTTATATCCTATATTAGTAAACCGTCTTAACTGTACACAGGGGCTAAATGGGGGCCCAGGTAGTGAACTTTCATCCCTACTGGTTGAGACACGCTATGATGGTATATATTATAAAAGGTTGTATACATTTTATGTAACGTAACATATTATAAAATATAACAAATTTATAATTATAAAATATCTTTACATATCGTACAGGGTTACACAAGTTTATAAACCAAGCTTAGAATAGTCTCGTGGTCCCCAATCGAAATGTAAGGGAAATTGGTTAAATAATTGGTGAATTATGATCTGAAAGAAAAATATGAGGATATTTGGAGGAAGGTAGAACAGTAGTTAGAATTGGATTTAGAAGGAACATCATATTCATAAAAATGAGGTTATTAGGAATAAGAATATTTTCATGAACTAAATATAAGTTCTAATGTTTGGAGGGAAAAGGATCATGTTAAGGAAGAATGAAGATGAAAGGAAGAAATAAGTAGGAATCGGAGAAATAAAAATAATTTCGACGCAATTACTGATGAATTTGGAGGATGAAATTAAAAATGGAGGAGTAAGATGAATTGTGAGATTAACTAGTATTCCAATGAAGCTGGAGAGTTCACTGTAGGTTCTGTCTGAGCTGGGATTATTGACTATACTATACAGTAAAATCTTGATCCTGGTGAGGGGGTGGGGCTCTCCCTCCCCCCCTAGGAGGGGCGGGATTGGCGGCTGTAATGTTGTAAAAATTTCTAAAAGCATCCTGTCTATGATTTAATAAATCTATGTTTACTCGAGAAAAATAGAATAAAAGATTAACATATGAACCACGTGGAATTTTTACCATGGCTTCTCTGATTAATTGTCCAACGAACCAACAAATGGTTCATGAGGGAATCAGAAGTTTCCTCTTTAGTAGATTTTACTGTTTTATTTCATAAAGTTTAGTTTTAATAGAGTTTTCTTTAAGTTACGCAACATACGTTACGATAAAAAGTTATTAAATACTTATCCATGCAAATCGAAATATGCCAACTTATCATCATTACCAGAAACAAATGAAAGTTTATTGAAAACAATAAACAATAAACTGTCATGTTTCGTGGGACACCCTTTATCATAACCAAAAAACAAATCAAGATTTATCATAAACATAAAACAAAATTAAGATTGATCATAAACATAAAATAAAATTAAGATTTATCACAAAAAAAAACAAAATCAAGATTAATTGATCATAAACATAAAACAGCATTAAGATTTATCATATACAATTAATAATGATTGATTTCAAAGCTGTCACAAATATTCAGGGTTCATAATAAATCAGAAAAACTCCAAATCTCAACAAAGTCCTGAATAAATTCAATTAAACAAAACAAAAACTCCCCAAACAACTCCTTTGTTTGCTTGCGAATTATGAGACTGAATGTAATAAACAAAGAAGTTGCAGAGTCTCGAAAACAACAAAAAATTTAAACTCATTATTTTCCCTAAATTATTTGATCGTGTCTGTACAGAAAAAGGACTGTGCAAGTTATTCTAAATAACGCTTCATTGGTTCCGTAGCATATCGGATTCAATCTGTACTCAACCAATGGTTTTACAAAGAATGAAAGAGATAGTTATTTTCATCACTTGAAATAGTTATTATTTTCAATTGTGTGTGCTTTACCTCATTGAGAAAATTATTAGATTAGATCAACGTTATGCAAAATTTTGACACTAGCTGTCTCAGGCTAAAAGGATAGAAAAAAAAATGAAACCGGTTGGTAAAATCGGATTATTGAATCATGTTTACAAATTGTTTTGGTTAATATCTTTTTTCATATTAAAATTGTTGCACGATTTAATAAAAGCCATAAAACTAAACAAATTTTATTTTATATAAACAGAAGCTTTTTTATTTCTAACATGTTGTTGAGTTTATACAGCTTTTTTAGTATAGTTGATGATTAATTGTAAGTCTGCCAATAGTTCCTTTTATTTAGTTGCTTTAGACATTTTAGTTTTCTTTACATTTTGTAATCGATCATCCTTCATTCTTAAAAAGCTGAGATTTCCGAAAATCTATGACAAAAATAAGAATGGAAAATATTTCATAAATGGACGGTTCATAGATAACAAAGATCAAGCATTTCATAAATAGATATTTAATCTGTAGGGTTTTCCGGAGTATCATAGAAATGGAGCATTTTTGATAGATTTGGGATAAAATACAGTCCTTGACAGGGAAATTGTAAACACAAACAAACAAACAGACATCAAAGGAGTTTTTGCCACAAAATCAAATTGTCTAATATCTATATATTTGCTACCCAATGTTGATATTTCAAACTATGAAGACGAAGTCTGCTATTTAAAAAAAATCTAAGATTCCTTGGTTTGTCTTCTAAGACAACATAAAGTGTTCGATGCAGAAAATGTCCTGTATGTAAAATGTTCTGTATGTAAAATGTGCTGTATGTAAAATGTCCTGTATGTAAAATGTGCTGTATGTAAAATGTCCTGTATGTAAAATGTCCTGTATGTAAAATCTTCAGTGTGTGAAATGGACCCTGTCTATGAAATGTCCTCTCTAGGAATTTTGACGTTTCTTACTTGAAAACTATCATCATTGAAATGTCCTGCAAAATATAATTTCCTGTAAATAAAATGTCCTATCTATGGAATGTCCTCTCTAGAAATGTCTATGGTAAAATTTCCTAACTTAAAAACTATTTTTCAATAAAGTTTTCAATCTAGGATAAAATATCCTTTATATGAAACAACTTCTAAAAAATGTCCTCTTTATGAAATATCTTCTACGAAATGTCAAATAAGAAATGTCTTTTAATTGTTAATCTCTGTAATGTCTATCTAAATCCCGACGCCATTATAATACTTTCTCCAACATATGTACATAGATACATAAACAAATATTTGTGTCCATCCATCTATCTAATCTGAACAGTAGCCAAGTTCTGAAAGTGTTCGATCAGTTTATCATATGATTTGAATCCCTTACACTGCGTACACCTTGTCTATTAAATGGCATCTCAAGCATCTCAAGTGACAGAAAGTTTTAACGGCTGTTATAGTCAAAAATACCGAATCTCTGATCATGAAGTTCTAATGATCTATTGTTCTTTAATATATATCAACAAGGATTTTTTTTAATGGCCGCACTAAATATTATTATAATGTAAATATATATAGTTGGGCCCGTAGGCAATGTCGTGAGACCTGAGGGCGTCATGCAAATGCATAAATCAGCTGATGTGCATAGTAACCTCTACTTTCCTCAGTTCATATGTGTCCTGCAGTTGGAAACAGCTTTCTCAGTTTTAAATGCGCAAATTTTAATAGAAAAGTATATTTAACGCATTAATATATATATATAAGTTATTATCCATTTCTTATCATCTTCGAAAATTTTTATAGATTTCAATTACCTAGAGTGGTGCGAAGCGCTCAACAGAACAATTATTGTCAATATTATTTTGATAAACCAGATATATTAAAGAGTATTTCTTGATCATGTTTTTACGGATCTAAGATTCATAGGGTTTCGGTTCCCTAATTGTTCCAAAATTGTAAACCATTTAACGTTAACAGCTTAGGATACATGTATAAAAACTCTTTAATTGATCCATGAGCTATAAAAAAAAACTAAGAAAAAGCATCCCACTAAATTATTTAAAACCATGTAAAACCAGTAAAGATTAATCTTTAATCTTTATCTATGAGATTAAATGTTATTATTTATACAATTATCAATTTGATACAAATTTAAATTCAAGCATATACAAATAGCACATATTTAGTAAAACTTCTGCACCAGGGGGTGGAAACGTCATGTTTGTGTGTCTGGACCAAAAGAGTGTGCGTGTGGAATAAGGAACTGAATAGGTGTTCTGTCGGTGTATACAGAGTGCAGAAGAATCTCGGTATTTGTACAGTCTAAGAGAATACAATTGTTTACTGTTAATTGTTTACTTAAAAATAAGTTTGATGCGCATGTAATATATTATTTATACATTTAAGTCAACACCATAAGCCAAATTTGCATGCAAAGAATGTAATTTGATTAAAGTCTACAATAAAATACTCGTTATATTGAAGCTTAATTATTATTGACAACGAATTTTTCTTCAATTTCCTTGACTGTAGTCATGTTGTGTGTCTGTACCAAAAGAGTATGAGTGTGTAATAAGGAACTCGTCTGCAAAGCAGTGCACCTGGCTTTCTCATGCAAGACCAGCGCCATTTCCCTTCCCTTTATTCATGTTCCTTTATCATTATTTATTCCTTTTTCTGCACCCTCAATAGACTATTGGTGCGTACTGCAGTAATATGCAGTACTTACACTGACCAAAGATGTATATAGCGTTTAGTGGACAGTGTCTGAGATATTCAACACCTGCTGGAGAACCCGTCGTTGCCCAGTTCTATATCATAGTCATAGTTGCTCCCACCGTTTGCCCTTGCTTGGTAATAAGTCATGATTTTATCTTAAGTGCCCGTGGAATTTTAAAAAATTCCGAATTATATTTAAGCTTATGTCATTAATTTACAATTGTCAATTTATAAGAAATACTGATAATTGTCATGCTTCATAATCACTACAGTGAAACCCTTAATAACGAATACATCGGAAGATTTTATCAAATGTCGTCTTGACAATTTTCAATGAGTTTTATACAGAGTCTAAAACTAAAGAACTAAAAGTTCTGACTTAAATTTTAAGTTCATGGTTAAATGCCACTTCTGACTTAATTTAACCCTGAACTTTAACCATGAGGTTAAATATTTAACCCTGTGGTTAAATATTTAACTCGCCGAAATCGACGAGTTAAAATTTAAACAGAGGTTTAAATTATCTTGAAATCCTGCATTTTCCCTATTTGTCTATTATTCAATCATCATTCAGCTGCAGCTGAGAAAGCGGCAATTCAACTTTACGATATATTTAAAAGTGAAAACCTTGTTAAAGAAATTTCACGTTTTAGACAAATTAATTTTTGGATGTAAACCCAAAAAACGGTTGTATGTTTTGTTTTCGGTTACGTAAGGACAGCTGATTAGCGATGGTTATGTAATATTCTCTGTAAATCCTTTTCTTTGATTGGTTCAGATTTTTCCCGGGAAATTCAAATTTAAAATTGAGAAAGTTTAATATTTAAGTAGCTATTCATTATTTTACAGAACTTTTAACCGCGAACTTAAAATTCGCGCATTCTTTAGTTTTAGACTCAGGGTTTCCCATATCATATTAGATCGTCAATCGGTCTAAATTACGATTTTCGGGACAAATCAGAAAATTTAAGAAGAATGAATCATTTTGAAAATTTAAAGAAGGCTAATATAAGAATTTTATTGTGGAAAATGCGAGGTTTTTCTAGTATTATGGGTTTATTTTGGCGTTGAAACTTGGAGATAATCTAATATTACGTAAATTTCAGTATTTTCGAAATAAAAATAAATAGCCATGAATATGCGGGAACAGTTTAAAAAGTTCCATATAATCATTTAATTAAAAAATAAATATCTGCAACATTCCATTATCAGAAAGTGAAGAATACGACATTTGATGAATTCTTTCGATTTATTCGTTATTAAGGGTTTCCCTGTATGTAAGTAATAGATACTCTGAGGAGGGGGGAGGTGGGTAGGGGTTGGGGCGGGTTCAATGTTAACCCGGTACAAATTTATAAATTTATTGTAAATAGTCTCATTATAGCTGAACAACCAAATGCAATTGGTGCAAATATATACACTTACAATGTAAGGATGTAAATGTAAACAAACAAAACCAATTAAGATTTCTGAAGAATATACTATTTTGCCTCAGTTGCCTGAATCACCATGCCTACTCCTGGTTTTCAATTTCTTGCTCAATTCCTATTAAATGAAAAGGTAGCTGGCCCAGCAGTTTATAGTATACACTGGGACCGGTTAGACGAGTAATGCTTTGCGTACACTTCCAACTCTTTCTTTTTAAGATATAGACGTCAAGTGTCTGGGTTATTAATTATTGCAATCTACAAGATTTAATCTTGTCTTAAGATTATTATCTTAGATTTTTTTCCCGGTGGATATGACATTAATGTCCATCAATTTCTCACATCGCGTGTGAAACATTATTTTTCAGAAAATCAAATTCAAAATGTCTAAAAGGAGTATTCTGAAGAATCTGAGCCGGAGTATCAGTTCTGGTCTTGAATACCAGAAACATGATCTTCATTCAACTCTATCCTTTTCTACCAGAGCAGCTGTAGTTCAAGCCAGACTTGATAAAAATAGAAACCTTCTCCCTCCTCTTAGGTTTACACAAGCTAGCTTAGCTTGGCTTGTTTATTTTCTAAATATCTAGTTTTCTGTTGAATTAAATAACTAGTTTTCTGGTTGGTGAGATGTCTAGTTTTCTGGTTAGTTATAATTCTAGTTTTCTGGTTAATTATATATCTAGTTTTCTGGTTGATTATATATCTAGTTTTCTGGTTAGTTAGATATCTAGTTTTCTGGTTGATTATATATCTAGTTTTCTGGTTCATTTTATACCTGGGTTTCTGGTTAATAATATATCTAGTTTTCTGGTTGATTATAAATCTTTTTTTTTCTGGTTGATTATATATCTAGTTTTCTGGTTAATTATATATCTTTCTGGTTGATTATATATCTAGTTTTCTGATTGATTATATATCTAGTTTTCTGGTTGAAAATATATATCGAGTTTTCTGGTTGATTATATATATCTAGTTTTCTGGTTAATTATATATTGGTTGATTATATATCTAGTTTTCTGGTTAATTATATATAGTTTTTTGTTTGATTATATATCTAGTTTTCTGGTTAATTGTATATCTAGTTTTCTGGTTGATTATATACCTAGTTTTCTGATTGTTACTGGCTTTCTGGTTATATATTTTGTTTTTAGTTGATTATATTACTAGCTTTCTGGTGAATTATATATCTAGTTTTCTGGTTGATTATATATCTAGTTTTCTAGTTAATTATATATCTAGTTTTCTGGTTTGTTAGATATCTAGTTTTCTGGTTAATTATGTATCTAGTTTTCTGGTTGATTATTTATGCATAGTTTTCTGGTTGATTATATATCTAGTTTTCTGGTGAATTATATATCTAGTTTTCTGGTTGATTATATATCTAGTTTTCTGCTTGATTATATATATATAGTTTTCTGGTTGATTATATTTATAGTTTTCTGCTTAATTATTTATCTAGTTTTCTGGTTGGTTAGATATCTGGTTTTCTGGTTGGTTAGATATCTAGTTTTCTTGTTGGTTAGATACCTAGTTTTCCGGTTGATTACATATCTAGTTTTCTGGTTGATTAATTATCTAGTTTTCTGGTTGATTATATAACTAGTTTTCTGGTTGATTATATATATAGTTTTCTGGTGGATTACATTACTAGTTTTCTGGTGGATTATTTATCTAGTTTTCTGGTTGATTATATTACTAGTTTTCTGGTTGATTATATTACTAGTTTTCTGGTTGATTATATTACTAGCTTTCTGGTAGATTATATATCTAGTTTTCTGGTTGATTATATTACTGGCTTTCTGGTTGATTATATTACTAGTTTTCTGGTAGATTATATATCTAGTTTTCTGGTTGATTATATTACTAGCTTTCTGGTAGATTATATATCTAGTTGTCTGGTTAATTATATTACTGGCTTTCTGGTTTTCTAATTGTTTTTAGTTGATTGCATACTTTGTCAGTTTGTGGGCAAGATCCCAAGTTCGATTTTTCAAAGTTTTTTTTTAACATTTTTCATTTATTTACATTATTTTATATTAAAGGTATGAGATCGTAACCCCTGATAAATTTGAACAAGCTACTGAGCTTCTTTATGCTACTTATCATCCTTTTGAACCTCTTACCAAACATCTAGGTCAGTATACAGTCAGTATTTTTCAAAATTATGAAAATTATCAGTTATTTAAACAAGTTTAGTTGTACAGGAGTATTTAAACAAGTTCAGTTGTACAGGAGTATTTAAACAAGTTCAGTTGTACAGGAGTATCTAAACAAGTTCAGTTGTACAGGAGTATTTAAACAAGTTTAGTTGTACAGGAGTATTTGAAAAAGATCTGTTCGATGTGTGAGCCGAGACGGTCATATAGCAGTGCATCACAATCCATATTTAACGTTTTTCGAATCAAGGTTTTGTCATTAAGATATCTAAAAATATTAAATGCAGTATATTCTCTAAGTGTGCATTTCTTTCACATGTGGCATTAAGATTGAATAGATGTAATACATACTGCAATCCTTATATTTGTTAACCTGAACATACCTAGATATATTACGTTGTACATTTTCTGTAAATCTAAATGTGATAAAACATGCATTTTGATTAGATTAACTACGTTTATATATATGCAAGTTAATCTGTTAAATACGTACATTCAACTTAAACTACACTGTATACATTTGTTGAGATAGATTGATAACAATTAAGAGCTTGTGTCCCGGTGGATATTTATTGCTAACAAGTTGTACCTGGATTGATACAGTTCTGGACGAAGTTTAAGAGTACGGGATTTACAACATTGATAGATAGACTTACTGCAATTTTAAGCCAACCATCGTCTATTTTAGCAAACTTTTAATTGGAATATTTTTGATTTTTTAGAACGAACCAAAACTATAACACAATGAAATATGTATTGTGACTGTTCATTGTAAGCTGTCATATTTTAAACCAACATTTTTTTTTAAATTAAAGATGTGTTTACATTTTCGAGGATTAACTTAAAAAGTTGATTTATAAAAGAGAAATTTGAAACATTTTCAAACATTTACAAACATTTACAAACATTTACAAACATTTACAAACATTTACAAACATTTACAAACATTTACATACATTTACAAACGTTTATAGGATTAAGCAATGGAACTCCCATTCCGGATCTTGATAAACTTGTGGAGAGTACAATTAAAGAGGTAAATAAAATTTTCATGGTTTAATTAACCTCTAATTAAGATTGTTTACATTTTACAGTGACGTAAACTAGTGGTGTTGGGACATTTCATAGATAACAAATACAGAGATAGGACATTTCTTAAATAGGACATTTCATAGGACTTTCCAAAGACAGATAATTTCATAAACAGAGAAAAATTTTCATGGAAAAGTAATTTCCATTTTTTTACAAAGACAATTTTGGGTTAATAAAAATGTGTCACAATTTTAGAAGATGTGATTAGTCTTTTGTGATCATATATTTTTGATAACAATACATAGAAATATACTGTTTGCAACATATTTATGAAATGTTCTGTTTATGAAATGTCTTCTATGAAATGTCATATCTCAAAAATGTTCTGTTTGTGAAATGTCTTCTATGATATGTCCTATCTCTAAAATGTTTTCCTATATTTGTATGAAATGTTCCTACACCGTAATAGTTTGTAACAGCTCACATTTCGGACTTCCTGGCCAATAATAATAAGTTACAGAAGAATATGTTTTCTAATATTTTACTATCTTCATTTATTGTATATTTCCTTTGGAGTAGTCCCTACTCCCAAATTTCTACACTGAGTTTTTGCCACAAACTCAAATTGTCTATTCCCTAAATATTGCAACCTTATGTTGAAAACCTTTGATATTTCAAGTTGAAATTATTTGATCGAACAAAATTCATGCCACATCAGGTTCCGAAGATAAAGAATATTCCGAAGGTAAAGAATATTCTGTAGGTAAGGAATATTCCGTAGCCAAAGAATATTCCGAAGATTTAGAATATTCCGAAGATATAGAATATTTCGAAGAAAAAGAATATTCCGTAGCCAAAGAATATTCCGAAGATAAAGAATATTTCGAAGAAAAAGAATATTCCGAAGATAAAGAATATTTCGAAGAAAAAGAATATTCCGAAGATAAAGAATAAGGGCTAAAAAATTTGATATCTGGCAAAATCAATTCAAATATCTACGTTTATGAGAAAGCGAATCGTAAATGTTGATCTGAATGGATTTAATGTTTAAATATTGTTCAGACTTTGTCGGAAAATGTCCAAGCACAGGGGTTGTGATTGTGAAGAGTTGTTAACAATACCACCACAAAAAAAGTTATTTTGTTGCAGAATTTGTCGCTGTTTGCCCGGGATCTGCAGGGGAACCTTATGGGGGTTTGCATCAATGGAGTAAGCCGGTTCGTAAACTTATTAGCTATCAGATTTATCAGCTGATTCATCAGTCAGATTTATCATCTAATTGCTCCGACTTACCTATTCATTAATCATTCTGCTATGTATTAGTTTACTCATCAGTCAGATTATCAGCTCATTGATTATTCAGATTTATCAGTTGGATTAATCAGTCAAGTATATATGCTAATTAATCAGTCAGATGTATCAGCTTATTTGTCAATTGATTTATCAACTGATTAATCTGTCATATTTTCCAGATGATTAATCAGTCAGATGTATCCGCTTTCTTATCAGTAAAATTATCAGCTCATTAATAATTTAGATGTATCAGTTGATTTATCAACTGATTAATCAATTAAGATTTATCAACTGATTAATCAATCAGATTTATCAGCTCTTCAGTCAGATGTATCAGCTGATTAGTCAACTGATGTATCAGCAGATTAATTTTTGGATTTATCAGTAGATTTTATCAGCTGATTAGTCAGTATATTAATCAGCTGATTAGTTGGTTAATCAGTAAATATTGTTTGTCAGTCAAAATTGACTTTCTTATTTGATTTTCTAATTTGATTTTCTAATTTGATCTTCTAATTTGATTTTCTAATTTGATTTTCTAATTTTATCTTCTAATTTGATTTTCTAATTTGATTTTCTTATTTGATTTTTTGATTTTATTTTCTAATTTGATTTTCTAATTTGATTTTCTAATTTTATTTTCTAGTTTTATAGTAATAAATTCAAATAATGAGATTTTAAACCATTGAATGTTTCAAATTCATACCATAGAACTCTAGAAGAGGTGGAAGTTTCATACAATGCATTCCATAAAACTGTGGAATAGAAAGAAGAAGCAATCTTAGGTGTCCTTTATGTTGTAATAAAGCAAAAAAATGTACCTGCAGATTTAAAATCAACTTCAATAAAATGAATCTTTGTAAAGTGAGTGAACACTGCTTGTGAGTTAAAAAAAGCTGCTGTTTTTCATGTTAATGCTATAAAATGAGTCCAACAGTCGTCTTCCAATTTCATGGTTTTCATTGCTTTAATATTTTAGGAAAGATGATTGGACACATTCTATCCAGGAGGCTACCTCTGGATTTCAGGACTCTAGAGTGAGGTAAACTAATCTCATGGGCGTGCCAATGAACTGCCCCTCCCCCTTCTCCTTACATAATGATTTCATTTTTTATTGATAACACCCTGCAAGCAATTTTCATATGTTGAGATCTCTATGAATCCAATGACGGGTGATTTTAAGAGGTATTTAAGGACGAAAAAGACAGAGAGAAATCCTATTAAATCGATAAAATAATCAGATATTTCTTAGTTTGATATTTTAAAAATTTTTTTTCAGAATTTTGGCCGCTATAAGACAGGAGGTGCATAATAAAGGAGCAAAAATATTTGACGAGGTATTTTTTTCTCTCTTTTAACCTTGCCAGGACTACACATTTTTAATTTAAAATAATTGTCAATATTTCTAAATCAGATTCAGAGAGTTTAATGAAGATGTTCATAATGTTTCATGTTTTCATGCAATAATTGTATAGGTTGGTACAGTTGTAATGTTTGTATAGGTTGGTACAGTTATAATGTTTGTATAGGTTAGTACAGTTATAATGTTTGTATAGGTTAATACAGTTGTAATGTTTGTATAGGTTGGTACAGATGTAATGTTTGTATAGGTTGGTACAGTTGTAATGTTTGTATAGGTTGGTACAGATGTAATGTTTGTATAGGTTGGTACAGATGTAATGTTTGTAAGGTTGGTACAGTTGTAATGTTTGTATAGGTTTGTACAGTTGTAATGTTTGCATAGGTTGGTACAGTTGTAATGTTTGTATAGGTTGGTACAGTTGTAATGTTTGTATAGGTTGGTACAGATGTAATGTTGTATAGGTTGGTACAGTTGTAATGTTTGCATAGGTTGGTACAGTTGTAATGTTTGCATAGGTTGGTACAGTTGTAATGTTTGTATAGGTTGGTACAGATGTAATGTTTATATAGGTTGGTACAGATGTAATGTTTGGAATCAAGATGGTTGGAATCCATCCTTCTCTCAGGGGGAAAGGAATGTCAACAGATATTATCAGGTCCAAAGCTAATCTATTGATATAAAGACAGAAATCTGAAGGCCGTTAGGTGACACATTAAATATTTTAGTCTACATCTTAAAAAATGATTTATCTACTTGACTAAAGTTCACATGTTTTTAATGGATAATGGAAAAAGATCAAATCAAGTGTAATATAAATGATAATAATTGTCAATGATTAGAAGGAAATCTCGAATTTGAACTCGAATTTTTGGTTTCAGGAGATCAATTCTTCTGGCAGGTTGTTTAGGCTTCGAGGGATTAAAGGTAACATGTTACAAAATCTAACAGATTCACATTTTTTCAATTTAAATGTTTTACATTATCAAACGTGTATTTGCAAACCAGGCCGTCATTACAAAAAATTTAATTCAATTTTATATTAATATAATTAAATAAATAATTCAAATCTTAGATCATATCCTGTAAATATACTTGAATTCAGGCTGAAGCTACGGCTAATTATGCTGCTCAGGCTTTCTATACAATTGGTTTCTCTCCTGTTGTGGAGATTTCTTACAAGGTAACAAACACATTTAAATTCTTCAAAATTTATATTAAACAAATGACCAAGGATAAATTGAAATTTAGACCATTTGTATATTATTTTTGGATTTGATAGCTTAAAAATAGTATGGAGCTTTACATCACAATTTATGCCAACCCTAATTATCGGCATTTGACCCCCCACAGTTTTAAAATTAAGATAAAAGTTTAGCTACAATTCATAAAGAATTTAAATTTAAAACAAATGGCATATTATTAGCTAGGAATGGACAAAAAGTCGTACACTTGAAAATATGATTTTTTCACAGATTTTTTTATCCATAAAAATCTAGATAATTGTTTCGAATTTTGACCAATTACAATCTTGTTTAGGATTTGGAGCAAATCCAATCTTGTTTAGGATTTAGACCAAATACAATCTTGTTTAGGATTTAGACCAAATATAATCTTGTTTAGGTTTTTGACCAAATACAATATTGTCTAGGATTTAAACCAACTACAATCTTGTTTAGGATTTGGACCAAATACAATCTTGTTTAGGATTTAGACCAAAGACAATCTTGTTTAGGATTAAGACCAAATACAATCTTGTTAAGGATTTTAATCAAATACAACCTTGTTTAGGATTTTGACCAAATACAATCTTGTCTAGGAGTTAGACCAAATACAATCTTGTTAAGGATTTTAACTAAATACAACCTTATTTAGGATTTTGACCAAATACAATCTTGTTAAAGATTTAGACCAAATACAATCTTGTTTAGGATTTAGACCAAATACAATCTTGTTTAGGATTTTAACCAAATACAATCTTGTTTAGGATTTAGACCAAGTACAATCTTGTAGGATTTAGACCAAATACAATCTTGTTTAGGATTTTAACCAAATACAACCTTGTTTAGGATTTAGACCAAATACAATCTTGTTTAGGATTTAGACCAAATGCAATCTTGTTTAGGATTTAGACCAAATACAATCTTGTTAAGGATTTAGACCAAATACAATCTTGTTTAGGATTTAGACCAAATACAATCTTGTTTAGGATCTAGACCAAATACAACCTTGTTTAGGATTTAGACCAAATACAATCTTGCTTAGGATTTTAACCAAATACAATCTTGTTTAGGATTTAGACCAAATACAATCTTGTTTAGGATTTAGACCAAATACAATCCTGTTTAGGATTTAGACCAAATACAATATTGTTTAGGATTTAGTCCAAATACAATCTTGTTTTGGATCTAGACCAAATACAATCTTTTTTAGGATTTTGAGTATGAAGGTGAGAAGGTGTTTGAAGGTATAGAAGAAGAGCAAGGTCTTATTCTTTTCCAGAAGAAGTTCTTCCAATCCTGCCTCAAGCATATAGTCTAGTTTTATCATCAATCAATCATTTAAACAATCATAACTTTAGTGCTAGTATAGTTTTAATTTATTTACAAAGGGACTTAATGGACAATGGTTGACTAACATTTAAAAAAAAGCTGACGTCTTTATCACAGGTGTACCTCAATCCGCACTAATTATTTAATATAATCTCGTTAATTTTAGTCGGACCCGTTTAATGTAATCGGACCCCTTTAATGTAGTCTGACCTGTTTAATGTAGTCGGACCCGTTTAATGTAGTCGGAACCGTTTAATGTAGTCGGAACCGTTTAATGTAGTCGGAACCGTTTAATGTAGTCGGAACCGTTTAATGTAGTCGGACCAAACTGTATTATTGTTTGTAATTTCTGCTCAAAACGTTGCCAAAGATTAAATCATTGAATGAAAAACAATTATTTTTTATAATTTCTAAATTCTTAGATCTGTTGATATGTGAATAAAATGTCCCAACTATTAACGTGTTATTTGATGACAAATATATATATTATATAAGGATTAAACATGGACTCCTTAAACGCTGCTATAAGTATTATAAAATCAGAAATCGACGATTTTGAATAGAAGCGCGCAAATCTCTAAAACCTGACCAGATACGTACACCAGAAACTTGTAATTTTTAGTGAAAAGGAAAACTGAACGTATTTATTAGTCTCGATTCTTGAATTTGTTTTTAATGGGCCTTAAATTTGTTGGATATCCAAAAAGAAATTGTCCTGATCTTTCGTTTGAAAGGTAAGGACCACTCGCAACGGATTAGCTCTCTTTTATGGATTAAAATATGGATCCTAGGGTGATTATTTTAATTAATTATCTGTATTACCCACCTCTAAAGTATGTTTCAATAAATGTAACTTGCGGAAACTATCCTCGAAAGCTAAATTACACTAAATATTTTTCTGCCAATGAAATATATTTTTCCCACATAGGGAATATTAAGTACAAGACGACCTTTCTCGCAATCTTCTTTATCTGTCAAAACTGGGATTCCTGGAATTAAAGAAAAGAAATCAAGTCTTTGTTACAAACTGTAATTTTGAAATATCAAAGGAAAACGCCATCAGGCTGCACTGCAGGTTAGGGATCGGAATATTTGAGTTTGTGGCAAAGATTTGACTCCCTTTATAAATGTTCGTTGTCATTAATATTAGAAATCGGAAACAAAGAAAACCCCCGAATTTGCTCTGTTGATATAGAGGGTGTCCCGCATCATATTAGATGGTTTTTAGGCCTAATTGTGATTTTAGGGACTAATCAGAAAATGTTATAACATTGAACCAATTGAAAAGCCGTATAAGGCTACTAAAAAAATGTTCTTCCAGTAAATACTAGGTAAGTATTATGTGCGTATTTCGGTGTTAAAGCTGTAGATAATCTAATTGGGATGCTCTGTATAAAATGAAAGATATTTATATGGCAGAAAAGCGCAATATAGTTGAGATACAGGAATTCAACTGGGAATGATATTCATCATCATTCTTTTCTTTAATATTAATTAGTTTATTAGTTTATACTCCGGTATCATGATAACTATAATGTTAATTAGTTCACCCTTTATACTCCTGTATCATAATAACTATAATGTTATTAGTTCACCCTGTATGTATACTCCTGCATGATACAGTTAAACCCTTAATAACGAATACATCGAAAGAATTTATAAAATGTCGTCTTGACAATTTTTCAATGAGTTTTATACTATAATTAGTAAATTTCAGTATTTGCGAAAATAAATAAATAACTATGAATATGCGGGAACAGTTTTAAAGAGTTCCATACCATCACTTAACTAAAAATATTCCATATCAGAAAGTGAAGAATACGACATTTGATGAATTCTTTCGATGTATTTTCACTGTAACTATATTGTTATTAGTTCACCCTGTATACTCCTGTATCATGATAACTATAATGTTATTAGTTCACCCTGTATACTTCTGTATCATGATAACTATAATGTTATTAGTTCACCCTGTATACTCCTGTATGATCACTATAATGTTATTAGTTCAACCTGTATACTCCTGTATGTTAACTATAATGTTATTAGTTCACCCTCTATGAATACTCCTGTATGATAACTATAATGTTATTAGTTCACCCTGTATACTCCTGTTTGTTAACTATAATGTTATTAGTTCACCCTGTATACTCCTGGATGTTAACTATAATGTTATAAGTTAACCCTGTATACTCCTGTATGAGAACTACAGGGTGTCCCACATCATATTAGACCGTCAACGGGTCTAAATTGCGATTTTCGGGACTAATAAGAAAATTTAATTCGAATAAATCAATTTGAAAAATAACATAAGGCTTATACAAGAATTTTCTTGCGGAAAATGATAAGTTCTTCGAGTATTAAGGGTTTATTTTGTCGTTAAAGATTAGAGATAATCTAATATGATATGGGACGCTCTGTATATTGTTATTAGTTCACCCTGTATACGCCTGTATGATAACTATAATGTTATTAGTTCACCCTGTATACTCCTGTATAAATACTCCTGTACGATAACTATTATGTTATCAGTTCACCCTGTATGTATACTCCTGTATGATAACTATAATGTTATTAGTTCACCCTGTATACTCATGTATCATGATAACTATAATGTTATTAGTTCACCCTGTATACTCCTGTATGATAACTATAATGTTATTAGTTCACCCTGTATACTCCTGTAAGATAACTATAATGTTATTAGTTCACCCTGTATACTCCTGTATGATAACTATAATGTTATTTGTTCACCCTGTATGCTCCTGTATGATAACTATAATGTGAGCCCGACTATAAATAAGATAAAGTTAAGTACTGCAGACCTTCACAAATACAAGATATTAGGTTAGTTTAGTTAGAAACTGTAAACAAGGCACTTTAATCTATATTCTCTCAAAAAATGATACGCTGCTAGGCGATTATAGCTATATAATGAAGACGACTTTTTTGTTTAAGTTTTAATTGTTAATAGGCTTTTTTCAATTGCAAAGAGAAGCTTTTTTAATTGACAACTTTTCTCTATTTCCATGTTTTGTGTATCCATTCTGTTTAAAAGTTTTATATAGATTAAAATTAAAATCGAAAATCGTCTTCATTATATTAAAATAATCGCCTCCCGCGTAGATCCAGCAGAAATTAAAGAGAACTTCATCGTTATTTTAAATGTTCTTTTTAGTAAAAATTTGTCAAGTTATGCATATAAGGTTATGTACTGTACTTCATTTTTTGCTAAAGTAAAATCAATTATAGATTAAGATATATTGGATTAAATGATTTGTCTAAACTAAACTGCATAAAGTTTTTAAATCTTATCCAGTATTTGGAAGACGACATTCTAAACTATTTATCAACTGTCATGTTTCGTGGGACACCCTGTATGTAGTTAAACTGAGTATGCAGTGTTGTGGACAAATTCTTTAGGATTTATTTTAGACATATAAAAAGTTTCCACGATGTATAATTACTGAGTTTGAGCGTAAAATCGACGTTCAAAATCATGAATTTTATTGAGATTGTTTTCAGAATCAGTTTTTTAAACTATTAAATAACGACGACAAAAAAATATAGTTTACTTATTTTCGATGATAGTGTTATTTTTATTTTCTCAGTCTGTTCCTGAACAACTAATTAGTTTACTGTTCACATTTTTTGTCGTAGTTATTCAATAATTTTAAAAAACAATTCTGAAAACGTATCCACCCAAAAATAGGATTTTGAACGTCAACTTTGCGCTCAAACTCAGAATTTACAGATCTTTAAAAAGTTTTATATGTCTCAAATGAATCCTAAATAATTTGTCCACAACACTGCATATTCAGTTTAACTACCTTACATAGCTGGTCACTCGACCCTTTAATCTCTGTAAGAAAGAACTCCTAATGTTGTTCTAGCTGAAGCTGACTAGTAAAAGGAGTATGTAAATACAGGGTTTAATAAAAGGATAAGACTTTATACGGTTTTATTGGATCTTTTACTTGGAGTTCGAGTTAGAAACTTAAATCTCTTCTTTGCACTGAAATTATTATCAAGGATGAATTAAAATACCATGTTTGTAATTTTAAACACTGATTATTATCAGTTTTGGTTTCTTATCTTTACATATTCTAGTAACTTTGTCTAGAAAATTGACGATCCCTTCCACATTTTTATGAGGGTTAAAAGGTCAAATTAAAGTCTCAAAGGGTCAAAGTAAAGTCTCAAAGGGTCTAAATACAGTCTCAAAGGGTCGAATTAGAGTCTTCAAAGGGTCAAATTAAAGTCTTCAAAGGGTCAAATTAAAGTCTCAAAGGGTCAAAGTAAAGTCTCAAAGGGTCTAAATAAAGTCTCAAAGGGTCGAATTAGAGTCTTCAAAGGGTTAAATTAAAGTCTTCAAAGGGTCAAATTAAAGTCTCAAAGGGTCAAATTAAAGTCTCAAAGGGTTAAATTAAAGTGTCAAAGGGTCAAATCAAAGTTTCAAAGGGTCAAAGTAAAGTCTCACAGGGTCTAAATAAAGTCTCAAAGGGTCTAAACAAATGCTCAAAGGCTCAAATTAAAATCTCAAAGGGTCAAATTAGAGTCTCAAAGGTTTGAATTAAAGTCTCAAAGGGTCAAATTAGAATCTTCAAAGGGTCAAATTAAAATCTCAACGGGTCAATTTAGAGTCTCTAAGGGTCAAATTAGAGTCTCAAAGGGTTAAATTTCAGTCTCAGAGGGTCAAATCAAAGTCTTAAAGGTCTAAATAAAGTCTCAAAAGGACTAAATAAAGTCTCAAAGGTTCAAATTAAAATCTCAAAGGGTCTAAATAAAGTCTCAAAGGGTCAAATTAAAGTCTAAAAGGGTCAAATTAAAGTCTAAAAGGGTCAAATTAAAGTCTAAAAGGCTCAAATTAAAGTCTCAAAGGGTCAAATTGAAGTCTCAAAGGGTTAAATTAAAGGCTTAAGGGTCAAATTAAAATCTCAAAGTGTCAAATTAAAGTCTAAAAGGTCAAATTAAAGTCGCTAAGGGTTAAATTAAAGTCAGATATCATATTTTTTTCTTTTTTTTGGTTAGATTCGGAGGGCTCAGAACATTTAGCCCCCTTTCAGTTTAGGCCCCTATTTGTATACATAATTTTCATCTCAGCGAGTTTATTGGACAAATATTCTATATATTTAAATATAAATGTTTATACAAACATTTGTTCCATTTCCGTTTCATTTATGTCTGTCGTTAACAAGCTTACAGACACACAAACAGTTACCTATTTATTTATTTAGGGATATTATATACATATATATATATTATACATACAGTTTTATATAGATAGATATCTTCTACATAAACTATAGAGTAGTATGGGTAGATCCCTCGCAAAATATACATGTGCGCAACATCAACAAGTTACATTTGCAAATATTGCAAAATTCTTGCATTGATCGACAGTTTTTGCATTAAAGCTTTATCATTTATGAATAAAATTCTACAAATACAATTTTAGGACGATCATAATTTATTATTGTTAAGCCAGCCGGGATAATCCTGCGTGGCCCTTCCATAAAAAACCAATTTTTTTGTTTCGTTCAAAGAGCTAAATACTCGTTTTTCCATTTGAAAATTGATACAATTTTTCTTCACCAAAAGTTTAGCCAACAAATCTCCGAAATATTTTCCATTTCAAATTTGCAACCTTTCCCTTTTAGTTTTAGAAGCCGATGATGCAATTTTTAGCAGTTGCATTCATACAGTGCATGAAACCTGACAAGCCCTCCTATGCCTCACAGCTTACACCTGATAAAATTCATTTTAAGAATTTTGTTTGAAATCGTGTGAAGTTATGAATTTAAATAAAAGTCGTGAAAGTTGAGCAAAATTGGAATTTTTTCCTGTTTAGGTAGCTACAATGTATGCAATGTGAGCAGAATCCTAGCTCTGTTTAGTTTGAAAAGCATGAATGTGATTAAATCATGCAATATATTTTTACTAGCTGCACTGTCTGGCGTTGGCCGTGTAATTATTAACACACTTTGGACAAAAAAACTCGGCAAATGTCTACCCCGGGTATCTGGACAGGTTTCTTTAAAAAATTTAGCAAATTTTGTCAAGTGGTTTGGTCACAAAATGAGACCGGAAATGTTGACCCGGCTCGGAATTTCAAGTTATAACTTTTGTGAATATAGATATTCCACTCTTTATAAAAACACATTATTACTTCGGTCAGAGTACTGCATGAGTGCAAACCTAAAGATTAACGCACCTCTGACCCTTTAGTAAAATTAAATTCAACCAAAAGTCTGCCTGCGTCAACCTTGTTGCACCGGCAAGTCCTATTGCTAGTCTGCTTTACTTACCCAATCTTCGGGCGATACAGTGCAAACTGGGACCAGAAACGTTGACCCGGCTCGGAAATTCAGATGTACTACGGCTGCCCGTGGCTTAGTTTAGTGTGATTTTTTTAAGCTACGCCCGGGTTTAAAGCTGACAGCTTTGGATTTTATCCCTTTTTAGAAACTTAAGAACATTCTCTTTAAAGTTTATTTCTAGATTAAAATGAACTGAATAATGCCGCCTGTAAATGTTAGGTAAAAAGGACAAATCTAAATTATTTATTATGAAGAAAATCATTATTCTGCACTAGGGTTTCCAGCGGACGAAACATTGAAGTAAAGCTGAATTTTATTTTTATTTCCGATTTTTTTCACGAAAATTATTTTTCCGTAAAACGATTTTCCTTTTTCGCTGGAAACCCAGGACCAACCAGGGAGATGCTTTTGGACTATTTTAATTTAATTTTTATTTGATCACATGTTAGGTATAAAAACTTGTGGAATTGACTTGTTGACAAAAAGTAGAAAAATACAAAGCAAATTGGCGAAATTGTGATCAAAAGTCTTTTTCCAAAGTCAAGCGCTAAAAAAGCGATATTTTATGAAATAAAAGTAATACAACAAAAACGGACCCCATAACCCACTACAGTCTCTCTTGGTGAAGGATAAAATCCTACAGAAGAAATAATTCAATATTTAGTGTGAAAAGTCTTTTGTTTTCAAACTTCGTATAAATGACTTTTAGAAAAGTTTATATACAATAAAACTTTTCCCAGCCACGCTCTGCTTGAACGGAAAAGTTTCGATTGTTTTATATCTATTTTGCAATGGGAAAACTTGGTTCGGTAAGTGACGACTGTTCTAACTTTCGAGACAGCATATATGTTCAAAACTTTGTATATTTAAAATAAAACTATATTGGTGACCAACAGATTTAATTTAGTATGGGTACAGTGTGTCCCCATAAACACTAATAAGCAATAAATGGCAAAACATGTACACCCTATTGTACGTCTTATGAGTTTTTAAAAATGTGGTCGACCTTATCAGTGTCGCAGATATTGAATATTTAAAAATTGTCAAATTAGAATCCATAAACATATTACTGGACATGGACATGTCGATGTTAATTGCAGACTTTATTTTGTAAATTCTGAGTCTGGAAGTTGTCGGTTTTAATTATTCTAACTTGAGATTGTATAAACGGGAAAATGTCGTTCTGAAAAAATATGATAATAAAGTCGTCACTGAATTCCCTTGTTTATTAGGACACACTGGAAAAATAACAAAATAACTCTTTCTTAATTAAGAAAATGTATTTCCAGGGGGTCTGACTCTCACCAGAAAGCAGGGGCCGAGGGAGTACCTTTAGGTTCAAAGAAAATAATAATTATAATTATCTTATTCGCTCCTCTATTCAAATATTTCTCAGCAGAATCAATAAAATCATAAAGAAAAGAAAGTTGTAGGAAAACATTTTGTTTTTCTATAACTACCCCACTCCTTTCAAGTCCTGTTGGGGAAAAAAACATTACAAAAAGAAATGAACAAGTAAAAAAACAAAAATCATTTTTAAAGAAATGTCAGACGGAATTTCTATTGACGTTTCATATATAGAGTGGCATGTCCGATTCACAACGGTTCCCATTAAATCTTTGTTTGAGAAAAAATAACGGAGTTATCCTGTTTTTCCATCAGGTTGCGGATGAATGCTGCAGCAAAAATAAGAAAAATGTTAGTAACTAAAACTTTTCTGATGGGAAGAGAACAAAATTTTTCATCATTTTTACATAGATAAAGGTTAAAAGGGTACCATTGTGTGTCGGACATGTCACTCTATAAAAGGTGGGTCACTATGAATTACCTGATAGTCCTTTTACGAGCTTAAAACTATCCTTAAAGATTAAAGATTTTCTTTTCTCCCGTTGAACAGGAGTTCCTGGAGTGCAGTCATCTAATAAACATATTCTTCCACAGTTCTACAGTATTGGAGCTAATCCACCTCCAGCATGGAGCAATTGTAAGTGTACTTGAGCAATTGTATGTGTACTGGAGCAACTGTAAGTATACTGTAGAAATTGAAATGATAATTTAAATTGTGAGTATACTGGAGCAATTGTAAGTATACTGTTGCAATTGTTAGTATACTGGAGCGACTGTAAGTATACTGTAGCAATTGTAAGTATACTGGAGCGACTGTAAGCATACTGTAGCAATTGTAAGCATACTTGAGCAATTGTAAGTATACTGGAGCAATTGTAAATTAATGGAGCAATAGTAAGTGTAATAGAGCAACTGTAAGTATGTTGTAGCAATTGTAAGTAAACTGAAGCAATTGTAAGTATACTGGAGCAATTGTAAGTATACTGGAGCAGTTGTAAATTAATGGAGCAATTATAAGTGTACTGGAGCAATTGTGAGTATACTGGAGAAATTTTTAGTATAATGAAGCAATTGTAAGCATACTGGAGCAATTGAGAGTATACTGGAGCAATTGTAAGTGTACTAGAGCAATTGTATGTATACTGGAGTAATTGTCAATATACTGGAGCAATTGTAAGTATAATGGAGCAATTGTAAGCATACTGGAACAATTGTAAATTAATGGAGCAATTGTAAGTATACTGCAGAACAATTGTAAATTAATTGAGCAATTTTTAAGTGTACCGGAGCAATTGTAAGTTAATGAAGCAATTGTAAGTGTACTAGATTCACTTTATGTATACTGTAGCAATTGTAAGTGTACTGGAGCAATTGTGAGTATACTGGAGCAATTGTGAGTGTACTGGAGCAACTGTAAGTATACTGGAGCAATTGTGAGTATCTATCTATCTATCCTTTCAGATGGTTTAGCCTTAGATGCTAAATATCTCTGAATCGGTTCTTAATTTGCTCTTGGTTATTACCGGCATTAAACTTAAATCCTGTAATCCAAAAGTTTACACTGTGGATATTGAGTGAAGTCAATGTAGCTTAGCGCTATTCCAACCAAAAGAATCGCCCTCTGGAAATTGTAAATAAACTTTGATATAATGAACATGAATGTAGAGTTTATAATTATAGTGCTGCATACATCTTTTGTTTTCATATATACTTCTACTATGAATTGCAAATAAAAATAATTATTTGTTTAGATATTGGATCAGTGAAAAAAGACTCCCCAGTAGTTGCTACACAACTAGTTGTTCCTACTCAACTATCTGAGGTTAGCTATACTCCTGTATATAGTTGCTACACAGCTAGTTGTTCCTACTCAACTATCTGAGGTTAGTTATACTCCTGTATATAGTTGTCCTGGGCAGCTAGTAGATGCTACAATACTAGTGTTGCTACAACTAATCTGAGATAAAATAAAGTTTAGAAATACTGCAAAACTATCTGAAGTAATTATAAATGAAGAAATAATAAATTAATCCTGAGTCTTGCACGTCTAGCCACTTTATAGAGCACAGAGTTAATGAAGTAAAGTAGAACAATAGTAACAAATATTATTAATTATTTTTTGTATGAAACTAAGTGGAACAGAGAAAGGCTTGAACTTATAATTATATGTGGAGTTGGATCATGATTGGGTCATGATTAGGCTATAAATTGGTCATGGTTGGGTCATGATTGACCAATTAAATTGTCAACATGAAGACGACATTTCAGCATACTATGTGTATTTGATGTCGATAAAAAGTTAATAGTTTTCCCTTAGCTTATTGGTGAAATGGGTCTGTGTATACTGCTAGTGTGCTTTATCATCACAGAACTTCACTTTTTAAATAGAAAGTAACATAACATCACGTTTACAGTTACTGAAATGTGAAGTAAACCTTGTAGTAACATGACATCACGTTTACAGTTACTGAAATGTGAAGTAAACCTTGAAGTAACATGACATCACGTTTACAGTTACTGAAATGTGAAGTAAACCTTGAAGTAACATGACATCACGTTTACAGTTACTGAAATGTGCATTAAACCTTGAAGTAACATGACATCACGTTTACAGTTACTGAAATGTTTAGTAAACCTTGAAGTAACATGACATCACGTTTACAGTTACTAAAATGTGTAGTAAACCTTGAAGTAACATGACATCACGTTTACAGTTACTGAAATGTGAAGTGAACCTTGAAGTAACATGACATAACGTTTACAGTTACTGAAATGTGTAGTAAACCTTGAAGTAACATGACATCACGTTTACAGTTATTGAAATGTGAAGTAAACCTTGAAGAAACTTGAAAAATCGTGTTCTAGTAGTAATTGTGATAAATTGTGTAGAATCTAATAGTTTCATGGAATTCTGATATTTTAGCCTTCCTAACTTTATGATTTAAGCCTTTAAAGCTAAAGTTAAGACAATATACAGCAGGGATTTAAAGTTACGACTGTGTAGGGAAAAGTTTACCACTGTTTCCTCTACTAAACTTTGTAAATTATATTAAAGTTTATGAGATAATAGAAATATAAATCACAGTGCTTCAAGCGTGCAAACTCATGCAGTATGTCCAAGTAAACCATATAAACTTTTTTCCAACCGCTAAAAAAGTTGCGCCAAATAATCTCTAAACAGTTTTTTAATAATTCATGAATTTACGAGTTATAACCAAAGGGAATGGCCGGCAAGGTGAGTTGTTGAGTAGATAGTGTATATGTAGTTTAGAGAATAAAATGTTGAATGAATAATTGATTGATTGATTTAGCTCCTTGGAACTGTCTTCTTCATACTTGAAATGTTAAAATCTGAAAAGCTAAAAGCATATTTTTAGAAAGATAGTTGAATCGGTAAATATTGAAACTGAATTTTTAAATTATAATGAATTGGGGAGAAGATAAAAAGTTGATAATATTGAAAATATTTTGTTATTAACTTTTTCATGATGATTAATGTTTATACTTGCTTAGGTTCCTGTCAACCTAACCTGTGTTCATTGCCAGCACCATGTTACTACTAGGTATACATATCTTTATCTGTATCCGTATCTGCATCTGCATCTGCATCTGTATCTTTATCTGTATCTGTATCTGTATCTGTATCTGTATCTGTATCTGTATCTGTATCTGTATCTGTATCTGTATCTGTATCTGTATCTGTGTATCTGTATCTGTATCTGTATCTGTATCTGTATCTGTATCTGTATCTGTATCTGTATCTGTATCTATATCTGTATGTGTATCTGTATCTGTATCTGTATCTGTATCTGTATCTAGGACGAGAACACATCCCTCTCCTCTAAGCTGGTGCGTGTGCTCCTGCCTCTGCATATTCCTGTAAGCTTGAAATGAATTTGAAAGTAAAACCCTGAAAATAAGAAAACATATTACATGTATTATTCAGCCTGGAATATCTTAAGATCGTTGTTATTAAACATGCTATCATCATTGTATGCATACAAAGTAGGTATATACAGTAAATATCCGAAGATGGGAACTTTTGTATAAAAAAGTGTTTATCACAATACCTGAACTTGACAACTAGAAAGGAAACTTTTAGTGTGAAGCGATTAAGTACTTAAAATCCGTGGAAAACAAATGACTCGCAATGTTTTACCCTACAAGCCAAACTATAGCTACTATCCAGAATTATAAATGGATTTTTGAGCTCGGTTTGAATCATCGGACTTTAAAACATATCTAAAAGATTTTTTTATAATGGAGGGAGGGGGTGGGGGGTGGGGGATTGAGACAAACTTAAATTGTCCAATCTCTATATCTTTGCAACCTGACCGTGTAAAGCTTTGATATTTCAAACTTAGATTATTTAATCTTACAGAATTTACAGTTTGAAATATCTAAGGTCTACGACGTTGGGTTGCAAAACTGTATGGACCAGAAAATCATAGTTTGTGACAAAGATTTAATTCCTTTTTAACTGTTATAAACGTGATGGTCTCTTTATTTTTGATATGTTAAATTTGATATATCATTATATCTATCCACCCATCTCTCACCTTGCTTTATTTCTATCTATATTTATCTTTTTCTATCTATATATTTTACTAATGTTTTCTCAAGTTTTCACTGCACTGTAAATCAAAGATAAGTCTGGAAAATAGCAATAAATAAACACTTAAAGGAAATTGACAATTTGGCATTTAAAAGCAAAACATGAAATATAAGATTAATTGAGAGTAATATTAAGATCTCTTAGCTGAGATAATTAATTGATAAATTGGAAATAAGTTTGGATTCACAGTTTTAAACTTCTGGAATTTCGGATTTCTAAAATTAAATTTGTCATTATAAAAGAAAAAAAATGGTTTCAAGAGACTATTCACGAAATATTAAATAGGATTCATTCAGCTAATAACAGTATTTTATCCTATAAAGTGTTCTTGTAAATAGGATTCAGATTATAACCTTGTTCTTGCAAATAGGATTCAGATTATAACAATATTTTATCCGATGTTCTTGTTCTTGTAAATAGGATTCAGATAATAACAATATTTTATCCGATGTTCTTGTTCTTGTAAATAGGATTCAGATAATAACAATATTTTATCCGATGTTCTTGTTCTTGTAAATAGGATTCAGATAATAACAATATTTTATCCGATGTTCTTGTTCTTGTAAATAGGATTCAGATAATAACAATATTTTATCCGATGTTCTTGTTCTTGTAAATAGGATTCAGATAATAACAATATTTTATCCGATGTTCTTGTTCTTGTAAATAGGATTCAGATAATAACAATATTTTATCCGATGTTCTTGTTCTTGTAAATAGGATTCAGATAATAACAATATTTTATCCGATGTTCTTGTTCTTGTAAATAGGATTCAGATAATAACAATATTTTATCCGATGTTCTTGTTCTTGTAAATAGGATTCAGATAATAACAATATTTTATCCGATGTTCTTGTTCTTGTAAATAGGATTCAGATAATAACAATATTTTATCCGATGTTCTTGTTCTTGTAAATAGGATTCAGATAATAACAATATTTTATCCGATGTTCTTGTAAATAGGATTCAGATAGTAACAATTTTTTTTCCTGTAGAGAACAATTTTATTAAATTGATTTCCGGCAAATAGAAAAGTACAAAATGGATGTTATCGAGTGTTAAAATATTTTATTTACGCCAAAAAACTAGTTATAAATGTTAACAAAAACCATTTAAATTAATCGACAGCGATCGTATCAATTTTATTTTGTTTAAATCAATAGTCAATATGTTTTTTTTTTTTTCTTTTCTTCCTTTTTATTCTTTTTCTTCTTTTTCACCCTTTTCTTCTTATTCATCCTTTTCTTCTTTTTCGTCTTTTCTTCTTTTTCATCTTTTTCTTTTTTTCCTTTTTTTCTTTTTCTCCTTTTGCTTTATTTCTGCTTTTTCTTCCTTTTTCTTCTTTTTTCTTCTTTGTTCCTCTTTTTTATTCTTTTATTTCTTCTTCTTTTTCTCCTTTTTTTCTACTTTTTCTTCCTTTTTCTTCTTTTTCGTCTTTTTCTTCTTTTTCATCTTTTTCTTTTTTTCTCCATTTTCTTCTTTTTCTCCTTTTTCTTTTTTTCTGCTTTTTCTTCCTTTTTTCTTCCTTTTTCCTTTTTTTCTTCTTTTTCTTCTTTTTTCTTCTTTTTTCTTCTTTTTTCTTCTTTTTCTTCTTTTTCTCCTTTTTTTCTTATTCTCTTTCTTCCTTTTCTTCTTCTTTTTTCTTTTTTTTCTTCCTTATCTTCTTTTTCTCCTTTTTTTCTAATTTTACTTCTTTTTCCTTCTTTTTTCTTCTTTTTTCTTCTTTTTTCTTCTTTTTCTATTTATTGCTTTATGAGGCTGTGATGATTTCAGTTTGAAAGTTTGAACACAAATATTAATTAAAAAGTTTTAAACTCAATTTTAAATATTTGCAATGTAAGTTTTTAAATCATCTTAAAGAAAATTGAAAAAAAATTTATAATTAATTTCAAGATATTGTTTTAAAACGGTTCAAGTCAGTATCATTTTCTAAATAAGATTAAATCAGTTTTCAAAATATATTTTCAAACAGATATATATGTAATAAAATTTCAATTAAAAAAGTATCATACGATGGATACTAAAAATAATCTAAAGATGTTTCAAATATCTGCAGTATCTGGCCTTGTTGTCTTCTACCTTTCTGCTTTGGATATCTTAATATCACGGAGCATAGGTAATATTTATTATATTTAATTATTATTATTATTATTATTATTGTTTTTATTATTATCAATATTATTTTTACTATTATTATTATTCATTATTGTTATTAATTCAAGATGTTCGAACTGCTATAAAGTGTTAGGACGTTATAAAGGATGGAAAGGTCGGGCTGATCCTTAATTAGATTTTCTTTATTTATGTTTTTTTCTTTTAGATTTTTACTTAAGTTTTTTCATCAATTTGTTATTTGTTTCGAAATATATATTGTATCTATTTATGTGTTATTATTTATAAAATATAAATTCCCATAATATTTTCTGACGAATGTTCTTCATAAGATCGGTACTACGAAGGTAGATAAACCAGAATGATATATACTTTGGAGAAAAAAACTCAGCGGGAGCGGTTGAACCAGCGGTTGAGATCTAGCCTAGACTCTACGCAGTTCAGAATAAGA